TGGTGGAAAGCCTATTAAGACTGCATTATGGTAATTCAGGTGTATATAGTCTCAATTAACTGATTTCTGGCCCCCTTATAATTTTGGTGGGGATGGCCTGTGCGCCACGAATTCGGGCAATTACTGGTGAGGTATCGAATATGCCACAGGAGTCGAAGAGACAGGGAGTGTCTTCTTCTGAGATCGTTCTCGGTTTCCCGATTGGAAAGGACGGTCAGCCGAGGCGAGAATCGCAACAGGCATATGCTTTCCTTCCAATACGTGATTATGGATTCGAGGTGCGTATCCTCCATTTGCTCCTTTGATTGGCTTGTACTAAAAGATTGAAGTTTCTCATACAAGCCGACTTCCTCTTGATCGCCAGTCGAGAAGACATCGATGACTCGTCGGAATGGAACCATGCACTTCGTGCAGCTTTGTTCCCTGCACTCTTGGACACTGTAAAGGAGTTCAATAAAGGCAAATTTCGATACTCTTGGCCTAGATATCTTCCCATCCGAGAGCCGCTACAGAGCTTTCTCAAACCATTCCATCTTGAAATGCGAAACAAGCTCGCATTGCAAGATGTCCTTTACTCACAATCGGGGACTTTAACTCGTCCGAATAGTCTTATATATGTTCCAGAAAAGTTCACATTCAATGCAGCGCCGCTAACCATCAGCGCCCAAACATCTGGCCGCTATCTTTCTGGTCGTTATCTGGAGTCTGATTTGAAGTACCTCGAAGTGATGAGTGTTGAAGCAATGTCAGAGTTGAGATTCTTCGCCGAATTAACCTCGTTTCTCAAGACTTCCATGGGCGTCTTCAAGACAAAGTCCCGGGCATGGCATTCGCATCTTGCAAGCATACTGATGCGACTTCCACGAGAATACTACACTCAACTCGCCGATCTCACACTCGTGCCTCTCAACAACGGAACCTGGATCGCCGCAAATGGCCGACAGATTCTCTTCCCCGCCGCCAAAGCAGAATTCGAACTCCCAGGTGGTCTTGAGCTCTCAGTAGTAGACTCCACAGCTGCCGCTGATCCAGCTCGGAAGAAGCTATACAGCTTCCTAGGGGTCGGGGATCTAGAACAGGAGCCAGTCGTACGACACATTCGAGACTTGCATCAAAATAATCGCGTAAATTCAAGCTCCGTATCTCGCGGTGCCCTCGTCTCGCAGATCAAGTTCCTTTACTCTGCTGCGTGGATAAATCCCGAGTTCCAGAGATTTTGGTTTATGTCTGAATCTGGACAGCGCATCCATGGTTCGCAGCTGTATCAAGACTCGACAAAGGCGCTCTCGGCGACGTTCTTCTTTGGTGCGCATAGAAACAAGTTTCGCTTTATCCACAAAGATTATATGGAGGCTTCAGGACAGGGCAGGAAATGCGATCTGTGGGTTGCCTGGTTGGAGGAGAAGATGGACGTTGCTACGATCCCTAGACTGGTTTCTACGACCACCGACAGAGGTTTCAAACTTTCCGAGGACTTCGAGTTTATCATCAAGACGTTCCCATCTTTTGCCGTTCTGGGTCTTCTTCGAGAGAACTGGGACAAATACTCTAGATTCTTTGATCCGGATGAGTTGAAGAAGTGGAATGAAAAGGAGATAGGGGTGAAATATGACACTAAGAGATTCCATATTTCCGGTGATCGACTGAAGCAGAAACTGAGTTCTATGCTTGTTACTTGCACCGATGGCAAGAAGCATCGGTTGGATACCACGTTCCTTCCATCGAAAGAACTTCTCGTAGCGTCTCAGGATGGAGTGCCGTTTGTCGACGTTCCTGGTCCAGATAACACCGATTAGAAGGTGCTGAGCATACTTGGTGTTTCTATCAAGGTCGATGTTTCAGTCTATCTGCGCTGCTTGGAACAGCTTGCGCTTGAGAGCTCGAATGACAGTGCTCGGATTATGAAGCTGTTAGATACGATTCAGTATCGATGTGGCGATGAGAAAGAAGCCGCGATCATCAAGTAAGTACCGCCATTTCTAACGAAGTCTCCCTTTCTAAAAATCTGGCGCAGAAAATTCTTCACGGACAGAAATAATCTGATATACATACCCGCTGCGAGGAAAGGGGCAAATTCGACATGGCTTCCCAAATCTCAATGTCGATGGAAAGGTCCTCCATTGGGAAAAGTCGCGAAAGAGCCGCGGACTTTCAAGAGTCTGAAAGACATTTATCCTGGGAAAAACACACTGTTCTGCGACATCCTCGGTATCCAGGACGCTACACTCCGCGATCTCTTGGAAGAAGCCAAATCCTTCGCTGTAGGCGACTCCTTAGCGCACATCACCTCCATCTTCCACGCCATGGAGAAACTGCTTGAAGAAGACGAACATCCCATCTCCACCACGGCCGAACTGCGGAATTTTGATTTCAACCACCGTGAGAAGATGTTCCCCGTTTCCAAGGTCTGGAACCTGGACACCGACGAAGCATCCGAGTTCCAGGACTCGTCTGTTGTCTCGGAATGGTTTATCGCGGATACGGCACCTCTTCGTACTATTTTTGCGGGTGTGGTTCCGTTACTGGATGTCAAGGTCGATGATCTGGCTCCGATGGATCAAGTGTTAACGGAACTGGGGCTGAAATCGAGGTTATTAAGTAAGCAGGTTGTCAGTGTACCGAAGACTCATGGGACGGTCGTGTTAAACGAAGAACTTACCAGCCTTTCAGATCGAAGGTTGATTTCATTATAAGGTATTCTTAGACATGCACTTACATACCCAAGGATATCATTGACTTTCTTATAGATTAATCCCCACAACCAAAAACCACCGAGCTCGGCGCCAAGAAATCGTCAAAGAGCTGCGCAACCTTCAAGTCTACACCGCCGACGAAGTCATCCAAGAATGGTGTGTAACCTACAAGAAAAAAGCCGTCAAAGGCCCACCGGGCAACGGCCGCGTTGCTCTCGTTGCAGAAAACGATGTGCTTAAGATCTACTTAGCGGTCAAAGGAGGGTTTGAGATGGAGCAAACGCCCATAGAGCTTGTGGATGAGATGTTCACTTTTTGCGGGATGCAGGCCCAGAATCCGCCGCATAGCGAGATGTGTTTGCATATTGCGCTCTCGCAGGGCAACCTTGCAGGGATCTCGAAGGTTTTTGCTGATAAGGGGATTCCGAGTCTGGAGGGGTTGAAGTTCGCAGATAGGAGGACGTCTGAAGATGGTACGAAGGACGAAATGGAGGAAGGTCAGGGAGCAGATGGGTCGAAGAATAAATTCCGTGTACTTCGTGAGTTACCTCTTATTGTTCTAGGGTTGCCTGTTGGAATCGTCGTTGGAGTGGGAGCAGGAGTGGGCTCGTTGATCAAGTCAAGAAAGCTTTTCGATGGTAAAGTGGATGGAGACGATGATAAGATCGACAAAAGCAATCCAAAGCCGAAGAAGAAAGTCAAGCCTGCCAAGCCGCAAAGACCTGCTAAGGCACCGAAACAAGGAGACAGTGGATTCGACAACTTCCAAAACTCGCTTTCGAGAGGTCTTGCACGCCTACAGCTAGCAACACTTTGCTCCGAGACCGTCGCATTCAGAGGCGAGCTCTACGTACGTGGCCATCCCTTACCTACCAGTATTCCAATCCAATCCAATCCAACTAACTCCTCTCCTCCGCACAGGTCCACAAAATCCTTGCCTCAGCCCTAGGTCAAAACTACAACCCCCTTATACACTGGACTTTCCCCCGCCGTTCCCGCGCCCACATACCCCGCTTCCACACCAGCAACTCCTTCAGCCACGCAACATTCACATTCACCGACCCGTCAGGAGCCTTCACCCAGCTCCTACACACGCACCACTACCCCGGCGCCGCGAACTGGGCCGCCGACCCGCCGACGTACCATATCGACGTTAAGGCCGCGAAAGGCGACGTGAAGTCCGAGTTTGTGCTCAGTCCGGTGGAGTTTGAGCGTGCGAAGAGATTTAGCGTTTTGATGAGGGAGGAGGGGAAGGGGCCGAGGGATGTGTATATTTTGGCGCGGGTGTTTGATGTTGGGGTGCAGGAGGAGGGGGAGGGGGAGGAGAGTAGGATGGTGTTTTTGGTGGATCCGTGGGAGTTTTGGCATGCGGGGCGGATGGGGGTTAGGGTTGAGGGGAGGGTTTTGGGGACTATTGTTTGATTTTTCGGGAGGGGGTTTTGGATAGGGATTGTCTTATCTTTATGGGGTGTTAGCATGGGACTGAGGTCGTGGTGGTCTTGAACGGAAGGAAAGAATTCTGACCTTCCTGAAGTCGATCATAATCACATGCCCAAGTCGTGAAAGGATGCGCCTCCCGCCTGTTTCACGAATGTACAGTAATTTCGCTTTATCAACGATAATAGCACCAGCATTTACTATCCAATCGAAATAGAAACCCATCCACAAACCAACCACTCACGAACGCGACGTCCCCTCCCTTTTCGCGGCAGCCCAGAACTTTCCCTGGAATCCGCACTAGCTTCCACGACTCAGATGCCAGGGATTCGCTTTGTTCCAGGAGTCTTCGCTGCTCGTACTCCTTCTAAGCTTAAGGTGGTGGAACTGAGAAGAAAGGTTAGTAGAAATCATGGAGGTTTCCGGGAACTCGGGTAGGTATCTAGTCATCGTGACCTATCTCCAACTTTCACCGCTTTCGCTATCTTCAATGGCAGTCTACAAGAAGAGAGTAGTGTAGGACCAGTTGCGAGCCTTCCTTGCCTTACGGCGCTCAGGAACAGCATCAGAACCGCGAACTGTCGAACTCCAATAGATGGTAAGCTGTTTCGAGTCCACTGCCACGATTAACACTGATTTGAAGCAAATTGAACAGCTTGATTGGCTTTAATGAGCCATTGGTATTCAGAATTGCGCTCGGAAGTTATCAACTTTCGGCAAATCCACTACCACATTCAACAAACGATAATGTCTTATCTTCACCACAGTCTTGCACCAGATATGGCGCCTGTAGACTGCGAGCAGCAAAGCCATAATTATGATTGGTTCTTACTAGGGACGAATAGAGAATGCTGTTGATAGATCCTCTAATCAGACCTCCGGCTAAGGAAAAGGGGCTTGCTCGCCTAATTCCGAGAAATACCTACTTTCTGAACGTGAGCTCGGCGACGCTTTAACGGATCGCACCACTCATTGAGCACCAAATAATGAGACTCTTATCCGAAGACATGGCATTTGCACCCCTCCATTCAATCGTCGTCGATGTAATTCTAACGCCTCTACCGGGGAAAAGTAAACCAAAGCCCAGGATGCAGGCTAAGCCCCAATGCTAGGTTCCCGAGTTACTGTGAAGACTCTCCTAACATATTCATCGAGTCTTATAAAAACAAATCAAAAGCTATTGCAGAATCGAGCTTTCTCATAATGTAGAGCGAAAATTCGCGACGAGTGTTGACAGAATGACGAGAGCGAGGCTCAGGAAAACAGATTGTACTTATTGTCCGAGAATATCAAGAGTTCGGTGCAGTATTCGAAGAGTAATGTTCACGATTGGAGCTGAGAAAGAGCGAAGTCTTGCAAGGTTGTTTAATCATGGCATATTTGAAAACTTACTTAATCAGTTGAGATTTTCTTCTTACTTCAAGCATAAGTAAACTTCGCTAGATATGCTTATTTCATCTGATTGTTCTGGCAAAACACTTATCATGTTAAAGACTTTGGTAGTGAACCATGGAAAGTGACGGCAAGATCTGCAGAGGAGGTCAGTCACGTGATGAGTACCAACATTCTGGTCAATACATTGCAGGAAAGAGAAATTGATTAGCGGATAAATAAGCTAGGATAGCTAGAACTTGGAATTTTCCAAAACGATGACATCAACATTGGTGATCGTATGCAAAACGTGATCCAACCTTGACATCACACAACAACGCCCCTAAAGAAGAATCAACCCACCATCCATACCCGACAGTGCCTTCCAAACATCACCATACGTCTGCTATCATATCCACTACAGCATCGATATCGGAAATCCGCAACCGATCTTCGGTGAAGGAAAGCATCTCGTCGCTTTGTACATGCCGAAACGGATTTTAGTCCACTAATGCCGAGCGAGAGCGGGCCGACAATGCGTGCATCCCCTTCAAACATCTTCTGGTGACGATAGGCGGGGGACTGAAGAGAGAGAAAGAGGTATATATCATGCAAACCACTTCAGCTCTGGCAATATCCATCAATCTCAAAATCTCATCTTCTCAACGACAACCTACCTAGGTACTTTGTGATAATTGAGCACGTGAATTACTCGAAACCTACCTACCTACTCAACTACAAACAAATAAAGAAACAATCAAAAAAGAACAAAAAATGACCTGCGAAGCCTGCCAAACCATCCCGCCCGTCGTAGTCACCAACTACCAAACCAAAGGGCACTACAAACAAATCGCCGGCCTCAAAACCTGTACCTACCTCCCATCCTCCCCTCCTTCCCCTTCCTCCTCCCCCTCTCAACACAAACTAACCCCTCCCTCCCCCCATCCTAGACATAACCGGCCCCCCGACCTCCAAAAAAGCCCTCATCACCATCTACGACATCTTCGGCTTCGCCTCGCAGACGCTCCAAGGCGCCGATCTACTCGCCGCCGCCGTCGGCGCGCTGGTCTTCGTCCCCGATTTCCTGGAGGGCCACGTTGCCCGGGAGGAATGGTTCGCGAGCAAGGAGCCGTCGCCCGAGAAGGCGGCGTTCTTTGCGATGCTGGATCCGGCCGGGAATGCGGGGAAATTGGGAAGGTTTGTGGAGGCTGCGAAGGGGGAAGTGGAGTTTGGGGATGTGCAGAGCTGGGGCGCTTTTGGGCTTTGTTGGGGTGGGAAGGTGAGTGGGTTTGTTTTAATTGAGATTGGAGTGGAAGAGAGAGAAAGGAAGGTGTTAATGGTGGTGGTTTTTAGATTGCGGTGTTGGCTTCGGGGCCGGGCACGCCGTTTAAGGTCTCGGGGCAGACGCATCCTGGGTATGTTTCGTTTCGGAGCGTGGTGATGGTTTGCTGATTGTTGGCGGTAGACAACTTAATGTTGAAGATGCCAAGAAGCTGGAGATTCCTCACATTGTCCTTGCGTCCAATGGCGAGGATGAGAAGGTCGTGGCTGAGTATAAGGCGGTTCTCGTTGGTGAAGGCAAGCCAGGTGTGGTTGAGAGTTACATGAACATGCACCATGGATGGAGTGAGTACTTTTCGAGCCGATTGGCTTGCGGTCACATGTGGAGGAGGGTCACTGCTGATTATTTTATAGTGGGAACAAGAGCCAAGTTGGATGAGGCTGAGAACTTGAAGGAGTATGAGAGAGGGTGAGTTTATTCATTATTTTTTTGAGAGCATAAGTTAATTTGTAACTCAGATACAACCAAGTCGCAGCTTTCTTCGCCAAGCACCTTTGAGGATATCATGTTAAGGAAAAGTGTTGTCTTTGAGCGGAGTTATAGTATGAAAGCACCAAGGACAATGCATTCTTGACTTGAAGACTATGCATTCATTACACGTGATTGGGAATTGGAACATATGATTGTGAGAAAGAAATAATATTGTGTTGCAGATAAAATAACAAAGGGCTTGTTTACTTTTACAAGGGGGAGAGGGGGGGGGAGGGGATAAAGAGAGGACTTACCAGTCTTTACACATACAACCAGAGTTCGTCTCGACTTACCTTTCCGAACGTACTAACCGCATAGCAGGACATACCTACCAACTTACTGTACAGCACATCCCCAGCCCTCCGCCGGATCCTCTTGAATCGGCTGCCACTCACTCCAAACCGGCTGATTCAACCCCTTCTCCTTATCCTCCACCCAGTCCAACACGAACTCCGTCTTCGCCGGGTCCCTATTCTCACACCACTGAGCAGCAAGCTGCCCCATGACCTTCGCCAGCGCCACGCGCTTGCTCTCCGGCAGGTAGAACAACCCATGGTCGCCCAGAATGACGCGGATCCACCACGTCCTAGCCTTCATCAGCTTGCGGACGCGGTGGAGCTCAATCTCAGGCGTCCGGGCGTCGTCGTTGCCCAGCACGAACAGGACGTCCGTGGTAGCAGGCAGCTTAAGCAGGTCCTCGCTAAGCGAGGTGTCGCGCTCGCGCACGATGGGGATGGTGAAGCAGATGAGCTGGTTGATGGCCGGGTTCTTGAGCGCGGCGATGGTGGCGGCGCGGGCGCCGAAGGAGCGGCCCGTGAAGGTGTTGGTGGGGTAGTTGGCTGCGAGGGCGTTGAAGACGGCGGCGCGTTCGGCCTCGTTCTCCTTGCCGCGGGCGAAGGCGAGCGAGGAGTGTGTACGGCCGAATCCTTGGTTGAATCCGACGATGGCAGGGACGTCTAAATTGGATCCGCGCCCGTGAGTGAGGATGGTGGAGGGACCGCTGCCGGGGACTAGAAAGCGTGCTGGCGGGCCGTCATTTTCGGGTGCTGGCTCTCCGACCTTGATTTCCATCTCAAAGCGTGCGAGTTGGGTTTCGTACGCGTCTAAGTGTTCGCGGAAAGCGGGCATGAGGATCTCTCTCCATTCCTTGTGCTCGGTCTTGAAGGCTTGGAGAGCTACAAACCACGATTCTGTGCTCTCGACAGATTCGACGTCGCGCCAATCTTCTTCTCTGAGAACAGGGATGGGTTCGGGCCTTTCTGGCTCTTCTGGCGCAACGGGAGCGACGCCTGGATGGACGATCTCTCCTGGTGTGGGCGTCCAGTACATTCTACAATTGACTTTGACTGGTTGGCCGTCAAGTTGAATCTCAGAGATGAAGTCGTCACGGTTGACTCGGACTGCGGGATCGTTTAGCATGGCTGCGATCTTGACTGGGTCTTTAACCCAAACAGGTTCACGTCTCTTGAAACTCATTTTGATTGAGGGTTGGTTGAGTTTCTTTGTGGAGCTGTTGTGTTTTGCTTGGATGCCGATTTGAGTGCTAGGTGAAGACTGAGTGTTTGTAATAAGTTCTTTATGTTCTGAAGAATGCCATTAATGAAGCTTAAGATTCCTTTTATACACTTACAATCCCTATTGTTCCTTTGCTAACAATAAAATCGAAATCCTTGTGTTAGTGCTGAGATGAAAGAATCACGTTGACTGTTCAACAAAGTCCTTTGTAGAGGAACAGTCTGATTGAGCTCTTGAATGTGTCGATCCCTTGAAAACCCCAGGTGCGATTGCCGAGTTGAAAGACTCGCTTAACTCGGCAAGAAAGGGGCCTCGTGTAAAAACAAGCGGGTGGCAACCTGGAGAGCTATGTTTTGTCGTCCAATATCTTTGCGACGTTGTTGATTCTTTCGATCAAAATTCCGTGTTGATATGCGCGATCAAGCCAGTGTCTAATTGTCAGCGAGATAAAGGCCTTTTTCTCGTCACGTGAGCCTATGTACCCAACTCCACCTGGGCACCTGGGCACAATACACCAGATCAGTCATAGAACCTACCTTCGTTAGCACTAGGACACAGAAAGGTGGCGTAAGATCTATGATCAGAGCTCCAGTCTGATTATTCAAGAGTCTTCCACCTAAAAGCCCCTGATTCTTTAATAGGATTTGTCCTAGATGTTTGCTCATCCTAGGATTAAATAAATATGCTGGTGACGAAGCGATATGGAATCCAATATCCACGTCTTCCTCTCCTCGCTACGTCTCAGCAGGTCCTGAATCTCCTACCTCAAAAACGAAAAATCAAGAATCAAATTCGAGATGACAAGAAAATATCACATTACATCACAAAAGCCACTCCAAAGACCATGCTTGCTTGCAACGCACCTTCAATTCATTCGCTCTTTCCTCACTTTCACCTCCCCATCAAAAAAGAACTAAGTAACCCTATCCTATCCTATCCTATATGCACAATGCCCATCCATTCTCTCCCACTGCACTGACCAAACGCACGCGCAATCATAAATGAACCAACCACCCGATCCCAATCAGAAAACGAAGTAAGTAAGTACCCAAGCCACCTCATTCATCCATCCTTTTACCCATCCTTCCAACGAAAGACGAAGAAGAAGAAAAAAGGCAGGCACACATCATATTCGCACAGGGGGGTCATCAATACAGCCGTCCGTTCGTCCATTCCATCCCAATCCGTACCCAAAACCCAAACCCGGGAAAAAGAAAGCAGAAACGCCTTGCTGAATACAATTATGCTTGCCCGAGCGACGCCGATTAAACCTTTATTTTCTCTCTCTCCTAATTCTGTAGAGTCTTGGTTCTCCTCTTCTTGCTACCTTCCGGTGGCAGCTCGCCGTAACGAGCTTTGTATTTTTGCAATTCCTGTAATTGCATTGCGAGAGCGTCGAGGACGTCGTCCATTGGGGCGCGGAGTTGGTCGAGGTCTGTGATGTGGCAGCGACCGATTGCTAGATGGCGGGTTGCTAGGGTTGAGATGCAGGTCTGGGGGAAAGTTAGTCATTGATCAGCTGGATTGAGAACTAGGTGCTTACCTCGATTCTGGAAACTTGGTGGGTAAGGAAGTTAACCAAGAATCGATCCGTGACTTCTCCACCTCTATGCTTCATCTTCTCCAGCATGGCTGTCTCAGGAGGTTGCAAGGCAACACCGTGTCCTTTGTCTACCTCCAAGCTTGAGCACAGCATCTCAAGTCTCAAGCTCACGCTCCAAAGAGCCCAAACAGAATCGGTGTCTATGCTCAATTGACTCTGTTGAGACAGTGTCGCTGGTTCTTCGGCCATGATGAGCTTGTCGTTCTCAGCCAGTCTTTGCTGGTAGTGAATACGACCAGATAGAGCGTGTGGGTACATCAGATAGATGTATTCAGGATTTTCCAAACCTTTGAGCTTTCGTTCTCCCATATCCTTGACCTCAAAACCTTGACTACTAAGAGAGCGCAGTTCACGGCGGATTGCTTGGCTCATAACGTCGCTGTCAAAAGTGTCCTCCGATCCTGTAGAACCAGAACGGTCACTCTCGCTGTAGGTTTCAAGACAGCGGTGGATCTCTGATATGAAGTCTGCAGAGACTGTAATCTGGCCACCATCGGCAACAGATGAGATACGAGAAGTACGATTGACCATGGGTCCAAAGTAATCCATACGTCGAGTCACAGGATCCTTCTCGCACACAGGACGACCCCAATGAACACCCATTCTGACGCTCAAGCCCTTGAAGATTAGGGTGTGGTCATTGTCATAGATCTCTTGTCCAAGGACGCTTGAAAGAACCTCCGACGGCCATTGAACTTCAAGTAGTTGTTGCTGTACCGCAAAACACCATAGTAGAGCAGATGTAGCAGTCGGGAAAGAGACCATGAAAGCATCACCTTCAGTCTTGACTTCATAACCACCAATGATTCGCAGTTGACGTCGCATGACTTCGTTGTGTAGTTTGATAGCTGACTGCATGGCACTGGGATATGTTTCCCAAAGTAATGTAGAGCTCTTGATATCGGTGAAGACGATGCTGACATCGCCGATAGGTGCATCAACCTCAGCTTGTAGACGCCGAAGACCGGAATCTTCGACAGTCTCTCCCTTCTTCTTGGGTCTTCGGGCTGGGGCGTAACCTTCGTCGATAAGTGCAGCAGGATTGAAAGACAAGCTTTGGACCCGATGAGGTCGGATCTGGGCTCGCTTCTTCAGATCGCTGACCCCAATCATCATGACCATGAGTTTGTTGGTGGCACCAAAGGCAATAGCCAGATCTCGTAATCTTTGAGCTGCTCGCATTAGATCTCCACGCTCGTATCGGGCGACATCAACGACAAGTTCTGGAGAGAGATACTCCCACAGCTCACGGGAAGCAATCAATATCATTTCGTCCTGTTCTTTCACCGTAACTTGTGTGATATGTGGTGCAGCTTGCACGGCCGGCATAAGCTGAACATAGCCAAAGGCTCTAGACACCTCAAGGATATCGTTCAACTTTCCTTGTCTTGAAACCCAACCACCTGCGTCGCGTATGCGTTGTCTCTCGTTAGGCTCTGCAGGATCGTGCTTCCGGGTCAGAATGCGATGGCCTCCTTCCGAGTGTATGAGCATTGCTTGTGCATCGCCTACATTGGCAACGTATAGCTCGGATTGCTGCAAGAAAAGTACAGTAGCAACCCCACCAGAATGAAGATCTGCTTGACTAAGAACTGCAGGTGCTGCCGAGCCTCTGTGAGACAACAAAGATCGTTCTTCCGTGTGCTGCGTCGCAGCTGTAGCGAGGTCCTTGTTCAGTGACAAGAAAGCTCTCCTTAATGCATCGACAGGTGATTCTTTCAACCCTGGATTCAGTCTCTTGAGCTCTTCTCCGAAGATGTGGCCAAAGTTCTCATGAAGATACTTCGCAATCTTGGATCCACCGCTTGAAAGTGCTTGGCCATCAAACATACCAAGAAGGGTTTCAGTTTCTGTCGAATTAAATCGTGGGACGACCATATCAATAATGGACAGATGCTCGTTCCTGCCCAAAGTATCTGCCATACCATATGCCAATTGGCCAGCGAGAGATCCAGAAGTTCGCACTCTTCGATCTTCTGTCTCATCTGGGGTAGTGGGAATTGTCAGGGTTACATCCATCAGCCCAAGGATGCGGAGATGTTGGAGAGCGCTGAAGTCAGTAAGATCTCTTCCATCGCGGTTTGCGCCACCTCCAGGTATGGAGGGTTTGATCTCAAGACGTTTGTTTCCAGACAGATTCAGGTACTTGAGGTTGGTATTCCAGTTCCAATTCCAATCATATGGCCAGTTCGACACGTTATATTTCAGTGAGTTGCTACCACAGTCAAGCACGGCAAGCCTATGAGCTTTGCCTAACTCAGCAGGGAGAGTCTGGAACTTATTGCCATTGATATGCAGTACTTGCAGCAAACTGAATTCTTCGAAGTCGTCAGATGGAAGTGAAGTCAATTCGTTCCCGGAGAGATATAGCTCAGAGAGCTGTGGCCAGCTCTTCAGAGTTCGTTGCGGCATGTCATTCAGGTCATTGTATGACAAATTCAGAAGGCGGAGCTCTCCCAACAAAATGAGTTCATCAAAGACATCGTCATCAAGTTGGTTATCTGCAAGATAGAGATTGCGGAGTGAACCTGCGAAGGTGTTGAGTAATCTTGCTGACATTCCAGAATCTTTCCTAGCGGTCGATGCTGGAGGCGTCCCGGTGCCAATACTGTTCTGGGATGCACTTCTCGACACAACGGAGGTTTTTCTGTTATTGCCCTTCCCGTACACGGACACGATGGAGCTCTTCCTATCACCTCCGCCTGGGACAGGAGATCCACCGACGCTGAGCAGACCACCTGATGCTTGACTTGGTCTTCTGTGTCCGAATGCCTCTAATGGCCCCAATTCCTCGAAGCTCGAGTTGTTGGAACTTTGGCCAGGGCTTCCATTAAGAGGACCTCTCTCTGTCGGAGTGGGAATTTCGCCAGGGACTTGGGGTGGCCTAGAAGCTGGCTTGGGGAAGTTGTCGAGAACGTTTGAAGATATGTTAAAAGTTTCCAGTTTGTTTGCCCACCAGATCTCCATAGGCAGCTTCTTTAGGTTGTTTTGTCTGACATCTAGGAACCGCAGCTCCGTAAGGCAGCCTATCTCAGCTGGTAGACTGCTCAAAGCGTTCCTGGCAATGCTGAAGTGCTCGAGTTTCCGCAATTTGCCAATATGGCTTGGTAACGATACAAAATGGTTGATGTCTAGAACGAGTTTGACGAGGTTTGGCATTTTATCGAATACAGCATCTGGGATATGAGCAAGCTTGGCATTCGAAAGGTTCAGAGTAGTTAGTGTTGGAACCGGGTTGAGGATCTCAAACTTGGTGACTGGATTTGAGTTGAGGCGGAGAATTCGAATTTTGGTGAATTCTGATTCGCACACGGACACACTATTATGGTCTGCGGATATCTGCTCAACTTTCGGTAGTTTTGCAATCACATTGATGCTCGAGAGAGCGTTGTACCGGACATCTACCTCTTTGAGATTGACAAGCTCCCCGAAATTATCTGGAAGGGATCCATTGAGTCGATTGTTGGTAATAACGAATCTTTCCAGATTCTTCAACTGGCCAATCTCATCCGGCAAGCTGGCAATACCATTGAAACTCATATCGATGTCGACAAGGCCATCAAGGTCACATAGAAATTTCGGGAATGAATCGAGAAAGTTCGAAGAGATGTTCAGAGTCCGCATCGACTTGAAGCATCCGAAATAGGATGGAAGACTTCTCAGTCTGTTGTTGGCCAATTTGAGACTAATCAGTCCCTGTAATCGTGAGAGCTCAGCGTGTTCAAGCTGCTCTAATCTGTTATTCGACACATCAAGAATCGTAAGCCGGCCCGCTCTACTGAGACTTGGTGGCAGTTTCCAAGCTTCGTTGTTGATGAACTTGATGTCTCGGAGGTTTTGACACGACTGAATAAAGTCCTTTGGTAAGTCGAGGGAAAGATTTCGCGATAGGTTGAGAGAGATGATTTCTGACGCTTTCGAATACAATGCAATGGGGATAGTGATGAGGTTTCGTCCGGACAGATCTACGTGGCTGTATTTTTGGACTCGACTGACTCCAGGATCATTCGTGACAGATGCATAACCACTCTCGCGTGTGGGGACGAATGAGAAACGGCAGAGGTAACTGTTGTCTTCTCGTCCAACATCCTCAATCTTGTCTCGTTCTTCATATCCAGCTTGCTCGAGCAGACGCTTCTGAATAACAACAGGTCGTTCGCCAGCACCCAAAATTCGTTGCAAATCGTGCTTCTTCATCACAATCTGGTAATTCTCGAGGCTGTCGGTCATATAAGTCTTCTTTCCAAGCTGCTGCATGATGTCGGTGACAGTTGCGTTTAATGGCGTCCCTAAAGTTGCAAATGTCCCATCTATCCTGAATATTCGTATGCAATAAGGTGTAGCTTTTTCATCGGCCTTTGGCGGAATTCCTGCTTCATCGATCTCTGACAGTCTCGACATGTTCGCATCATCGACCTTCTTCACGGCCCAACTATCTGGTGCATCCCAGCCTAGTCCACCCGCATTTTTCGCGTCCATCTTCGCCTCATCTTCAACATTTCCAGTGAATATACTGTTGTCCAATGGCGTCAAAGGCACGGGTTTCGCCAAAATCCCGTCCATCTTTGACAAATCCGTATCCAGATTGAAGACCGAACCTAGGAAGCCCTCGTGTTTTTCGTTGAGGTCGGAATACAGTTCTGAATCATCGGTCGCCTTACTCCTCCCTTTTCTGAAAGGAAGTTTGCCAAATGTACCCTGTCGAGGTTGTCCATTCGGCCGCGAGTTGCCATTGTCTTGTCTGACAAGGTTGACCTCAGATCCCGCAAGGCTACCATTGTGGCTCCAATTGCCAAATTCAGGTGAAATTTGCCCTCTCCCGTTCGAAGCATAATTGAATGATCGGACAGATCCCGGCAAGTCCTTGAGCTGGCGCCCTGGAGGCGTACCATCCTTGTCTTTGTGTTTTCGAAATCGACCCAGGATACCGCGTTTTCCGTGTGTTGGTGAAGTTGAACCATCGTTGAGAGGCAATTTGGCGGTCGACCCGCTCCAACCACTCATGCCGCTTGGTGTTGGACTCGAAGGTCTTTTCGAAAGACTTGAATTCGAGGAATTCCCCAAAGCAGTGCCCATCGAAGTCGGCGCGCGATCTTTTTGGCGCGGTTCACCTCCAGTGGTCTCTCTACTTATAGACGGTCGCAAAGACCTTGCGTCCTCGTTACTCTTGTTATGACGATGATTGTGGCCTGGCAAGTGCACATGGCCCGATCTCGAGGATGATGATGTCTTTGGTGGATTCTGAGGGTTTTCGTTCATATATCGGTCCTTGTCAGGCCCAGACAATTTCTCGCGAACAGGAGCTTCGCCGTATTTAGATATGTCCTTTAACAAGTTAGCATACTTTCGGGCGTGTACATATGTCTGAATAGTCTTGTTTCTGGACACTTCAATTGAGTGGTACCTAGAAACAAGGCCAAGAAAAGCATTGAATCCAATAGCCTTGTGAGGGCTTCTGTATATATAGAGCTACTGACCTGAGAGTCTTGATATAAGAAAGGTACCACATCACTTGAAGGCACTGGCGTCCTAGGTCTTGAAGGCGCAGGCGATATGTCTCTTTGCGTCTGATCTGTGGCAGATGAATGATTGCGCTCTCGATGACTTCGGGCGAAAGAATGCGATCGGGCGTCCTTTCCATGTGAAGGCAAGCTTGTGTCGGATCCATCCCTACCAGGAAAGTCCTCTCCAAAGAAAGTTTGTAGTTTCTTATGGATTCCTGTCCGATTGACACTCGATTTCGAGCCTTGACTACTGGCAGTCGTTACACTTGCTACAGAGGGCCGTCTTTCGTCTCCAAAATATGGATCCGCCGGGGAATCGCTTGCATTTGTGTTTCCTGTCAATCCAGTCCCAGGCCTGAACCCTGGCGACAACTGAGAAGCCTGCGACAAATTGTCGCTCGAATCATTGTAAAAACTGGTACCAAAGGCACTCTGCGGAGAGGTTACAGTCCCGTTCGTCGACATCCAGGGCGCAATATGATTCGGCGAGCCCAACGCAGTTGGGGGGTTGTGCTGGATCTGGGGTATTCCTCCACTCGATGTTTGCAGCACGGCAAGGTCGCGTCGATAATTGCCAAAGTCGGCCATTCTATGGTCCCGAGGAGATACATTGGGAGACGAGGTCGACGGGGATATGGTCGTTCGCGGTGCAGCCGTGGTAGTGGGCGACACTTGAGGATCAGTCTCGGGCCTGAGAGCAGCGCAAATGCAAGCAGCCGTTAGTCAAAGAACATGTTCAAAGCTTTCCTTCCAGAACGACGGCAACTCGACGAGACAGAGATTCAAGGGGAAAGGAAGTCTCACTTGTTTCTCCCATCGGTCTTCACAGTCATTGGGGCACCCCGTCGCGATGGGTTGCGAAAGAGTGAGGTTGGCCCTTTGACGGTATCGGTCGACTTCCAGCTATCAGTGCTCGAGCTCGTCGCAGAGCTGTTGCGAGCCGCAGCATCTTTCCTGGTCATCATTGACCAAAGCACACGGCTATGAGGCGGCCATAGGATGGCGGGGGGAAGTATGGCGATTATCGATCACAATTCTGATGTGAGGAGTTTCCGGGTGGGAGGGTTGGTGGTGGTGGTTGTGGTGGGTGGTGGAGGTGATTGTGGATGTTGAATTTGCACGGGATCACGGCGGGAGGTGAGTGAGGTCTGCGGTGGACCTAAGACTGAGGTACTTCGGCTAGCTACGCCCAACATCAAAGTTCAAACGAAGATGAATCGAGTCTGGGAAGATGGAAAGGCTGTCTTGTGTCATGGGCACAGCACAGCACTGCATTGGGCACGGCGAGTGAGGAGGAAGTGTGAGGTGTGAATTGTGTAAAGCATTGCGGAGGATTGCTTCTGAGAAAGGGGGATTACGAGTTTGAGTTTGGGATTCTTTCTTTCATTCATTTACAACACATTGACAGGGTGCATTACGACTCCCGATCAGTTACCATGAGTATTGATGCTATACGACCCGCTTGGGATGAAGTATACGAGTTCTACAAAACGACCAGTGTGTATTTTATCGCGCGCAGCAATGGCCCCAATACATCATCATCCATCACTTATTGTTCCCCAGAATCTTTTTGTCTACATCTTCTGTCACCAGCTGTCACATATCGAACATCTTACTATTCCAAAATAGCGCACGCAGTGGGGAAGAGTGAGATCTCGACTTCGACTTACTACTTGGCTTTGTTTTGGCCTGGATATCCATCAAGTCGTCGAGCTCTCATACAGAGATCGGACATCTCCACTCCATGCATGGCCAAATCAGCTGCAGATGCTCGACGTTCAGCAGCAGATTGGGCCCGAATCTACCACACACGGTTGCTGAAACCTTCTGGACCTCACACATCACACACAACTGGCACCCTTCGTCTATGCAAACGATCCAAACGATCCTACCAAGATCCCCACGCTGCTCCACCGACGATGATTGGTGCGCTCTGTGCATCATAAAGAGTGCTTTGTTGAAGATCCGATTTGGAATCTGATATCAAATGGAAGCCGCTGTGTTGCGCACATGAGGGGTGCAGTGCAGCGGGTTCTCTGTGAATCATTATTGGAATGTCCCCAACCAACATCAAAGTCAATTGCACAATTGCAGGGTCTAGAAGCACGACTTGCTTAACGTACTCCGCAGAGGATGCCGTCGGCTGGTGGTAGTGGCCCAAAGGGACGCGGTACAGGCGATGATGATGATTCAATCAGATGACGATATGATTGGTACTCGGGACCTCATTCTTACCGGTATGTCATGGTCATGGGCATGGTCATGGTGGTCTCGAAGCGTGGAGAAAGGTCGTTTGTAGTGAGACGGGCCGGCCAGCAGAGGAGAGAGGGGTTGTTGTGAGCGCATCCTTCACAGCATGCAAAACGGGATGTCCATGTGCGGGATCATGGATGCACCACTTTTCGCAGAGCATCAAGACCGACGAAACAGGAATTCGCGTTCTTCCGTCTCATGATGAATAGAGAGAGAGTGAAAGAGGGAGAGAAAAAAATAAATAATAAATAAATATGTAAATAAAAAGAGGCTGGCTGGCGATGCGCTGTTGCCATTGGCCTTGGTGAGGCAAAGCTTCGGCGGATGACCCACAATTTTAAGCTTAGCGCCTCGACTCGGCCAGCCTCGCCATTTTCTCCAGCCTCCTCTTCCCAGTCAAATTTCACAACAAATCAGCTTCCACCACTGTCGTCGTATCCAAGACAATTCTCAAAGGTGACAACCAAGCAAGGCCCACTCCCAGCCTCCTCTGGTCAATACGAGAACACAATCATCTTGTTGTCAAGTCCTGCACCCCTGTATTGACACATCCGCTGCTGACGTAGAATTCTTCTATGCGTGGCTGGAAGACAACTTAATCTGCTGCAGGTTTTTAAGAACTCTACGGTAGCTGCATATGCCGGCATTTTCTCATCTTTCTCTGCATTTCCTCCAGCAGACCATCCCCTCCCACCTATATCGCACTCTTCTTGTATTATACCGATACAAGCATCCTAGCGTTCCCAGTTCTGATCTCAACCTTCTGCCAACTTTGATCACGCTCGCAATCAGAGTGGACTGATCAATTCTTCCTATTTCTTGCGTCCTTTCGCGGATTTCTTTTCTCTGTACATTACACATCGATCTGCATAATGATTTCAAGGTCCATCTTCACGTTTGCAGCGGCTGCACTGCTGTCCTGCCAGAATGTCGCGGCGCAAACATATTCGTCGTGCAATCCTCTCTATTCCAGTAAGTCTCACAACTCCCACTGCTTCCGAAAGTCCGATTGCTAACAAACAACAGCTGGATGTCCAGCAGATACCGCCTTGGGCAAAGCAATCAGTGTTGATTTTACGAAAGGCTCCGTCAACTCCTTCACAGCCTCCGGAACTCCCACCTACGACTCGAGCGGCGTCCATTTCACCGTTGCGGAATCAGGCGATGCACCGCAACTGGCCAGTGTCTTTTACATCATGTTTGGCAAGGTTCAGGTCACAATGAAGGCAGCTCCGGGCGCAGGAATCGTCAGTACGTTGGTACTAGAATCGGACGACCTCGACGAAATTGACATGGAATGGCTGGGAGCGGATAGTACGGAGGTTCAAACAAATTACTTCGGCAAAGGAGATGTTACGACGTACAATCGGGGCGCTTTCAATCCAGCAGCCAACAATCAGGGCGAATTCATTACCTATACCGTGGAATGGACTTCGGAGCAAATCACTTGGTCTGTTGGGAGCACAATTGTACGAGTTTTGACACCTGCAACGGCCGATTCAAACCAATACCCGCAAACACCGATGCGAGTCAAGTTTGGTTCTTGGTCAGGAGGTGATCCTTCCAATCCGGCGGGAACCATTGCCTGGGCTCGAGGTCCGACCAACTACGCAGATGGTCCATTCACAATGACCGTCCAATCCGTTGCGGTTACCGATTACTCAACTGGAACGCAATACAAATATGGCGATACCAGTGGCGACTGGGAGTCAATTGAAGCAGTTGGGGGATCTGTGAATGGTAATTCTGGCGGAGCAGCAAGCACGGTAGCCTCAGCAGATGTGCCTGCAGTGACTTCTGCATCACCGTCCATCCCAGCAGGACTTGGAGACACCCATGGCTCGACCTCGACTCTGACAGGTTGGCCTTGGGTAGCATCTACGACTCTTTCCACAGCAACTCAAGCCGTGACTTCCACTGCCGGCATTCCCAGCGGATGGATCATCACTTCATCCGGAAAAATCGTGCCTGCAAGTTCTGCGGCAGTACGTATGTCCCTCACCGATTTCCCCCAATTTCTCAATCGAAAAAGTACTAACGAATTTTCAGACATTAGCAACATCAACCCTCTACTCTTCAGTGGTCCAATCGCCATCGCCATCATCGCCGCCATCGGGCGCTGGCCTTGAATATTCGACTGGCTACGACAATCAAGGATTCCTTACCACATATACCTTCACAGCAGGGTACCAAACTCTTCCAAAATCCTACGACAATCAAGGGTTCTTAATCACGGCTACACCAACAACTACAGCCTTGGCAACAACGTCCGATGCTGCTTGTTTCGGGCAAAATTGTGGTGCGAACGGAAAAGTGGTTGGTATAAGCACTTCGAGTGCACTTGCAGCGAAAAACACTGCGATATGGCATAGTATCGCGTTTCTTGGAGTGGGCGCGGCATTAGCTGAGAGAATCTTGCTCTAGAAAAGAGCTTGTGTATTATTCGAATGGAAGAGGTAAAAAAAAGGGAATGGCGTTCCGGGATGGACACATGATTGATTAAATCATGGGATGGAAACGATTATGATGAGATGATGATAATACCCACACTGTAGCTACTACTGGACCGTAATAATGAAATATTTTCCATCGAGGGCCGGGGTCTGCGTGGATTATTCGGTGACACGGTCATGCTTGATGTCGAGGCATCAGGGCAGTTTCCACATTGGGACGAGAGGCAACATTTGCACGCTGGTCTTCCTTCTTTCCTCCTTCCTCTAAAATCAACTCCCAAGATGTGTTCTTCGCGCACATCGTGTTTCCCGATTTTCCCTTTTCACAGCAACATCGCTTTCTGCTTTCATGGCCAATGGCCTTCTCCAGTTATATTGCTTTGCATTCCTTCCAGTCTTAAATTTGTTGCTGCGTTGCTAGCGTTACCAAAGGGACAAAGAATGTGATCACCTCAATGCGTGCTGTGTGAGAATTCTTTTCGTCCGATCCAGTACCCGCCAATATCCATTTCGTGTCACTTGTTCTAGGAGTCCTTCGTTACTTTCAAGCACTTTCACCGAGGAATTGCTTCAAGATGGGTTCGCGTGTCGCAAGATTGCGCGCAGATCGAGACGCGAGACTACAACAAAGAATAGAGAACTTGGAGGATCTATGGTATGACGAGCTGGAAGATGACACTGACCTATTCTACAAGCCATGGAAGACGCCCGGAATCGTCCCGGACAACTTGGGTCCAGGCACGGACCCGAGCGCGCAGCCCATGACTCCCTGGTACATTGATACGGATCCCTGGTTCTCTAGCAGATCAATGGATGGCGAATTTTCCTATATTCTTGAGGACATCTCCAAATATGCGAAAGCGAGACTTGGACCCCAGAGAGCGGCTGATATAGATGAAATGATGCAAAAGCTTAAAGGGGGTATGTTCGACCGCGATGTCTTGCTTTGGGGTATAGGTAGCGTACGTACTATTAGGAGCATGCTTATGCCTGCGCTGACCTGAGTCCAGGATGCCTTGATCCCTGATGATGACACGCCTCTTCATATCATAGCAACAGTACTTGAGAATGGCAAGAAACTCGGAACTGAAGACATCGATTTTGACGACGTAGAGGCTGTGGGTTGGGACAGAGAAATAGACGACGACGGTGATGAATACTGGTCGAACAACATCACAAAAAAGAGAAGATACATCAAACCCATTAGCAAGAGGGTCCTAGACCTCTATCCAACAGCAAGCCTTTGGTCGCCAATACGTGAGCTCTGGGGCTTGTTGAAACATCTGCGTATATTGAGAAGATTTGCCGATGGTAGAAATCCTGAAGTCACAGCCAGGCCTCTTCCCAACGGCGAGAACATCCCACCACAACACGATGCTCTTACCATAGCTTGGGTTTTACATCGAGCCTGGATACGTATGTTGCATTACAGAACCCTTGTCATCGGAATCCCTGTAGATGGCTCGCCGAACCCAGAGATAAAAAATAGAGGCTTGGGCTACTTGTATCGAAACTTCCAACTCTCTCTGGCTCTTTTGAGTTTGGAGATGCGGGACGTTAAAAGAGACCCAGAAAGTCAACAAGATAATCTCGCTAGGTATAGCACGATCCATCGTACCTCTCAGGATATTGATGCTGCTCTAAAAGCCCTGGGGCAATTCATTGACACAGAAACCCGACCACCCACACGTACTCGCACAAAAGCCGAAACTCGTGTATACAATCTTCGTCCCGATAGGATCAAACCCGCGATTGAATTGGTAGGTTCGCAACACGTCAAATGCTCCACGCGGAGCACGCATAGCTAATCTTGAAAATAGGCTCTACAAGGCCTACCTGTTATGTGGAAACTCTGGAGTAGAATCCTGCGCAAAACTAGAGATTTTAACAAAGCCTCGGACGTATCCCATATTGAAGATGTGCTGGTGTCAAAGCGACTTGTTTATGATGACGAGTGGTTTTTTATGGCAGAAACACTCATTCGAGATCCGGATTATGACCCAGAAGTTTTTCTCGATGAAGCAGATCCCAGTGTAGAGATGGGAGAGCAGAGAATGATTGGCATTCTTCAAAAAACCGCAGAGGTCAATAGACTACGACGAAACAAACTTCTCCTGACTGAATGGAGTGAAAGCAGGCCGTGGTAAGGAAGGCTCCACCTTCGAAGCTGGTGTTCGTTCTAACTCGCTGTTGTAGGAAACAGCTGTACGTGATGTGTGATACTTCTGCAAAAGGCCAACCGGATCTGATCCCTTTGATTGAAGCCTTCTGGACCAAGCTCGAAACGATGAAGCAGCATTATAAGCTAGCGGAGACCAACAATCCTTCAAATGAAGCGAATGTCTGGTCAAAGTTGTTCACCATCCATCCCCTTGCCACTACCGATCCGCCATCCGCTGCACGTATGGGAGGTTTCTACGAAGGAGACTGTTGCATTTGTCAAGAGGATTATAAAGACGAACCGGACAAAATCTTCATGCGCCTTCACTGTAACCATTACGTCCACTTCACTTGCGTCAGGACAATGTGGGACAACCCCGATAAGCTTACATTCCCATGTCCCCTGTGTCGCACCTCTGCCAGTGATTGGCATCTCCACGATCACGCCGGCATCAGTCCCGAGAATCCAGTTCTTGATGTATGGGACTATGAAGAGCTCGAAGGCATGGGCTACATCGCCGGTGCACCGAATGCCGCCATCCCAACCGACCCGCATCCCGACATGGACGCCCACTATCACCGCACAGATTTGTGCAAATTTGTCATGTCTACACTGTGGGACGAGGATGCAGGGTATCCCTATGTCAATCCTGCTAATCCAAGGAACATGAACGATGTGCTCGTAGGTGGAGCCGGTGTAAGGAATCGAGAGCCATCCGTAGAGATGGCGGTCATGAGGAAGAAGAGGAGGATAAGGAACCGAGCGAGAGCTGAGCTCGCTGCTGACGCTCAGAGAGGATACGAGTTTCTGGACCCAAGCGATGCAGAGAATTTGGGGATTTAAGCTTTGGCCATTTTTGTGAAGGTTTGGGTGTTTTGCTTCGGGGGAGCAGACTTGCGCCTGTTGGATTTTCTGTTTATAATTTTGCCTTTGTTTTAGTACCTTCCTCCTTGTTAGCACCTTAAAGTCTCTGGCACTCTTATTCAATGATCTCGTTACCATCTACCTTGTTTATATTGCTCTTTTCTTCTTAACGGCTATGCAAAAATTTTGAAGCAAGAAGTTTGTTCGGGAAGTTGGCGGTTGGGGGTTCGTTCAGAAAGGAGACATTGGTAAGTAATAATCACCTTTCTTGGAGAATGGGTACAGTTCATCGTCTCAGATAGTGGCAGGAAATCTTCATTCTGGTTTGCTACGACGGATCTCAGACTTCCAAATATCTCGCAAACATCTGCAAGCTCTTGCAAGACGATTCTTCTACAACAGAACTCAGACTTTAACATCTCGCAAAGCATCTGTCAGCCTCCTCTACCTCTAACAGCTCTCACTTCAACCTCAACGGTGCGAACCAGGTCTGCCACCTCCCCAAATGCCTGCGCCTGTTATACTGCCCGATCCTTTCCAAGGTCCATAATATCCTGAGCCCTGATCGTTTTTCAGTTGCAAGCCGCTCTGAATACCGCCTCCTGACTGGAGCGTGCTTTTCGACGTACCCGCGAAAAGATCTCTTTCGGTTTGGGGAACGGGGCTGCGCGCGATCTCCGCATCACTCGGCCTGGGGAGCGTTGTCTTCCACAGCTTATCTTCCACTGTCGGGTTCTCACTTCCAAAGCGCAAAATCCTTATATCTCTCAACTGCTCCTCATTCATATTTGCATAGTATGGATCCTTCCCATAATGTGGGCCCGACCAACGGTCCCATAGTCCATTTTCTGTGATTCCGCCAGCATACCAACCTCCCTTTCCCTCTTCAATCTGCTTGTTGGAAACGAAGTGTCACCCTCCAATACATCGATATCCGTCCCTATCCCTATCCCACACGAGACAGGGCAGCTGGACGCGCCATTCTGCGCAAGTTAACTAATCACCCACTTATCCTGTTCCCGCGCTTCGATGCTCCCCTCCTTCATCCTTGACCGCATGGTCTGCCGCTTCGACATATCGACATCCCGCTGAGAACTAAACGTACTCTTGCCCCCCGACAAGAGAGGGTTGGTCGGGAACTGCGTACCGGCGCTGTTGCGGCGAGAGCTGGATCCTGAGCCTGAAGGTCGGTGGGAACTTGAACTTATCCTCTGGCTTCCGGATCCGTGGTAGGTAGGATATCTGGACTCCATTTTCGTGGTGGGTTTGGAGGTACTGCTGCTGCTACTGCTTGGTTTGGTCTTGCTGGTACTTGAGCTCGAGCTCTTTTTGGTTTTGTGGCATACGCGTTCTGATCGGTTGCATTTGGGACACCGCATTTTGCTGTTTTGGCTGTGTGTGAGGGAGGAATGTTGTAGAGGGAGGGGGAGAGAGGGGGAGGTGGGGGAGGTTTATATAGATTGATGTGAGAGGGTGTGAAGCTGGTGTTGGGAGTGATTCGGTTTGTGGTTCAGAATAAAAGAGAGAATTGGGGTGATGATATAATGGTGCGATGTAAAGAAATGGGGTGCTGGACTTTATTCACTTGCTTGAGTGAGACGTCAGATGGGGTTCTGGGGTATAAAATCTTGGTTTCTTGAAATAGTTCAGATTGCTGAATAATTTTTTGAACTCTGATGAAGTGACAGACGCTTGAATCTCTGACTACAAAAAAGGAGGAGAACCATGAAAGAAGAAGTGATTGATTCACAAATTTGAGTAACTACACTCACCTGACTAAAAGAATAACATTTTATCCAATTATTCTAGAAATCCATATCAACCTGTTAAAAAATCTCAACGCCCCTCTCCGTAAATCATATACCATCACCTTCCATAAATCCCCTTCCCATTCAAACTCCTCGTACTCACACCAACCCAAAATTCTTCCTAACAGCAACCCCAAACCTCTCAATAGCAAACGCCATCTTCTCCTCACTCTCCGCCGCAAACGTAGCGCGGAAAAACAGTTCCTGCGACACGAACCCGCCTCGTTGAGCAATGAACCAACTGCCCTTCGCGACCAGGACGCCTTCTTCGACGGCTGCGAGGTAGATCTCTTCTTCGATGTCGAGGAGCGGTTTGGTGCTTACGGCGGGGTGTTTGGTGTGGTCTACTTTGAGCCAGAGCTTGGGGTTGCTATTAGTGCTGAATCATAAAAGAAGGGGGAAGGGGGATGAGGAGGAGGGAGACTTACAAACATTCCTGCAGCGGGAGGATCCCAAGTGACGAGATCTCGAGGGAGGAATTTCTCGCAAGCAGCCAGGAGGACGTCTCGACGGCTGGTATACTCCATACGTAGGTTAATCAACCATTGCAGATACCCGGCATGGCCCCAATGCTCATCGAGTAATTTGAACAGGATGATCTGCGAGATTCCGGACGGGTTCTGCACGGATGATTCGTTGGCTCGGATCACCCGCTCGATGATCTGCTCTGAGGCTGTGATCCAACCGACGCGTGTGCCTGGTGCGATGACTTTCGAGAATGAGTCCATGCGCATGACGCGCCCGTCGACGTCCATGCTGAGGTAGGTTGGGGCCAGGGAGCGGAGGAAAGCTTCGTTGGACTGGGGTGCGGGGACAGAAGGGGAGGAGGGGCCGGTGTAGGGTTGCATTTGGAGGAAGAAGTAGGGTTCGTCTTCGAAGATGTAGATGTCGTGCTTTTGGGCTACTCTGTAGATGGCTTTTCTTCTTGATGCACTCTGTGTTGCGCCGGTGGGGTTTTGGCCTGTTGGGACGGTGTATAGGACGTGTGGTTTGCGGGCTCCTCTTGCTTTTTCGTCCCATTGGTTTAGTATCTCGTCCATGTGTTCTGGGAGGAGACCTTCGGAGTCCATCTTGATAGGGATGAAGTCCAAGCCAAGAGAAGATGCTGTTTCAACTGCTGAAGAGTATGTGTATTCCTCTGCAAGTACAACATCGCCCCTCTCGCAGAACGTGCGGAGACTCTTGTCTAAAGAAGATGTACTTCCAACCGTAAGAGTACATCCCCAGTCCGCATATGCCGGGTTGCACACCAATTCAGTGTGCTCTGTTATGAACCGTAGCATCTGCGCAGATCCCGTTCCTTGTCCATAATTGAGGGCAATTGAGAGATCATACACACTGCTTCCTTCAGATGCATCATATTTTCCGGCTGTGAGGACTGTGCCTGTTTCTCTGGCTTCCTTCTCGGAGAAGTGGGGTGCGGTTGGGACTTTGACGGAGATTTCTTCGATTGGGAAGTTTTCTGCGAGGGGGATTCCTCCACCGAGGGAGATCAAGCCGGGTTTCTTGAGGTGAACTGCGGCACCTTTAAGGGCTGAAGGATGTCTTGATTTACTTTCGACAGTGAGGTAATCTGTAAGAGTTAGAAAGGGATCAAGAGTGGGGTATACTTTACTTGCGGTCCCATCTTTTGGCTTTTGGTTTGCCAATGGTCTACGATGTCAGTCAGGATACACTGGGAAATTTTTAATACTTACTGGGCTTTTGAACTGGGAGCTACTGGTTCCTGCTGCAGTGCCTGCGATCAGTCTGCCAGCTTTCAATCTTTGTGAAGCAATGCCATTGATAGACAAGGGATCTGGAATAGCAATAGCTTCTGTGTCTGTGACACCTTCGATGTCAATTGCTGAAGGAGGAGCCATAATTTTTGATATGTAGGAGAAATGAAGGACGAGGCTAAGAGATTTGGTACTTATGACGATGTGGACCAACCGTTGACGTTGTCGAGCCAAGGGCGTTTGGACAGCAAACCTAAGAAGCGGTCAAGACAACTGTATGGAAACCAATCCAAGAGTCATAAGGACGTGAAGGTATGAAATGAGAATGCGAGATCGGCCATTGAATTGGGTTGGCTGTAGTCATGGCTTTACATTTGTAGTCAGAGGATCCACATTCCTTGCTCTGCATGTCTTATCGAGTACTGCCGTCGATAAGCGACTCTCACATGTACCCCATTATTGCTTCCCCTCCTACCCCTTTTGGTGTCGCTTGTGAAGTCAATCGGAATGTGATTGGTCGATTTTCACGAGCTTAAGCTTGAGAATGGGTTACTACCGGGAGTGAACTATCACGAAGATGTTCAGTGCGACCAGGTACACGGCGCCGTGCTGGGACTTTGATTTGTCAAGTCACTTTGTTCTAGATCTTGTGTATCTTCTTTGTTCATTTCGCTGCCGCATCCCGAATTCCGCTGCTGCGTCGCGACGACCTTGTTTCGAGGACGTGAAGCGAGCCCCTATCTGTAGCCATCTTTAGCCTGTCTGTAGCAGTCATGTTTTAGACACTTTGATCCTTGGGTGCTTACATTTCGACATTGGCTATCGTTCTTTCTCTGGCAAGAACGATCTTCATGATTGGCTTGTTCATTTTAGCCCATCTCGAATTGTTGCTTCTACTCAAATTTTAATATAGTTCGTGTGGCTTTAACCCTCCGTAGACTGTCCATAAATTTCAGATTGACAAACGTTCGAGTCAGACCAGAAACAAGAATGTACTTTCGAATAAATGTGATCTCATTTTCTCATCCTTCAAAGACGAAGTTAAGGTGTGAACTAGGGTCAAAAGTGGGGTAATTTGAGAGATATGATAGGCTAAATGTTCGGCTTAAGAGCCACATCACACACAGCCTTGATATTAAGTTTTAAGCTGATTCCTGTCACAACAAGCCCGGGTAGCTCAATCGGTAGAGCGTGTGGCTCTTAGCACAGATAACCTCAAGGTCGCGGGTTGTGAGTAGATTACCTCGCAACACACGCTGTGCAAATACTGACAGATATTCAGCGAGCCCCGCCTCGGTATGTACTATCTGTTCTAATATCTGATGAACTCATTCTAATATCAATCTCAGGGCTCAATTCCCGATGTCGTAAGACTCAAACCATTTTTTTTGTTGATTTTTTTTACCTCAGTATTGTTACTGTGTGTTGCCATTCGCTGTATAAGCGAGGCTCCAGCCCTGACGGTAACCTCACGGCGAGAAAATCGTGGCTGCAATTTCTCGTTCATCTTCCATCATCAGTGTTAAAGGAATCCTTGTCTATCTAGCTGAGATGCCGTCAAAGTATGAATCCTATCATCATTCTCCCATTTCATTCAATATTTTGGTTACCGTCTCAAACCCACTCCCATCGAAATGCTGGTGTTATCGCTGTAGCTTTTTCGCATTCAACCCTATTGAATTACGATGGACAAAACTCGAACTAGGCTTAGGAATCCTATTCTGTAGATGCCTTTATCAAGACTATATACCTGCAGCTGGCAAAGGGCATTATACCAGCAGCAAGCATATGTGGAGTCATCCTGGTAGCATGGTCGCATCTACAAATCCGTTGCGTTCAGTCTTTCGTGTGCAACAGTCCTCACACAAGGACAAGAAGGAGCATATACTACTCTGATTCGACGCATTTACAGGAAGGTAAGCGCACTATCGCTCGGCACGCTCCGATTGTGCCAGAACAATACACTCGAAGCTTGAAAGACGCAGTAGACAGTACGTCTCGGATTTAAGAGGTATTGAACACTTGGTAGACTGTTTGATTGCATTGCAGAAGACACATGGTTCGTAGTCAGCAATTGTCATTTGTCATTTTGCGCTAGCTAATCTCTATCATGTTCCATCCATCGATCCCCCATCTCAGCAGCGATTTCTTCCATGTGGGCAACGATTCCATGACACGATGATGGAAAAAATAGACGTGCCACCAAATCTCATGGCTAAATTCTCTCACAACCGCGCAGCTATCCCTATCGTCGACGTCCGATTCAATGAGATGGAGGTGCCCCATTGAGGAGACTCATAAGTTTAGCGAGCACTCTCGTGGTCCTCTCTTGATATCCGTCCTCGTATTGAGCTTCGTAACCTGTAAAATAGTCTGCCATCTTTAGTTCAGACGCTAGAAAGTCGATACCATCTTCCATTTCCTGGATCGAAAGCTCCTCACACCATTGCAAGTCAAGATCGTTGAGCACACTCTCCTCAGCGAGCGATGCTTCCCAATCATCACTGTCATCGGCTTGCGAATTTGATGAGGCTGCTGAGAATGCGCATGATCTAAACGCAGCCAGTGGAAGGGGCGGTGCTGGTTTGGAAAATTCTGCTTCTGTCCAGAAGGGAGAACAATCGTCTTTGAGGTTGTCGAGGAAATCTTGGCGAATAGCTTCCGTATGATTATCCCAGTTAGATTTGGCCGTGTTTGAAGCCCAAGTTTCGAAGGCTATATTGCAGTTCCTATGGTCAAAATCCTTGGCGGAAGTGTATTTTGCAGGCCATCCGGTAGTCATAGGTAGCCCATGAGCCCTGTGTCCTAAACTAAATCTCAGAGGATGTCGTGTGTAAGGAGACCTAGGAAGACCTAGGAATTCCTTGTACTCTAGCTCTTCGAAAGGCACTTCAGCATTAGGTAGTCCAATAATCACCTACGATACGTTATCATTGTATTCACCTCTGAGTAGACAAAACCTTACTTGCCAACAGATCATCAACACGAGATCTCGGATGGGAGGAGCGACTTGAAATCTGGCATCGCAAAAGTTGAACATAGTCTCTTTTCTGCTCAAGGTCAGTCAAAGCAGCTGTTGGTGGGAGATGGGCACTTACCTCTCTTGAACGATGGAAAAGAACGTGGTCCAAGTCCAATTATTAGGATACACAGAGCTTCCATCAAAAGGGTAAGGCACGTCCTTTAATCTTCTCATGGTCGCTTTGTATCTGGTTTCGAATTCACCCAGAATAGTTTCCACGAAGGCCACTTCAGACATTGATACTGGAAGTTCGCGCAAGGACCCGGTGCGGCTCAGACTCCAAAGTGGCGAGGTAGATTCGGTAGCTAATTTCTTGGAAAGCAAAAGTTCAGAAACAAATCCGGTATCCTCCTGTCGTTGTAGCTCATCTTGCTCGAAGATCGTGGGAGCAGAACAGCGCCACCGCTTCTTTCTTTCCCATGGAACCATGGCGTTGATGAGATATAAATGATCAGCTCGAAGGATCAAATCTGCCCGTTGCTTGTCGGTTTGCGAGGTCGCAAGCTTGTGATACACTTTCAGTACACGCCTTTGATACATATCGGCTAGGTAGTTCAAGTACACTGCCAGGGATAAGTACATGAATAATGTGTGCTTGAGATAGGGCTGGGACGTACACGCAGTTGGATGAATGTTGGGGCCTGCATGATACCTCCATACGCCTTCATGCCATATCATGCTCTTGGCGCAATTGGGACTTGCTTGGAATGGCATGAGTTCTTTTTCATTTACCTCATATCGTTGTACTTTCTCGTAAGAACCATGCCATACTCGTCCATTATTGGAAACGATCGAGTACTGTTCTGCAAATTGCTTCCATGATTGCTCGACTTCCTGAGCTCCAGCTTTCTTATCAAGAGTATTTCCAAGTACGGAATGCTTTCAAAGCTCCTCCCCAACCATGTCCTTAAAATTGTGTAAGAGATTTGCTGTCTTTTCTCTTGGAGATTTGATCGGAGCTCTCTTCGGTCGATTCCAGCATTTTTCTGGCCGTTCAACGCCTTTTTTCTTGTAGTATTGTCCACGGCCGTTGCATCTTGACCCTCGCCATTTGTCAGACTCGCACGTACCTCAGTTGGAACACGGTTGTTGAGGCACAGGAGATAGGGAAGTAGTACTGGGGTTTTGAATTAGCTTTAGACCGTACGAAAGGGAAAATAATGCAATTAAACTTACGCATCAGACACCATGATGGTACAAGTTCTGGATCTGGAATCTGGAGACCATTGGCAGCACGTGGTGATCTGAATGGTGTCGTTTGTAAGGATGGAGAAGAGAAGCCTGCATTGTTGAGATAGGAAAGCAGCATCTTGGTTGAGCTCCTACGGCAAGAAGGTGTTTCGTTGGTTGTGAAGTGAGAAGGTGCCATTCGAATGTGTCTTGGCACTCTGAGCTAGGAAAGCACGGGGTGGATGCTCGCTTGCTCGCTTGTGTTTCGCACGAGGAAATTGACGAGACCGCGTTGTCTTTGACACTGACTTCGAATTGAGGTTAGTCAAGTGCGAATTGTCGAAGCTGCTTTGTTTGGTCGCTTTAAGAGTGATGGAATATTTGGAAGGACTAGAGAGGTGTCTCTAAGGTTCAGTGTGCGAGATGTTGAGTGTTCAAGAGATCGCAGAGCTTATATCGAAAGGAAGGAAGCGATCTTGGAATGTTGAAATGTACTGAAGAGAAAGTGGGCGTATTCAAGTGCTGGCCATTAACTTCACCCTTTGCTGAGATACTGTTGGGTCGAGGGCTAGTCAAGGACACCGTCATTGTTGTTTTTAGTCCGGTCGAATGCTGGTCGTTGACTTTACCGGGTGATTTGTAGTCGAGTCGAAAGCTTGTCGTTGACTTTGTCGTTTCTTGAAGGATCCATCGAGCATCTTTGGTCTGAGATCTGCAGGAGGCGCTCGTACCATCCCAAAAGGGCTTTCAGGTACTAGGGCTGCCATCACCAGAGTCCAGATATTCGCGGAATCAAGACATTGTCGTGCAGTAAACACTCGACTCTGTAAACATACCTAGGCATGATACGCGGCCAAAGCTATCATAATCCATGACAGGGTTTCTGCAGGGGGGGGTTTTGTGTTTGGTACGCCTGAAGAAGAAAAAAAGAAGATCGAGCGCGAAACGCGTTCTAATATCGTGGGATTTTTCGCTTCCAGTCAGATCACGTGAGCTCATAATTTGTTAACCTGGGCAATTGGAGCCTGGAAGGCAGAACACCAATTCTTTTTTTTATTTTGACCTCAATCCCCGGAATAATTAATCCGCAGTTAGATAAGTATCATTATTGTTAAAATTTTGTGATATGAAGATGATATTGTTCCAAAGTTGTGGAACAATGTAAGTCCAAAATATCAGCCAAGTTTTTAAAGCTACATTGTAGCCCTCTGACCATATGTTAGCTTGTCAAAAATGTGGAGGCATGCTGCTTCAACTTGAAGAGGGTGAAACAGAATTTGTTCAAGATTTGAAGTCCCTTAGCAATAGAGCACTTTAAAGCGGTCTAAATTCTCTCTTCTTTAGATTAAGTAAAATAATCGAGTCGCAAGAAACCGACATATGATCAGGGAGGCACACTGGAAGAACAACATGAAGAACGACGTGCATTCCCTTCTATTTTGAAGAATGTACTTTTCCTACTTATATTGTCCCACTAACTCTTGAACAATATATTCTTCTATTCCAATTCTTGTGCTACATCCAATCTTCAATTGTACTAACTTGATTCTTTTATTGTTCAATCATGTTCGGGCCAATTGACAGTCTCTAGTCCTTCGCAAAGCTCAGCTCATCTCAGTTTATTCTAGCATTCACGACCCCTTTCTAATTAATTGTTTGGCAGTGACTAGCACCTTCGGAAGAGTTACATGTGTCTTACCCTCCTCGATCGTGACGTTGTCCCCTTGAAATGAGGATGACCAGCTGGCCCATTTTATCCCAATGTTCCCCAGTCCAGTGTGAACACCATCCCACACACCTCTCAGTATTCCACAAAAACATCACGGAAAACACCTTCGTTCCATTATCAAAACTCTCCAGATACTTTCCTCCTTCCCTTTCAAATCATCCGATCTCCCCTCCTCTCACAAGCAAAAACCCACGCCACCAGCACAAGTACCACAATGGCTTGATCACAACATGCTCGTCAAACCTCAAATGCCCACCTCAAAATTGCCGACTTCGAGTCCGTCCCTGAAAATTCGGGTCCTTGTGTTTCTGAACCTCTAGTATATTCCCGCAGTGGCGGACGAACTTTCTTTCACCTAGAATTTCGTCCGCCCGGATCAGGAGATGTGTTACCTTGTCGATTCCTTTATAATTTTCAGCATGGCCTGTTTTCTGCTTTCTTTGAGTAGAACGAGTTCTTGGGAAGATACAGCCGTGTCGTATTGGCCATTGAATAAAAATTTCAATTGACATTGAGATGGCAAGTATACTTCAAACCCGCTTTGAGCTCACATATCCTGCGATACCATGCTCCGAGTCAACGTATCCATCATATCAATGGTTGTTTCTGCTTCAGCGAATGTAAATGCAATGCTCCTCTCATATAAAATTTTCGAGCTAATCAGTCTAGATGTCCGGCACCATTCTCTACGCTGCATTTGAATGAATCGACGAATTCTCTGCCTGAGCCTCCGATTGAGTTGCGCGCTTTGGGAAGGAAGAGGAGACGAACGAGGGCGAGGGCATACAACGAGAGGGCGTATTGGAAGATTGAGTAAAGGGTTTGAGGTATGGGGTGAGACTAAGGTTGAGAGTCAAGATGCGAGGAAAGCAGGAAGGTGAAACATCAGTGGGCTATTAGATGAGCTGCGAACATACATTTCAGTTGTCTTTGAGGGATGTCATGATGGAACTCCTTTGAGTCATGGAATCATGCTGGACATGTAATTGAGATATGCACGCTTGGTTTCTTGGGTATTCTGCAATGCCATAGACTTTATTTCTTTCAAGAATAAACTCCCTCATTCATCCTCAATCCTCTTCAAAATCCTAATCCTAGGCTCCATCCTAGGTCCCACCCACCACCCACCAGTAACAACCCTCACCATATCCCTCACTAGCTTAAACGTCCCAAATCTTCCAATCTCCTCCATCAACAATCTCGTCTTCAAGTCATTGATCTCCCTTTTCTCCCTCTCTTTCTCTTCATCCCACACCACTTTTCCCTCTTCGCTTTTCTCAACTGCTTCCTCGACATCTTTTCCTTCTAACACTTCTTCATTGCCTTGCTCATCAGTCTTCGTTAGATTGTTGGCAGCATACACTCGTTCCAAATTTTCAGAAAACGAACTCCCGTCTCCAGGACGGAGGAACTCGATACCGGCGTATGCGAAGACTGTACTGACAATTTCCCATTTCCCAATTGCTTTTCCTGGTTCCTCCATCATTGCATAATCGAATTGGTCCCAAAAAGCTGGTTCGAGGACTGTTTTCTCATCTTCAGTTTTATCGTACGTGATATTCAGAAGTTTGCCATTCAGCTCGGTATTAGGAGGCAGCTGAAGGAAGCGAGTAACGCCTGTCATACACGACAAGACATCCATGTGTACATTGGTGTGGGTAAGTTCATTGGGTGCGGTGTCAAATTTGGTATGTTTGACTATGTCGTGAAATTGTGCCAAGGCATCTCCACCTGGATAGTTGAGTGAGGAGATGAAAAGCATGCCCATTGAAGCTATAAAGCTGCCAGCAATGGATGCTATGACTAGTAGAGAGCCAAGTCGGTACAAGATGGTCTTGGATCGTCGATTCCAGATATATGACGCGGAGAGAGATGCAGCTGCTGTGAGAGCCGGTACAATGTAAATGATGAATCGAGCTTCTTTGTGCGGTTGTAAGCTGTAAACTGCAACGAACAAGATAGAGGGTATGACGAGGTCCCGAGATGGTGATTTGATTGCAGGTAAAGCGAAGCCCATGGGAATGAGCAGTAGTAGAATAAGTGGATTCAGGATTAGCTTCGGGAGCAAAGAGCTGAAATAGTAAGTGAACGGAGAAGTTCCCCAATCTGCAGACTTCCCCTGCACAGCATTGTAATAGAAGCCAGCGAGCTCAGGCCAAATCGGGGTTTGCCAAAAGTACGAATCAATGGGAACAGAAAGGACCAGTGCAATAATTGCACTAACAATCCCAGTCGATATGATGGTTTGCAGAGATATTCTGCCTTGAACGAGCAAGTAGAACAGCTGTGAAGCCAGCAGAGCTGCAATCTCAGCCCGAAATATCACCCCAGCAAGCACGAAGAGGAAGATCCCAAACTTCTGCCTTCTCTGCTGCTCAGCGACCGAACTTCCCGGAGCAGGAAGAAAACTTCCAAAAGCAAACGTTGCTACTTCAATTCAGCATAGATCACTCTAATAGGACGATACACACTTACTAAGTCCGAACGCAAACATATTTGGCAAGGTCCTCGAAGCATAATATATAACATGAAACTGTGCTGCTTGCAGCAATATATACCATCTCCCTACATCTGGTCCAAAAGCTTGATTCAGGCTAGTTTTGTATCTCAACAATGCAAAGGCATTGAAGAGTCCTAGAACGGCTCTTGCTATCAATTGCGCAGATTCGTATCCTTTGAGGGCAATCAATGGTTTCGAGATTCCAGCTAGAGCCAGAGCTCCAACAAATGTGCGTGGAACAGCACCAGAGAATGAGACATGATCATAATTCCTATGTAAGAAGGCGGAGGTATTTCGGAATGCTATGCCGTGTGTCGCGATATCGTGGGTAGCTTGGATGTTGAAGGATTCCTCGACCTTGGTATATGGAGCTATGAGGAGATGAAGGATGATGAGGGCAGGAATGATAACTGGGAGTATGACATCTGCAATTACTCATTAGCAGCTTTAACAAATATCACTGAGAAGGGCAGACAATTCATTACCTGCAGGATGCATCTTGTCAAGCTCAGCAGACAATGGCCACGATGCCCTGGGGATCCAACGTAGAAGATGTCTTAACGTCTGCGGTTATTCAAACGCACAATCACTCCATGAAGCCTCTCAGCAGAAATCGCATCACAAACACCTCACTTTCAATTTGTGAAAGAGAAATTCGCGAAGACACAACTTGGTGTTTCTCCTAGCCTGCCGAACCCCAACCTTCCATCCCCAGCCTCGTTCTCCCAAAGTTTCGCCAACGAAAAACAACGTCCGTGCACGAACCACAAATTGTCAGCCTCGACCATGTCTCCTCCCGTAGTCTTCTCACAAGCTACCTGGCAACAAGACTATCCTTCTCCCACTTGCACACCCTGCCTCTGCGCCCGACAAACACCTGTCCCCGACACAGAATCAAAGATGGCCATGCTGTTTGGCTTCGGAAACCTGATTTACAGTACGTCTCCCCTTCGCAGAGGAAAAGAACACGGAGCTTCGCGCTGCTAGCAATTTGGAAGAGTGTTGCTAATACGACTTATCTTACAGTCATTGTCCTCCTCACAAACGCCATAGCCATCCTCTCCGAAGACCGATTCCTCGCGCGCAGTACGTCGCTTTCCCACCCCTCTTCCACAGGTCTGTAACTAATACGCCGCACAGTCGGATGGTCAAACACGGTACAACAGCCAGGCTTCGGACAACAGGTCGGCGGAGATGCGAGTATCAAGCACAAACTCATCAATCTGATGACGAGCGTGCGGACTTTGATGAGGAGTACGTATACCTACACTGTGGACAGAGATTGGGGGCTAATGGGGAATAGTTCCACTGATTCTGATCAATACGGTCATTATTCTGTATGAGTTGTTCTTTGGATGAGGGGTTGAGATGAGAGGAAAAGTGTGCTGCATTGCGTTGGCGTTTGGCATGGTGGACATAGTCAATGAATGATACGATCCCCGCAGGTGTTTTCAATCTCGTTTTGTGATTCTGTGCTTGCGAAATGGAGAATGTTGGCTGGGACTAGAGCTATTCCAAGTGGGAAAGCTAGAGATGCTTCGTTCAGACAACGAGAGCAGGCATTTTTTGTGTGCAGGTCCGAATTCAACAAGTGTTCGGAGTCTGAAAGCTTCTTTCCCCTCTGAAAAAGACCCAAGCACAAGTCAGAACTTCTCACTAGCAAATTCTCCCACTTCAAGATCGCTTTTCTCCCTATCAACAACGCCTTTCTCCAAGAGATGTTTGATTCAGACAACGAGAACAGGCACTTGTTATATACACTTCCAAACCCAACAAGTGCTCAGAGCCTGAGAGCTTCTTCTTCTCCCCCCCTGAAAAAGACTCAAGCACAAATCCAAACTTCTCACCCTCAAAATCACCCATTTCAAGATCATTCTCCTCCCCTCCAACAACACATCTCTCCCACCTCATCCTTTTACTCAAGAGTTGGCATCAATCTCTCGAGGGCCAGGTCGAGGTCGAGGTCGAGGTCGGCTTGTATGGGAGTTTCATTGACGTACATCCTCCTCCACTCATCCCAATTTCAAAATCTACAAATCTACAAACCTATTTCTCCACATAAGAGTCTTACAAGTACTCTCTTAAAACCAGCTATCCATATCCTTCCCTCCACCAAGTTGATACCTTTCCAAGCCCCAACACCTCTCGCAGCAAGCGAACAAACGAAAAGCATTATTCACTTTCACCCCCGGTTCAAACTTCAACCCATACATAGATAGGTATATCCTGCCTTCTTTCTTAATCACTGTCATTTGATTTTACACAAGACCAGAAAGAAAATAAAAAATAATTATGAACGAGTCTAGCTTTCTAATAAGTACTAATAAACAATCAAGTTTATTAGATATCCACAAGTACTACCAGTAAAAACCCTCTTCTAGATCTGACAACATAGGTGCCGAGTTTAGTTCTATTGTTTAGGAGGTTAAGCTCAACCATTCCCTCCCACATATCTACGTCAAGCTTCCAAGCCAAGCTCACTCAATCAATCCACAACATCAGAACCATTAATCACATCTCACACAAATTCAAAGATAAATCAAAACCATCAACATCTCAATTCAATTGCACTTCACCAGCCCCAGCTCACTACTTTCCAGAGCCAGTTTAAAGTTAATCAGTTATACAAGAATGTCGTTTCAAACCCATCTTTCTTTCCATATTATCCATAAAACTCCCCTCCTCATACAGAGACAGATATCCAAACAACAACAACACACATACACGCAAGAAATATGCAAGCTCCGTCTCCTTTCCAACCCCCTAACCACCAATCTCTCCTTCCGCCATGATGCTGTGCATGATAGATAGATACGTGAGATTTTTTCCGGGTATTTGTTCTGCCCCATATGCATGATGAAAAAAAGAGAAAGAACCGAGATGGGGTCATAGATCGGAAATGTACAGATCCTCCTTTCCTTCCCTGCCTATCCGTCCGTGGTGAGAAAGCTCACGAGTTCATAAGATTACTCTTCTTCCGCCCCAACCCGCTGAAACTAAACCGATCCTTTGTCGTCTTGGAATGTTTCTCGGGCGTCTGGATACTACTCGAAGAAGCAAGTTCGCCCACCCCCTCGACGGCCGTATCGTCCGTTGTTCCTGTGGTCGTGGTCGTTTGACTGGTACTCGGCGTGACGCTGCTCATACTCGGACTGCCCTTCTCGCTGCTCGTACCATTCTTCCCGCTGCCGCCCAGGAAGCCAAAGCTCTTCCGACTCATGCTCTTGCTACCCTTGTGACTCCTGCTCAATCCCGACAGCCCGAACGTTTTCTCGTGGCCATTTTCTTTCTCCTTGCTTGTGTCTGAGGAGGGTCCTCCGGACGCACCAGCTTCCCTCTTCCGGCGCTCTTCTTCTTCGGCTGCGGAGGCTTTGCTGGCTGCTAGCGCGGCTTTGACTTCTTCCGCTTGAGTCTTTTGGTATTCTTTCCGCTTGTATTCGAGGTCTTTCCGCCGTTTTTCTTCGGCTTTGATCCTCTCTTTCTCAGCGGCTTTTTCGGCTGCTTTGCGGGCTTTTTCTGCTTCCTTGTTCTCTTTCTTCTCGCGCTCCTCGTCTTTTTTGCTTCGCATCTTGTTGATGTCTAGTATTGGGACAGCTGGTGTTGTGGATGTTGTAGATGTTGGAGGAAGTGTGGTTGAGTGGCGTAGAGCTGGATGTGGGGCTTGAGGTACAGGCGATGTGACAGCGTGATCTAGAGAGACGAATTCGCCATTCTCGTCAACTGGAGTATTAGGGATAGATACGGCTTTCGATACCGAGGATGGATGAGTGCCGTTTGGTTGGGGATGTCCAAGAGCAATGTCAGCTTCTTGAGATGCTAGCGCAACCTCCGCTAATCCTTCGGCCTCTTGCTCTTTGCGCATAGCTTCTACTGTGGTCTCTTGATAGAACAGAACATAAGCACATGCCATACCTGGCTTGTCTCCAAAGAAGTTCCGTACATAGTGCTTATCGACAGGCTCAACCATTTCATCGTCGAATAACAGCCAGCCACGATCTTGAGTTTTGATGACTGAAATGTAGTGTCCATGGTACGCGTTGCCACCAATGTGAACAACAACAGCGTAAAGTTCGTACAGTCGATCAGGATCCTCGGCGTCATCTGTTGTGTTGAACATTCGTAGGTGGTAAGGGTACACAACTCGGTGGAAAAGCTTCTGTAACCGAGTCATATCTTCGGTATACTTGAATCTCTTGAGGTGCAAAGCCAAGATCTTGGGCAAACGCTTAATTTTCATGCGCTTCTCAGCCTCTTGTAAACCACCGCAGTTGTCGCAGTGAAACTTGTTTCGTTCGCAAAGCATTTCTTCGGCAGAAAACTTTCGTAAACAAGATGTGACTGATGAATGTTGATCTAAATCGATAGATAAATCCAAGAAAGTCTCGTCTCGCTGAGAAGCGGTCTCGCATGTTAAGCATTTAGTCTCAGATGTCAAAACTCCCTCGAAGATTTCGTGAACCCAGCCAGTTCCAGGTGATTGCGTGCCGCTATTCAGTCCCATTGCATGGGCTGCTGAGGTCACCGCAGCTTTCATGGACTGAGCTAGACTGTCATCGGTCTTCGGTGGTCCTAATTCCCTGATCCGTTGAGCGTTTGCTTCAACGTTCGAGATCACAGCGTTTAGAACCAGCCCGTAGAACTCGTGAGCATCCTGGTGCATTGACGTTCGAAACATTTCGTTATCGCGCTTGAAGATCTCCAAAAATCTTTGAGGACTCAATACTCCTGTCCGCGACGGGTTGGCGATCAGAGCCATGAAGATGTCCTTCAGCGCTGTGAATGTCGATTCCTCCATACCGTAGGAGCTCGCATTTTCATATGTGAGTTCTAATATGGGCCCTGCCAACATCGCATGCTTCTTCTTGTATTCGGGAGAATCTGGTTTGTCTTCGGGTCTTTGTCCTGGTGATGCGGGAACAGGTTGGCCAGCATTTATGGCTGCTCTTCTCTTCATCGCTTCAGCTGCTGTAATTCCTTTTGGTTTCGCAGGTGATACTGCTCCACCATTTTGTATCGGCGCTCGTATAGGTGTGACGATCTTCGGATATCCGTTTGGCGTATCGAGAGGTGAGTGTGGGGGATATCGAACGACATGTTCTCGGAATGGGACTGAGTAGTATAAGGCTTGTACGATCGAATTGCAGTAACTGAACAATTAGCTTCCAGATTCTTAACTTTGTTTTGTTGCACAAACCATGTATTTCCGAACTAGAAGTAAGGTTAGTAGAATTCTTGAGATAGTAACTCTTGAACGTACATTCTCCAAACCAAAGAACTTGTCACTTCCATCATTCCGAATGGGCCCAGCATTTTGTAACATCTTCACCAGCGGGGTGATTTCTGGCTCTGGTTCGGCATCTTTCTTATTCTTGTGCGAAGGGGAGGATACACCTGGACTTGTTGTTCCCTGGGATTTGTCAGTCGATGCTCAAGACAGAACAATGCTCCGGCGCGTCTCGAAACAGAACCCAATGCCATTGAAGCATTGATTGATAGCAGATTCCACAGTGATACTAAGAATATACTGACAGAGGTCCCCTTGAATTTCGAGAAGAGGCCAGACATGGTGTCGTGTGTAGAATCCCCTCAGGTTGACTTCGGCCTCGCAAAGCCGCGAGGGCGGCGGAGAAGTGAAGACAAGGCGTAAATCAGATGGATATCATGCGCAAGATTGTTCGAACATTAGATTCTGTCCGTAATCAAGTTCTCCGTCCGCAAATACTGCAAGTTCACAGCGCGTTCTTCAGCAAGTCCCAGATGCAGCCCCAGTCGGTCGTAATAGCATGGGGTGTGGCGCGGGGTGGGTGGTCGTGTCGGGGATTGGCAGCCTGTTTGTGGCAAGTGGTGCAAATTACTCAGGTTTGTAATGGCCGATGGATGAATTGATCGTGTGCAGAAGAAACGGCGAATGCAAGAATGACAGGTGAATCTTGGGGGGTCGTGAAGTGAAAGTCGGACTGAGGACGGACTTTGGCTTTGGGTGGTTGTAAGTAGTTGGTCATCGGCTGTGCTCCGTCGCCGTGGGACCTTCGAATGAACGCTGCTGGTGGAAGGTGGAGGCGGCTTGACTCGATCTGGCGACTTTTCCTCTCAGCTGCAGGGTCGGGAGGTTCGAGAAGAAACAAAGAAACAAATCACAGACACAGGCAACGACAACTCGAACCGACTGTCAACGTTTGAAGCGCAGCAGGGAGGCAGATCTGGGTGGTTAATAGTGTCAACCCGTCAAACTCTCTCTCTCTCTCTCTCTCTCTTTGATCAACCCCAGCAAGATCCCGCGGAGTCTGCTCCCCGCCCTATGAGAACCAGCACCGACGATTGGGATACCTACAAATATTAATTGCAGACAATTATCCCTCATTCAGCGCAATATACCCAGTAGCAAGTCATCTTGAGATTTGATCAACGTCGACGCTGTCTTTTCCCCAGCATCCAGACACCAAGCAAGCAAGGTACGGAGGTGAGTCTTTTCCCACTGCAGTGGCCCTGTCTAGTGGCATTCTAGTGAGGAATTTACTGCATCAGTCGATGCTTGCAGCCATCCCAAGACTTCTCCAACACTCCAACACCCCAACAATGACCCTACGGGTATCCCAAGACCGAACCCTCTCGGACCCGCAGACCAGAAAGACACTGTCAACCACGATAGCGGTCTCATCTTCCGACACTGACACTTTGACATGAGTTTGCCCCCAGCTTGGGCTTCACGAATGAGCTGATACCGGTATCGATCTACCTCTAGTGCGAGTACAGGGTCTCACAGTCAAGGCAAGGTCATGGCCGAGTGTATCACGGTCCCAAGTATCACAACCAACGCCTTTCCCTGGGACGAGACAGACGAGGGTGTTGTGGGGTAACACGACGAAGAACCCTCGTGGCCGTTGGATTCTCGGGGTCTCCATGTCCCATGTCCCATCTCCAATATCAGAACGTGCTTCACTTCACGCAGTAGCAATAGCCGTGTGTTATCAACCCACTACTGCTTGCTGCACACCCACCTTTCCACGCAGCAGCATCAGCATCAGCATGGCATCCAGCATCCAACATATCGATTTCAGACAGATATCCGTTCGAATGGAACGTTTCCCCCTCCCCACTATGACGAAAATACCTGCAGCAACGGAGTCCAAGCCGAGAAATATCCTATCAGCACAAGGCACCCACGAGAAGGCTGCATTCTTCTTTGCATCTTCGGTCCGTTATGGCTGGCCAACTCAGAAAGACATGCTTGCTGTAAACGAGGAGAGCGGTCGTTCTTCAACGACCGATGGTAGACGAATACCGAACGCGAGACGGGGCTCATGACATTGAAATGACCTCAGCACCGCGCTCTCATGATGATACTCGGGAGACACCAATATTCTCATGACTGCTTCTGATCCTCAGCTCTTTGTCGCACATGATTCAGACAATAGGATCGTCTCGGCTCCATCGCATCGCAACCGACAATCGAGTCCAGTCGAGTCCCCCTCTTCGACCTTCCCGCGGCTAGCACCAATTGCTGACCTTCCAGAAAAGCTCCTGCATGAACCTTCCTCGCCTTCCCACCGATGACGAAGAGACTCTAATCCCCAACCGCCGAAGATCTTCACGCCCTTTCTGCCAAAAAACCCATAACCTTACCAACCACTCTTTCCACATACATTCATTCATGCAAACAAACCCCCAAAAACCAACAAACGGTATTATTACTCCCAGAGACTGACTATTCTTGAAGAAACCCAGTCCAAAAAACGCCTTCCACTCGTCCACAAACACTTTAGCCGGTCCCCTCCTCCACTACCCTACCCAACCCAAACAAGATCCAGCATCAACACAAACTCGGTTCGGATCAAACTACCCCACTTCCGGATTCTGCTGGGCCGCACCTGTACTTTTCCTGCCTTTCTTCTCCTGTCCATTTTCGATTCTCCTCTTCGAAGGAAACTCTGCATGCACGCCACTTTCGCACCTATTCAATATTTCGCGTCGAACCTGACAAAAACTCGGTGAGCTCGTACGACGTCGTATCTCAAAACCACGTGGAAACGAAAAGATCGCCGACCGGACCCAGGATCGCGGATCTGGCCCCCAACCCTTGAACGGAACGGAACCAAACCAAACTCAAAGACGAGCTAGGACGGAAGAATAAAAATCAGCTAGGTGACTGACGGTCGCTCCGATGTGGGGTATTCGCACTATTTGATCAAGCTCGTCTCGTTGGGGAGATGTTTGGTTCCGGTTCTCGTTTGGGGTTTGGAGATTGGAGAAAGGCTCTTCTCTCAGTACTCTTATGGATTCGTGATACTGCAACACCCGAACTCGAGATACTAGCCAGTATTGAAAACAGTTACTCTCAATTTCTAACATAGCTTTTAGTTTTAGTTCTGGCTTTTAAGCGATAGCATCCTGAAACGAGATTTAGAGAAATGTTTCCTGCGCTGTATATTGCTAGATAGCATCAACGCAAGATTATTTCTTAATAAATTGACATCTGAACGAAATAAAACAAGGATATTACATAATGGGTCAAATCTCTCTGCAGAATCTTACAGTCAATCGAAACCACAATCCCAGCCATGAACTCGGAGATCTCGATCTCGTGGTATGAAAAATTCCTGCCCTGAGCCGGCCGGTAGAATTGAGAATATATAGGAATAGAAAATCCAGCATAACTGAGAAGAAAAGAAGCCTTGCCAAGAAACTACTCTTTCTGAGGATAGAAATATAGATAGAACATCTGAACCTAACAAGATTCGAAAGAAATCAAGACTTACCAAACCCCTCACTCACATCACCACACACACACATCAAGGAACCCGTAATAAAATAGATAGATATCAACTCGCTATTCATGCTACCGCTCAAATGCTCCGAAAAAGAAGTCTCAAAAAGAAGAAACGCCATCCATACCCAAATCTAACCCTTCTACTCGTACATCCCCAACACCCCTCCCAGCTTACTTCTCCCCCACATCCACCATCAGTCTCTTCAACTTCCTCGTCGCAAACGCCGCCCCAATCGTACTAAACGCCCCAATGCAAAAGCAAACCGCAATCGCATTCGGCCCATCCGTACTATGATGCTCGCTCGGATCCGCATCATGCGCCAACTCGGGGCTCTTCCCCGGCTCCAAGATCGCAAAGACGACCGTGCTGATCATCGTGCCGATGAACTGCGGGATCGTGGTATAGATGTTGAGGATGCCGAAATAGAGGCCGGAGAGCTCGCCTGTGGAGTTCACCGGGTCGTCTTTCTCGTCGGGGCCGTGCTCGAGACGGAGCGGCGAGGAGAGCTCGAGGTTGTCGGCTGAGGAGAGGCGGTGGTAGGCGGCAGGGGAGGCAGAGAGGCGGTTGACTTCTATGCCGAGGAACGCGCTGGGGGCCCAGGAGGCGATGACCCAGGGGAAGCCGCAGAGGGTGACGATGAAGGTTGCGAAGCGGAAGGAGTGCGCGAAGGGGGCCATGAACATGGAGAAGCTGAAGAGAAGGTGGCCGTAGATCCAGGCGGTGAGCAGATCGGGTTTCCATTTATTGACTGAGGTGACGAGTCCTGCGATTGCGGCTGGTGGGCGGGCTGTGAAGTTTGGCTCGTCGGGAGATCTGATGAGAAGGGGTAGTAGAACAGCTCCTATGGTGGTGACGATCGAGAATAGGACCAAGGACAAGCTCCCTATCCGACCAATGTCTCCTAGAGCATCGCTCGAACCCTTGAAATCTTTTGGTGCGTCGTACCTGAAATAGATTTCTCCAACAAAGGTAGTGCTGTAGAATAGGAACGGAAACCATCCTATCCAACTCCAGAGCTGGACGTTACAGATGGCTTGAATCCGTGGTGGTAATGTAGTCAGGGTTCTGAAGACTTTCTTGAAGATCATAGAAACACCTAGTGGTGCATCACCATCCCTCCCAGATACTAGGACTCGTTCATTGACAGCCCAAGACGTAACGCCGCAAGTGAAGACCAGTGCAAACGCTGCTACGACAGTTAACTGCTTGAATTGAGTATCGCCGAAGGTGGTTCCAAAAATAGAAACAAGATCCATTGTTCCTATCACGTAACCTGTAAGATGGCCCATCGAGACCATTCTGCTTGCTTCATAGGGTCAGTGATGAGTTTGAAGCAAGAATCTGGATACTTACCCCAAGCACTACCAGATTGTTGTTTTGCAATTGGTAACGTATCAACGATCAAACTCCTGCAACTTGCTTGGACTACGCAGAATTAGCCATATCCAATGATTACACTTGTTAGACTTACCAGCATTGATGGCAAAATCTATAGCATAAATTGCCAACACAGCCACAAAAACCGTGCAGGTCTTCCTGAAGTCCCCTTTTTGCACAAAATATGCCACAATCTCCTTCGCCCATCCAAGCACCAGCAAGAACACTCCCACCACAAACGAACCCACGATCATGATCGGTCTCCGTCTGCCATACTTCGACTTCGACCTGTCTGCAATAACACCGACGATTGGCTGCATTATCAGACCCGACAGCGGTCCTGCGATCCAAACAAGGGATGTGCGCGATTTCGTGAGCCCAAGGGCGAGCAGATATGGAGTGCAGTCTATCAACACGAATTAGCAATTGAACTCCAGAAATCATAATCCATAACTCACAAGTCATTTCAATGCCCCACGTGAACCTGCAAAACCTTATCAGCAAAATTCGGCTCTGGACAGAGTCTAACATACTGTAAACCCGCCATCGAGAACGTCAACAACGCCATGCGCATCGCCTCCGTCGAACCTTTCACAGAAGGCTGCCCCGCCCATGATGCCATCTCTTCCGCACTTCTATACCCCGTTCTCCCTCTACTATACCTACGCGGCCTGGGCGTCGATGTAATCGGGTCGTCGTCTCTGTCTGCAGCCCTGTCTTCAGCCTCACCCCGTATGCGCAGCGTGAGAGGAGATTCCGGAGATCTAGCCGCGTAATCATCGTCAGTCGCCATAACCAGATCTCCAATTGATGTAACGTGAATGATGGCGAATGGGGGGATACTTACAAAGGAGTAGCAATCACATATCTCCCGGAATTTTTGGGGAAGTTGCTTTTGAGGAATGAGGTAGCCTTAAAGGTACCACGCACTATTGGTGTTGACAGGTAGACGGGAAAATAAGGCTGAGACTTGGAGCGCCCTCGGTTATATTTGGAAGGGGGTCACGAGATCAATTCAGGGGTACCTACCAAGTGTATATCTGGAGGCTACAATCTGTGAAAGTCTCGAGGGTTAAAGGCCTATCATTTCTTCTTAAAGTACGTATCGATGTTTAACATGCGAGCTAAGGATGACAATATATCAAACAAACAATCTTCCATATGGGTATCTATTAGACTGATGACAGTAATATTGACATTTCATTCCTTCAAATTTTCTGCATCTTCTCCTCCAATTCCTTGACCCAGCCTTCGACTGTTTTCATGTTACCACTCATGACTGTTTCGCCTTGCTTCATAGCTGCTTCGACTTTTTCAAGACCTTCTCTCCACTTTTTAATGTCTTCAGCCATCTGTGTTTGCCGTTCTTCGACCTTGGTCAAACCCTCACTAGCAACAGCAGCATCTGCATGGATTGCCCGTAATGACCGTAGTCTATCTAATAGCGGTGGAAGAAGTGGTGCTAAGTTCTCGATGGTGGCCAGAGTCCCGTACAAGGCATTGATTTTGGCCACTTGCTCCGAATCTTCACCTTCCTCTGCAATGTTATCGCCACCCGCAGCTCTCAGGGCATCTTGGGCTGCCTTTGCTGCTTTTCGTGACTCTTCGAGCTTTTCAGCTTCTTGTGTAAGGGTACGAACTCTTCTGCTAATGCTGTCTAACGAGGAGGGAGAGGATTCGGTGATCAATGATATCTGCCGCTGTAATGTCTCGAGACTTGGAAGAATGGCTCTGGGAGTTGCACTCGTAGGGAGGTCGGTGGGCCCGAGCCCTAAAGCTCTCTCGAGCAGAGCCAAACGAGTGTCGAAATCCGCAGCTTTGGCCAGAGCATGGCTCTGTTGGTATGTTGGTGCATATGTAACTGTATATGTAGTTGGATCACTTTTCCCTTGCGATGTTTGTGGAGGTCCGTTGGCCTTTATACCGGTTCCTAGGTCTTTGGCAAACTTTGCGGCCACACTGACTGGTGCTGAGCCTTGGCTGGTCGAGATTCCATCGAGCATCCTACTCAACGTTGTGACATCTACCCCGAGGTCTTCGCCGTCTTTTCCAGCGACACTCTTGTTCTCGGCTTGTCTCTTTCCGTATTCCTCCTTCACTTCTTCAATTTCCCTCCTTAACCTAGCAAGCTTCCTTCCAAGACTTTCTCCATCCTCCTCGTCACTGAAATCCCCGTATTCTTCTGTACCATCTTCTCGTCTCCGCTGTCTCCTCGTCGAGGTCTTGTATGATTTCCTCTTCGCATTCACTCGATCCGAAAAGTCCACATCTCGAGCATCTACTTGGGCAGGCAAGAAATGTGAGCGAGCTTCATCAGGTTGCAACCTCTCACGGGAAATGCCAGACTCCTCGTCATCTTCGTCGAAATCCTTGTACGATGAGGTGGTCGATTCAGAACGAGCTCTGCCAGTCTGTAGCTGGTCAGCAGAGGCCCAACATGTGCAAAGACATCAATACTGGAGCTGTAGAATTGTCGTCGGTCAACTCTGGTGTCTCATATATATCTGGTGCAGAGTCCTGTAGGCAACATATTAGCTATGCTTGTCGAAGTCCGTGGCGTGAGCCATACCAGATCTGGCAACGCTGCATACTTCCTGTTTGAGGCCATCGTTCAATGTTGGTTGTTGAGAAGAGCAGTTCACTTAGAGCTTCAAGAATTCAAAACGCGTGCTGCAGGGTTTCGTTTTTGGCGTGGGAGCTTGGACCACTTCGAGATGAATTTCCAACTCGCGTTTAGCAAAAAAGTTTCTACAAACCTTCCAATTGCAAAGAATATTATTTCAAAGTTCTTAAGTGTACAAAGAATAGTATTCTGTCTCCTTGACAGATTTTCCACAGCCTAGTAACGCACTCCCCCAGAGATGATCCGCCTCCTCTGCCCCGCAATATCGCTTAAACCTCCACCAATTCCTTAAGTAGTTTTCGACGCGACTGACGCGCTCTTGCTCCATCCATGGCATCTCGGAGCGACTTTGTCTGGAAACTCAATCTCGACAATAAATCAAGCAGGCGCATTGGGATCACGAAACCTCGGCAGTCTCTCTTCAGAACAATCGATGGTCCTACAAAGTCCGCACAAGAGATCATGCCCCCAAAAAATGCTCCGAAACGCTCGAGCGGGCATACGAAAAAGGCACCAGTAGAGCCTGTCCAAGCCGAAGATGATGAAGACATCAACCGAGTTCCAGATAACTCCTCCGATGATGAGAGGCCTTCCCCAAACATCAAACCAACCACTTTCACCAAAGGTTCAGAGAAACAGAACGGGATTTCTGCACTCGGGAAAAAGCAGAACAAACCTACGATAAATGGCAATCCTTCACCAGCTTGGAAGGATGACAAGGGAGGCTACAGAGGGACCTCAAGACCACGTCGTGGGGCAAATGACGCACCTTCATCCAGTGCTTCCAGTGCTTCAAAGACCAGCCCCAAAAGGAAGAGTCCGGCAGATACTCCAAAGCTTGGAGCTGGTATGTTCGATGCTTTTGGTCAAGCCAAAGTCAAGAAGGCGAAAACGACATACGGCAACAGTAGCCAAGCTCGGTCATCCCAATCAAAATCTGCCAGTCAGAGATTTGGTATGTAGGATCAATATGACGAAGTACTATGCTAACTGACTATCGACAGTTAGAAAAGCTTCCCCAGAGCCCCCCAAATTCAGGCATCCGGGTAGTATCCCAAGCTCGCCCACATCGGACTTCTCGCCTAGAAAGTCTTACCAGAATCATCGACTCGATGACGACCCGACTTCTACACCGAAGACAGTGAATAAGTTCGAGAAGCCTTCTATGACACCTTGGAAGGAAGAGGAAGAGCAAGAGCAAAAGGCAGTATTTCAAAAGATTGGCTTGGATGATCTAGAGGAGTCGTTCACCCAGTCATCAGCCGATCCAGACGAATCGTTGCTGCCACATCCAGGGCTGCAAGAGAAGCCAACTGAGCCACCTGTTGCTACGCAAGTGCAGAAGTTTCAGGTCTGGGATATGGATGATAGCGTAAGGGAGAAAGTCACAGCGTTGGTCGGAGAAACTGGGAACAACCCGCCCCCGGCTGCTATTTTGGACGACGATGAATTTTTGACTATGACCCAAGCAGCACGTTGTCCTATGTGTCATGCTCCCGTTGATCCTGCGGATATCAGAGCGTTCGGGAAGAACATGAACATTCGCATGCAAGAGAAATTCTGTCGATCACATCGGACGAAAACTGCAAAGGAGGATTGGGAGGACAGAGATTACCCGACTATCAAATGGGAGAAGCTGGATAGGAGGATAACACAACATCATGCCCTGATCAAGAAAATGATCAAGGGAGAAGATTCCTATTACAGAGCACAGATGGAAGAAAAGATCAATGCGGGCAAGGATCGGTCACTCATGAAAATGACGACAAATCTTACCCCTGGATACTACGGAGCTCGTGGTCTGCGTGCCATCTCGGAAAACATCATGCACAAGTTTACACCATTGCTGAAAAAGCGAATAGTGGACGATAAGCTGATGTCTGCTCGAGGTGTAACACCCTACGTGCAGTCCGTCTTGGTACTGGAAGTTGCTTCGAGGTTGATAATGGAAGACATGAAAGTTAATTTGGAACAAGCTCGAGATATTCTTGCTGAGAGTGCTGAAGTTGGCGAATTGCTGAATGAGGAGGTACGAGATGTGGTGAAGAAGACAGTCGATGATAGTGAGGATGAAGATGATGAAGACTACGATTAGACTGGATACATGGCTTTGAATGGCATTTCCTGGCGCTAGAGCATTTGCAGGAGTTACTGGAGAGATGGATTTTCTGTACGGGAAAATATTGAATGCTTGTATGGATCTTTTGGGCGTGGTTATGACTTCAAAAGCTATAGTATCAGCTTCTGGCATCAAGCAAATAGAGATATTTGGTATATTTCTCCGTCTGCAGGGGATAATAGCGTCCATTTCATGATTTTCTATGATATGTTCTGGACCAAGTGAGAACGAGCCTTATTCAAACGCTGTCGAGGTAGGGGCATGAATTTAGTACTGTTGATGAATCAGTTCAAGTGCCTCTATATCTCCATGCTTGTGTCTCGCTATAGGTGAAGTTCAATGTATGTCTTGCTCGAGAAAGTATTCATTGCTTAATTATGATTCGGCCGTAAGTCATTACCGTTCCCTGACCAAGTGCAACCTTCCAACAGCAGAGCAAGAGAAAGGCACGGCACAAAAGTACTGTCATGACACACCACTACTTCGAACGCAACCTCTTCCAAGCCACAACCCTAACCGCGAGCTGCCTATGCGGCACCGCTCTCGCAACAAAGGCCGGAAGCTCAGAGACATCAACAACCCCCGCATTCCGCTTCTGCCACATCCGCTCACTCGGCCACTCTAGATCGATCTCCACAGTCCTCTTCCTCCCATCCACAAACCATTGCTCCATGTCCCTCAACTCGATGGACCGATCTCCCGTCCAAGACTTCTCCGTACAGCCAAGCATGAAAGTTAAAGTCTTGAGTTTGGGAAAGGCCACGAGCTCGGATGCCCACCAGCGAGTGCTCGAGACACCTTTTTTTAGGTCGAGCGGAATGGCGATGTGTTGAATACGGACAATGTGGCCGCGGAAGTTGGAGGGCAGGGAGCGGAGACTGTTTCCCAGAGAGTGGTCCATGGGGCGGAAGAAGATGGTATCTCGTTCTGGGGTGAAGACTGGTTCTGGGTTCAAGGCTGGAAGTACATTTCTTTCACAATGATAATGTTAGTATGAGCGCTATGTCAAGAAGAAAGATTGCTTACCCCCATGAATCCTGAGTGATCTTGAGGTGTGAAAGCTTGCTATGTTTAGGAGCGAATGATTGAGCTACCTCCCGACTTTCTAGACAGACCGAGAAGAGTGGCTCGTATCGTTGGTAGTTGATGATTTGAGATTTTTCCACACTCGGGGCATAGTGATATGGAGTCTTCGTTGCGTCGTTGGTCCAATACTGTAGCTCTATGAACTTGGGGGCCGAAAGTGCCTCTTTCCATATTTGAAGACGCAATTCTGTAGGGAGGACTGGGAACTTGGGAAATGTTGATAAGTCTTTAGAATTTTGGACAGAGAAGGGAAATCTTGAAGGCGAGCTGGAAGGGTTGTTGGTAGTAGAGGAGCTTCCACCAGAAGCAGGTTGGGTATTGGAGGATTGCTTGGACGGAGTTGCGCCCTTCGCTGCAAGCTTCGCTTGACCCTCTCTAAAGACTCGAACAGAGTTTCTGGTTGGCCATCTGAGAGATGGGGCGACCAGAAGTCGAAGTTTCTCCGCAGACTCGATTCGAACCTTCGTAAGCCGTTGTCGTTCTTCCATTTGCTTCTTGTCAATTTTCTTCTTTGGGGGTGTGCTGACGAACATCCTGACTCGGCCTAGAGAAGCTCTTGTAGGCTTTCTGTATGATGGCTCGGCATCCATATTGCTCTGGAAGAATAATGGAATTTATGCCAAAGTATGGGGTGAAGAGGCTCGAGGCTCTGTTAAAGAAGATGGCTGGGAATGACTCCGCCTAGGCAACTCCAGGCAGATTGGGCACACTTGTCCAATGAACCGGACTCTTTCCTTCTTCTAGTGTATACTATAGATAATGGATAAAGCACTACGAACCCAAAAATGCGGACGTATCAAAGTTCAAAAGCAGTTGTCAAAAATCAAAAATGCTTCAAGAGGCAGTCACGACCACGTCATAATCGCGGTCCATTCACCGAGTAGCCCTTTCACCTTCACAGAGTCTGCAGCTTTGGACTTCACTTGAAGAGCTACAAGCATGCATATAATTCAACAACGATAATAATAGTTTTGAAATGATCTGAAGTTTTGGAGAAGTAGCAATTCTGAGACAACGTCTGGTCTAAGATCTGCTAATCTAAATTGACCCCTGCTTACCCCGGATTTCACTTCATCACGCGAACCTCAAGCACCACATTTCACAACCACACATCAACAACAAATGGCTTCTCCACCACCGGCCTCCGCAGATACGATACTATTTCGACCGAGCAAGAAGCGTAAAGTCTATCGACAACGCGCTGCTGATGACGAGGAAACCACAGCCTCTCCTCCTACGATAGCAACACCACTCTCCCCCGCCGCCGCATCGCATCCGCAAAGCCTCGACGAGTTAATATCTTCAGCAGCGAGTCATGTGGCCAAAGATGGCAGCGAAGAGGTTGAGGGTGTCCCAGTCTCGATGGCTGAGATCCTACGACTACGAAAGATGAAGAAGCGCGCAGGCGGGGTCGAGTTTCGTGCAGAAACACAATCGCATGCGCCAAGAGGCGACGAGCAAGCCTTGGTTGAACACATTGAATCTGCTGGGGAATTAGGAGGCTTAATCGACAATGGAGTTCCGAGGAAGTTCGCGCCGCAGATGGGGGCGGTGGGTGATGTGAATAGACATATGTGAGTGCTTCCCTTCAACCAAATCTTGGATGTTGGGATAAGGACTGTGACTGACGAAGGAAGGATGGCATACATAGATTCCGAATTGGCTAAACGTCGAGCAATTGAAGGTGCACAGAGTCAAACTTCATCTACATCACAAATTGGGGCTGGGATTGTGTCTGCGGGGCAGAAAAGCACTTCGAAAGAATCTACGGATGTTCAACGGCAACCGGCTACTCTTGGTAAACTTCAGGAGGTTGATCTCGGTGATGATGTTCGGTCCAAGAACGTGGAGCTGACCAATCGTGCGAGACGGATATTGGATGGAGAGAATGTCACTGATGAAATTCCTCAACATGGGAGAGGGAAGCCTGGAAAGGTCAGACTAGGTCCAGATGGCAAACCATGGCGAGGACGAAAAAGAAGAGCGAGTGAGGATGTTGCCAGAGACAGGCTCGTTGAAGATGTGCTTAGAGAGAACAGATGTATGTCCATGAACTCCAGGTTCCTATTTATTTTGCTAACGATATACAGTGGAAATCTATGAGGAGCCCGTTGTAGAAGAGCCTACAACGGGTAACGATGAAGCAGCAGATGATAGGATAGCTGAAGCATTCAGGAGAGAGTTTATGGATGCCGTTTCTCAACGACAACGCAAGAAAGCGGGTCCACCACAACCTCCTGCTAGGACCGCTGCCGGTAAGAAGGAAGAAGAGGTTATGAAGGGTCCGAAATTGGGTGGTAGTAGGACTGCAAGAGCGGCTATGAGGGAAGCCATGCTGAAGGGCAAGAAGTAATACGCAGTTGGTATATGAGACTTCATGTAATCTAAATGAAGCATTCCGTTTCAAAGTTCTCTTGTGACATTCTTGCCTTGACTTCAAAGCCATTTCTCAAACTTAGTAGTGAATCTAAAACACTATCAAGCGCAACAATTTCACTCATCATGATCACTACATGTATGCTAGTGAAGTCGACTCTCTCTTGCGCTCACCTTCAAGCGCAACTTATGCGCAAGCAATCCCAATTCGGCCGCATCCTTAGCGCGCCCACACAACACCATATAGAGTTCAATAAGCATAATGTTGTCACCGTCCCACCGTAAGTATGGTGGGACTGGAACCCCGAGGATTTCTGGACCCGGATTTTCCTGGAAAACAAACCGTCCGGGGTTTGTCCTGGCTGGCCTCTACCGGATGGAATATTGAAAAAAAAAAAAAAAAAAAAAAAAAAAAAAACAGAAAGAAAGCTTGAGAAAAAAAAACAAGAAAAAAGAAGTAAAAGCGTAGTCCAAGGATCCAGGATCTCTGAAAATAAACCGGCCGGGGTTTTTTCTAACCGCTATACTGCCACCCCAGTGGGGTAGCAGATATAGTGGGGAGTTTTTTTGTCAATTTAATCTATGAATTTTTTATTTCTAAGTTAGCTGTTTTATTGCTCTCTCATTTAACGGCTTAACGCTCATGAGCAGATTAATTTTGAGTTGCTATCGCGCCGCAACCCCTTTTTAAGCGAGTTGCGCTTTTGCTTCCGCTTCACGGCTGCAGCTTATCGAGTGCTGCCGCTTAAGTCTCTTGGCCATATGTTCGAGTAATTGAATAAAACCTTGAGATGCTCGAAAAAGGAATCACATCTGTTCACCGCTTCGTGACTACCCTTCAGTGTGGCTTCTATGCCTTTCTTTGACTTTGTATTGTCTTAGCAAATTCTACCTAGGAGCAGTGAACAATAACAGTGAATGGATAAAGAGCATGCGACTTTGGATTATTCTTTCTTATCATTCACTGAATATGATCAAGAGCGAAAGTATGCAAAATCACTCCAACCTGAACGAAATCCAAGTATAAAAGGGCTTGCTCCCACCTACCACAATCATTTTTTCTTTAAGCAACCCAAACAAGACGTTCTCGTCTATCCATTGTGGCGTTTGGGCCCGGGATAGATCTCTTCATTGTGCTGCATACTGCTCGGCACGCTGAGTAAGAGCAATATGACCAGCTGTTAGTGAATAGTCGATTGTTGCCAAGCATTTTTGCATTGTCAACTCTCTATCTCTTGTTCCTAAATTTCAAAGATTGCCACGAGACCTCTAGAAGCTGCGCCAACTTTTCTTGATTATTAAAAAGCTCGACTCCGGGCCCTCACTTGAGCTTTGATGTTTTCTTTAGCGCGAAGTATGAACAATCCAAAGTTACAGACAAAGGAGTATTTATAGACCGACTTAAGCTTATTCAAAGAACAAAGACATAATTTGACAAGTTATATTCATTGTAACTATTGAAAATATTAAGTAACTCCCGACTTTATTATTCCCTAAAGTTGAAACATAGTCTCACAACTTATTATCCTTGTAAATCCTCAAAAGATGTAACAACTTATGCGTGAAAATTTATCTAGGAAAGTGGTTGCTTCTCGTTACTTTACATGTCTTAAAAACATTATTGCAGTATTGTCTGGCTTTGTCATCAACCACTACTTTCATTGTCAACACCCACTTCTCACCATTCTTTCCCCAACCCACTAAACCCCGCCCCTTAATCTCCACAGCACAACAATGCAACACACATACCAACACCAGTTGATAATCATTGACGCCGGATCCAAAACATCATAGCTCTCAGCAAGACTGGATTTTTTCTGAAGAACAAGAAAGACGGCGCTCTAGAGCGCGTTTTATCATTTTTCGAAAAGCGCTAGTAAAAAGTTGCGAGTCGTTTTGCTTTGGTGAATTTAAGGCTAGATTTTGTTAAGAAGATGTTTTGGGTTTGGAATTCGGATGCAATACGAACGCAATAAGATAGTGAATTGATCTTTGGTGAGATTAAAAGGGAAATTGATTTCTGCAGAGTTAAAGGACTAGGAGGTATAAATACTGGCCTTTCCCTTCCTTAGATGATTTAGAAACATTTACGTTATAGCAAAGAGAAACAGGACTATCCTGTGATGTACCAAGTCGAGAGTTAAAGCTTTAAAGTATTGGGTTCATTTAGGCATAGCAGCAAAGCAAACTATTTGGACGGCAGAGAGTTCTTTGATAAATAAGACATGAAACTAAACTTAATTTTCTTGAACACTCAGCATTGAGAAAGTTAGTTTCCTGCTGTTGTTAACATTTCCCTTTCATTGTCAACAATCATCACCACCTCCATTCTTCCTCTAACCTAAATCCATTCCTCACACCTCAAAGTAATCACCCAACATACAAATGCTAACTCCACGTAAACTCAAGTCGTACATCGATCCAACCCGTAAATCTCTTTTTAATCTGGGAGTATCTGATTCTTGTAGAAGAAAAGTTTTAGCGCTCTGGAGCGCGATTTATAGTTTTTCGAAACGTGCTAATAAATCCTCATTATTCTTATTGAATCAATAATATAAAAGCTAAAAGAATAAATGCTTAATAACCTTTTTTTAAAAGGCCGATATATAGTGAATTTATCTAAAATTACTTGGACGGATTTTATTAGCGTAAGGATGGAGGGTATATAATCCGGCCTCCGTCCTCCGTCCTCCGTCCTCCGTCTTCCTCAGATAACTTTCCGAAGACTTCATGGCTCTGCAATTGGTGTGTTGGTGTGTGGAGCCAGGGACGTGGAGTAGAGTATAGGATTCTGAGGTGTACTGGGTTGTGGTGTTAAGTTTGCTTGGATGTAATTGCAAGTTGTTAATAGCAAAAGGTTTGTTGATAGTAGAAGATTTGTTGAAGTAGAAGGTTTGTGTGAGGACGGAGGGTATATAATCCGGCCTCCTTCCTCCGTCCCCCGACTTTATACAACTCTGAGAAGTCCTGACGGCTCTGAACTATGGTCTGGTGTGTTGGTGTGTTGGTGTGTGAGCCAGGGAGCGTGGAGTAGAGTATAGGATCTTGTGGTGTATCGGGTTGTGGGATAGAGAATAAGTGTGTGGTTTTAAGTTTGCTTGGATATAATTGTAAGCTATTAATAGTAGAAAGTTTATTGATAATAGAAGATTTATTGATAATAGAAGGTTTGTTAACAACAGACGGTTTGTTGATAGTAGAAGATTTGTTAATAGCAAAATATTCATTGATAATAGAGATATCAGATGTGAAGAGCCTGGATTTCTTGAATATTCTGCATTGAGAGACGATAACGATGAACCCAAGATGTAGGACTATATTGGCGATATCTCCACTGCTGCAAACTCCGTCCTGGATTCCTTCTGCAATGCTTCTCTGGGTGTTGAGCAAGTTGTTAAAAACTTGGAGTTATATATGTACCCTAAATAAATAGAGAATTTAAAATCAATCCACGTATGTGACTTTGCTAGTGAATTTTGAGGCTGAGGTAGGCAAAAGGGACGAACAGCAAACTGACTTAATTTACTCTCACAAAAAGCGAATCTGTACAACCACATTATATCTAGAACCGCCTGAACGATTTCTGCTAGCGTGAGAACGGAGGGTATATAATCCGGCCTCCGGCCTCCGTCCTCCGTCTTCCTCCTCAGACAATTTTCCGAAGACTTTACTGCGCTACGACTGATGGTCTGGTGTGCTGGTGTGTGTGGAGAGCCAGGGACGTGGAGTAGAGGATTAGATTCCGGGTATGTGGCGTAAAAAACATGGGGTGATGATGGAAATTTTGTTGACAATAAAGCATTCGTTGACAACAAAAATACGAACATCTTAAACTCGCAACGTTTTTCAGGGAAAGTTTGTTTTTCAGATAGAAATTTTGACACGAAGCATGGTAACGCGGGTGCGCCGACATGTTAAAGTCTTCGGTGTTGTGTTTTGGTGTTGTTTAGTTTGTAGTCTGGGGCTGTCTTTACATAGGAAGAGGAGGAGACAGCAAAGGCTTGTTGGAAGATCTTGGCTATGAGTCAACAACTTAGAGTGAATAGAGAAAGGAGAGGAAGGAAGTAGTGAATTGAAAGATTGTCTCTTCACACGAACCGACTTGACAGCAGGAGAAGTATCAAGAAAGTGAACCATATCTGGGAACGTCGTAGTAACTTGAGAACCTCATGTTGCATATGCTGTTCACTATTCATGCACTCAAAGCTCGACAGCATAACATCATTCAAATTCAAAATAGTGTAGAGAGTATCATGTTCAACAAGACCAAGAAAACCCAACCAGCACCGAGCTGAAATGCATACAGGTATGTGAAAAGAAACGCATTGAAGACCATTCGTCGCTCTGTTATGTACCTCATCCCCATCATTAATTCAAATAGCCTGCTTTGGCTTTATTTCTTCTCACAATCTTCCATGTTCATCTTGGAGATTAGACTTTGATCAGCTCCTTCAATCTCTTCTCAATAGTCTCTCTCCCATTATATGTTTGCCACACCTCGTGTGGCGCCTTGTTGACGATATCCCAGCTAACGAGGTTATTCGTCAAGTGGCTGAGATCTCTCTGTTTCTTCTCCCACTCGCTATCAGTTCTTACCTCAATACCCGAACTGATAAGCGCCAATGGTGTCCCCTCCTTCTGGATATTTCTTGCGCTACTAACTTCGTTCTTGCTCAAAGAATCTGCAACGAGAGATTCTTGAAGCTTGGCCTTGATATACTTTCCACTTTGATGTGCTGAGCGACCAAAGATGCGATCTTCGCGAGTCCGACCTTTGAAGATGGCTGCTGGAATACGGTCGAGTCCAAGAGGAGAGAGGATACCGTATGCCCAAAGGAGGAAGCCACGAGATGGATTTCCAATGCGATGAAGGAGATCCTCGTGCATAGGGTCAATCAACAACAAGCCCTTGACATCACGACCATGGCGAGACGAAAAGATGCGACTGTAGATGCTGCCAATACCAGCACTGGCAAGAACCCATGGTCCTTCTTCTCCAGCACGAGCGAGAGCCTCAGAGAGAGCATCTGTTGCCATACCGGCGGAGAATGGAGATGGGGCATTGTCGGACCATCCTAGACCTGGGCGATCAGAATAACAATATCTGCTGATACTTCCGTTTGCTAGAGCATTTTCGGCAAACAGAGCCATACTACCAGCGAAAGGTTGTTCTCCAGCCTCGAAAAGTACTGTTGGCACTTTCGTTCCCTTGTGAGTCGTTGTATTGCCTTCGCAGAAGACATGAATGCGGTACTTGTCGCCATCGACATAGTATTGCTCTCCAGGAGCTGGAAGAGAGGCGTCTCGAGCTCGAATGATCAGAGTTGCGGACATGAGGACAGCCACGACAGCAATGACGATCAAGACAATCGTTGAAAATAGGACAGCGAGCCACTCTGTGAGAGTGCGACGAGTCTCGTAACGGCCAGTGAGACGTTCTTCCTCTTCATGCTTGCCCCACGTAACGATCCTATCTGTGAAGACTGTCCAGATGCTGATGAGCAACGCCCAGACAACACTTGCGATTCCAACCCAACCTTCCTCGAATCGAAGCTGTGGTACGGCGACAATCATGATCATGTCGATCAATAAGATGACTGAAATGACGAGGCATGATACTTGAGCGGCTTTAGAGGGCGTAGAGAAGAATAGAAGGACCGTCAACAGTAGACCAAGCGTCAAGGTCGTGTAAGAGAAGTCGAAGAATCCGGAGCCACGAGAGTGCATTCCAGGTGGGCTCACGAAGATCGAGACCAGCAGAAGCACCCACCAGATGAAGGTAATCACAGCGAAGAAGACGGTAAAGTAGCGAAGGAATCGGACGCTCCACAAGTTGTATGGGGATACCTGGCCTTGTTAGCAGAACATTCAAAATAACAAGACAAGAGTGAATCCTCACAGCGGGGTCATCGGGGCTCAGATATCCTTCATGAGGTGGAGGAAGCAATCGTGTACGTTCGTTTGCTTCGACTGAATGGCGGGCAGGGGCGGGTTCGCTGCTGGGCTCTGCTCCATCACCATTTTGTTGAGCTTCGGACTCGGGATCATCGCCATCCTTCTTCGAGCCCCAGAGAGAGACCATATTGACGGGTATTGAGAATACTCTCTATCACTGTCTGGTGAATGAAAAAGTGTAGAGATTTCGTTGGTATGCTGTTGCTGCTGCTTCTGGGCAATGTATTAGACAATAAGGTAATAATTAAGAGGAGAACCCGAGGAGGGGAGAAAGCAGGGTCTAGGACGATCGAGAGGAAAAGATGGGCAATTGAGCAATCGAGCTAAGTTGAGGGTGCAGTAGTTTCAAGTAGTGCCACCAATGATGCGTCGTCCCAAGCAGCTACTCTATCTCGAAGGTAGTTACGCAGACGTAAAACATTGACCAGGTTGGGTTTTTGGCCACAAGTCTAAAAGTCAATATCGCTGCAGTGACATCATCCCGCAGTTGGACAATCGTATGTTCAACATTATTTTGAGACAATCAACGTACAAAATGTGAGCGAAACAGGGTGGTGGTTACAATGTCATGTACAAGAGAGATATGTTGATCTGTCCAACGATAAGGAGAGCGAGTGGTGTGGAAATGAAGTGCAACGTGAATTCTCGATGGTCAATCTTTTGCATCTCGGACCAGCATTGAAAAGATGCACGTTAGTCACCCTTGCCTTGTGAGCCTTGCCCCCCAGCCTCCAGCCCCCTTGCTGAAATGTCCAAGCTCCTCACCCCACTTCGCCTAGGCGAGACTGCCATGTTGATGGCATGGCCTCGACTGTCAAAATATTTACCAACATTCAGGGCAATGGAAATATTTCCTTGACTCAACTATCACCCATTGAGGAGCCTCGCAACCCTATTCTTGTCTACATTCATCGCATATGTTGCAATCTCAGATGTTACATTACGCAAGAGAACATCGACCAATATGAGTGATCTCCAACGCGCATTTGCCAAAGCAAAGCTCTCAAGCTACCCCGCCACTATGCCTCCTACAATACCGCCCTTCATAGAAGCAGATGAGGAAGAAGAGGAGACAGGTCACTTCGACATTGAATCTGCAGAGCTGCCCCACGATGACGACTCCTCTTCTGCTTCCTCTGCATCTTCTGCCTCCTCGACTGGTACAATTATCCCTTCGCAGAACCAGAAGTTATTCGCAAGACCTCAAGGGTACGGACTCATCCTGTCCAGCATAACAATAGCTAACCACATACCCTAGATCCCCAAATAAAAGAACAATGGACCAAATTCCCTGGACTACCTACTTCGAACGAGAGCTCTTCCTCCCATCTCCCTCTGCCGACACAACAATAACCCACCACGTCTACCTAACCTCCCCCATCGGTCCTTCGGCTCCTCTCTTCATAACCCATCACGGTGCCGGTTCCTCTGGCCTCTCCTTCGCAGCCCTCACATCCGAACTGCGAAAACGTCTCCCCAACGCTGGGATCCTCTCCCTCGACGCGCGCGGTCACGGCTCCACAACCATATCTCCATCACAAGAGACTGAGATCCTAGATCTGAGTCTAGAAACTCTTAGCTCCGATTTATTGACCGTGATAGAGAGGACAAAACTACAAATGGGATGGGAGACCATGCCTCCCTTAATCCTGATAGGCCATTCACTAGGCGGAGCAGTTGTCACGGATGTTGCCAAGAGTGGAAAACTAGGAAATTCGTTATTGGGCTACGCTGTTCTGGATGTAGTAGAAGGATCAGCAATCGATGCCCTACAAAGCATGCAAACCTACCTTTCTACCCGACCTGCTGGTTTCCCTTCCCTGGAATCAGGTATAGAATGGCATATCCGCTCTAGAACAATTCGAAATTCGATGAGTGCTAGAACGAGCGTGCCGGCTTTGTTGAAACATGATTCTGAGATCAGGAGTTCGAGGAGTTGGACGTGGAGGACGGATCTAGCAGCTACGCAGCCATTCTGGGAAGGATGGTTCATTGGACTTAGTAAGAAGTTTCTTGAGGCGAGGGGAGGGAAGCTGTTGTTGTTGGCGGGAACGGATAGATTGGATAAGGAGCTTACGATCGGGCAGATGCAAGGTTAGTTTCTCTTCATTGTTGTCTTTTCGAAACTAATATGATGCAGGCAAATATGCACTCCAAGTCTTCCCTGAAGCTGGACATTTCATCCACGAAGATCTTCCTGAGAAAACGGCAGTGGTCATTGTGGATTTCTATAAAAGGAACGATAGAAGTGCTCTAGTCCTTCCGCCCAAAGTATCAGACATGCTTCGAGCTGGGAAAAAGGTGTAGAGCGGGGAAGAAGGGTCATTACAAGACTGCACTATGTGTGATTATAATGTCACATGTCCAACCTGGCTCAAGAAGAGAAGAGACTATACCGGTTCCAGGTGCTGGTTCTGGTTTCGCAGAGCCAGAACAAGGGAGTGGCAGCCTAGACACTACCGACCTTGACACCAGAATGAGACGAATGAGGAGGCTTGACTGGCCTTACCTCGCTCGAATTCAAGGTCAAGACGATAGAGCAGCTTCCATAGAGGATAGCTCATGAATCAGCTCGTCCATTGTATATCAACGCGATGAACTTAGGAGATAAGAGTAATTACGATCTCAAACAAATCGAAATAAACATTCTTGACAATAGACTGATTCTCGCTAGCAACATATCATTCTACATGCATTGTCCAGCCACCGTCTTGTTGTCTGCCCCCTATATCAAGCGAGCGCCTAAACTAGAAAGAACCAAGATTTCGATTAGACCATAAATGTAGCCTCGTTTGGCGAGTGAAAGGATGCTAAGCTCATCCATACTGCATGGAGTCATGGATCAGCGAACAAAACCTATTCCTGAATACAAACTTTCAAATACATATAAGCTCCTGTACAACTTGAATTGCAAACCAAAACATCCGTGAACAACAGCTCGCCAAAAACGTAAACCCACAATGACCTGTGCTGCTTGCTGAGCAATTGCCATCTTTCTGCAAATATTGACTTTGAGAACCCACCTGAAAACCTGCAGGAAACATTTTCTGGTCTCAGAGGCACTGATACTCCAGCGAGCTGCTACCGACGTGTTGGAATTGCTGAAGTACTCAATATTGACGGTTTAGCAACAGATGGATTGAACAGAAGGAATTTCGTATCGTTTGGGGAGGTGAGCTTTTGGTGGCAAGTACTTACTTGGTAGTGAAAAGTTGAGGAGGATGCTTGGAATGAAAAGAAAGTGATTGGATTGGCGGGGTTCAGAGAAGGTGCTAGGTGTATGAATTAAATAGTGCGGTCGAAGACAATGTCATAGATAGTCTTTTTGAGGTGCTCTTTGCTATCTGTAAATGCCAATCTGTCACGAAGGATGAAAAGAGGATGATATTTTATGGGAAGGAAGCATCGAACGGAAGGAATAAGAGAGTAGAAACAGCTCGATTGAGGTCGTAAGCAAGTCTGCGGCATGACCATGCTTCATGCATCACCATTTTGACGTAGCTTAAAATCCATGATTTGTATTTCCTAAAGCACCGAATTGACCCCCCAACAACCTCAACACTCAAGAACATCCATGTAATAATGAACCTTCCACTGTCCCCCAAACGCCGAAAACAATGAACAATCATCAGATCCTCATTTCGTTACTCCGCAGCCCCTTGGTATCTCCCCCACATGCCCCTTTTCTCTCACAATCTTAGATGATGCAGCAATCGCAAGGCAGAGGACATGGGATGATAAAGCAGAATCGTCCTGGACACATGCCTCCACGGTCGCCACCGCGGATGCGCATCTCTTGGTCTTGAGACTCCTTTGCTTGTGCGGGAGTGGTGGATTGGGAAGGGTTGAGAGCTGCAATTGGTGCGTTAGCATTGGTACATAGTGAATATGAAGCTGGAGGTGAAGTATAATGAGGAATAGGATAGGTAGAATGGATCTGCGAGACGTACTCATTGATTGAGGAGTGGTGGGCGGAGTTGTTTGGAGGTTGGCTTGAGGGGTAGTGGATTGGTTCTCGTTGGAGGGAGACATCTTGGATTGAATACTTGAGATATGTGTTTCGAATTGATCTGGTCGATGAATCGTAAATTGTAAGAACGAGGAACGAAAGTCTTGTTGTCAGATGTTCGAGATGTTTGATAAAGTTGTGGTGGTTGGTGGTGAGACAAAGCTTCCACGCAACCCAACGTCACTGACAGGGGTTGTGCCAAGGATCAGTAGCCTCATCTGTTCACAGCACTGTCAAGCTCCTTTCATCATTCCTCTGTTCGTCTCAAGTGAATTTATGAACCAAATTTATGAAACGAATAAAAGACTCCTCTGCGATGCCGATGTAGCTGAGCCTTCAGAACCACAGCCTATCCTTCTCCACATAGTCATGCGCTCGAATAGGCGGGCTATTCATTCAACGACTTTGTGATCACTTCTGTACCAGTTACTCTACTTATTGCAATATTTTGTTCCTCATCATTGCAGTGCAATTATTTCAAGGTTTGGAAGACTTTGGACCAACGCAGTCCAGGAGATTCATTGTCTAGCACAGTTGCAGGCAATTCAAACTTCGAAGATAGAATGCTTGAAAAGCTGGCTCCTCACTTTCTAGGGGTCTAGCTCGCTTTTCTATTCCCCAGTGGTATTATCAGTTATGACTCTCAGTACTATTACTATCTACTTTCACGTTGCGCGCTGTAAGCAATACTCGGATTTTCTACATCTGAATTCTTTGTCCTTGAAATCGTCAGCCAAGAAGGCACAGTTTGTGAGTCCAGTATTGTTTTACGTAAGTTGTCAGATTTCAAAATATACAGTAATCGATTGTCAGCAGCAACCTTATTCAAAATAAGATTTCCAATCAGCATCGTTTGTTATCCAAGCACTTTCAGCTCAGCCCCATAAGTTAAACTTGATCGGACATAGTGCCATTTTAGTTCACAAGGCTGACAGGTCGCAAGGCCAATCTCCTCGGCTCATCCCTTGAAATTCACGTCAAAAACATCGTCAACGGCTCATATCGCCAAGGCTACCATGATGCCAAGTCCTGCTGTGCCTCTTCAGGCACTTTGACCAGCACTACGGAGATTTGCTCGTGGTAAAGAAATACGGGTTGCTTTATAAAATGGTCACTCCACCCTCTCGTGCAATTTTCACGATGTTAAGTTTCGAACATTAAGTCACCAGTCTTTCATTTCGTCAAAATAAGATCAAACTTTCTTCACTTAGTACTTTCAACCCATCCTCAACATGCACTTTAACTCCCTCCTCGTCCTCACAGGACTTCTCTCCACCCTCTCCCTCGCTGACCCAATCCCTCAATCCCCAGCGTTCGTCCCTCCCCAACCCAATCCAAATCCCTACTAACTTCCCCCAGACAAACCACTGCCCTAGCAAATGACCTAGAATCCTACATCGTCGCACTCGCCACTGACACCGCATTCCTCTCTTTCGCCTCCGCTCTCCAAACCAACGCCGCCCTCTCCAGCTCAGTCTCCAGCTTTGAAGCCTCGATGTCGTCTCTCATCACCCACCGCCAAACTCCAACCGCTGGGTACATCAGCGCCGCACCAACCGACGCCCAGACCCTTCTGAGCAGTATTTATAGTGTGGAGTATCAGATGTTGAGTGATAATGGATTCTTGGCTACCAGTTCATCGAAAGCGGCTGCGCCGACGCAAGGTGTAGGGAGTCGGGTTAAGGTTGCGGGAGCTGTTGCTGCGGGGTTTGTTGGGGCTGTTATTGCATTGTAGAGGTGGTACAGTGGAGACTGTGAGGTGGAGGGAGGAAGGGACGGATAGGGAGTTTTGATTTTGGGATTATACCCCTCTGTTGCAATACGGAAGCTTTGGTTTCTTAGTACAAGTGTAGATGAAGAGCAATGTCTAATTTTTATGCTTGGCATTTTCACCAGCCTGTGAAGTGTAAAACGTGAATATGCATCAGAATAGTCCCACAATATCCTGCAAGAGAAGTGAATAGTGGCTGAACACTAATGTTCGAACATCAACTGCAGTTTCATAAACAAGTGCTTGGGACTCAACTAGGACCAAGAGTCACGGGAAATCGAGTTGTTAGAAGAATTATCTTTGATTCAGCTGTATGATATTCGTGTTATTCCTTCATCACCTTCGGAGATCAAGCAATCATCAAATCATATACATCTCAGCTATTTTGATGTCCCGCAGATCCACCCTGAACGCCATATATCCTGCTATGCAATCCCAGTCTTGTCACTACTAAGCTCCTGCAAGAATACCAGATATCCTTAATGCTGAATCAAGAATTGTGAGATGCTCGTCCGAGCCATCCACCAGTCGCTTATCAGCTTCTGAGAAGATGAGCGTAATCTTGTTCTTCTGGTTGTCTGCGATAGCTTCGTCATAGATGATGGCTGGGAATAACTGGACCGATTAGCAGAGTTTACAAACTCCGAGTACTCAAAACATACCTGAGTGATAACTTGTGTGGCACTCCATCCATCAGCAACCATGTCAGTGACCTGCTTCGAAACAGCTTCATACACCAAGCCTCTAGATTTTGGCCGCATAGCCTGGACAAGACCTTCAATAGTAGCATCCGGAATCACACCAGCAATATCCTCCACACTCTTGACCGTAACCAATTTCTCCTCTTTCTCATCCACATCCATCTTGTCCTCCTCCTCCTCTCCATCATCCCCTACCGCACCCACCAACCTCGCCGCACTCTGCAAAAAAGTAATCGCCTTCCTCAAATCCCCCTCCGAGCACTTAATCAACATATCCGCCGCCCCATCCTCCAACCTGACCCCCTCCTTCCTCGCAATATCCTCCACCCTCGCCCTCGCATTCCCCTGATCCAAACTCTTAAACCGGAACTTCGAGCACCGACTCGCCAACGGATCGATAATCCTCGTCACATAATTACAAATAAGACAAAACCTCGTAATCTTACTATACGTCTCCATCGTCCTCCTCAACGCGCTCTGCGCATCCTGCGTCATCGAGTCCGCCTCATCCAATATAATGATTTTATAAGGGGGACAGGGGTACTGGGCTCGTTGGGCGGCGGTCGGCTGCGCGAGTTGCATTCGTGCGAAGTTTTTGACTTTCTCGCGGACGATGGATATTCCGCGTTCGTCGGAGGCGTTGAGTTCCAGGACGCGGGTTTTCATTAGTTCGGGGCCGTAGAGCTCCTTTGCGAGTGCGAGGACGGTGGATGTTTTTCCTGTGCCTGGGGGACCGTAGAAGAGCATGTGGGGGAGCTGGAACGGTCAGTTCTATTCCTTGGGGTCAAGCTAGGCAGAGACATACATTGGAGGACTGTAGAGTTCGTTGTAGGACGGTGATGGTGTGATCTTGAGCTGTGACATCCGAGAGATTCTTCGGACGGCTGTGCATCTTTATTAGCAGATATCTAGAGCTTTGTAGATATTGTCCCATACTATTTCTCAACCCATGGTTGCATTCGATTCGTCTCTTTCGCAGCAGGGGCACTTTTGGAAGAGCCATTGGTAGCAGCAGCTTCCTTGCGGGCCTTGAGGTCGAAAAAGCTCGCCATGTTCGGTTGCAGGTTCAATGTGCTTGAGGTGATTTTCTGATGAGTCCGGATTTTGGAAGACGCGTTGAAGCGCGTCGACATGGGTGGGCACTTTACGCGAGGTGAAGGCTGTGCGGCGAGGCTACCTACCACTGTACGACAATGCTTTAGACTTCTACAGATCTTTGGCTTTTTCAAATGTACAATTGCACTTAACTGAGAACTCTATTGTTCGTCCCGTTCTCGATACCCGAGATTCTCTTGACCGGACTCGTTGTGGAAAATAGAGTCGAAGCAAGTGACTTCGCGGGTATCGACAATCAAGAACTTGACATTGCACAAGAATTCACTGTAAAAGAGATACGTACAATAGGCTATTTAGCATCAGTATGCACAAGTGAGGAGTTGTCTACCTGTAGGCTACGTATTCCTGTCAATTCTGTACATACATCTAAGCTTTAGTGCCGAGTGTCTGACACACGACTACAACATTTAATACCTGCATGTTCTCTCCCGTCAACCGACAATATAATAATATCTCAACAATGTGAACATTTAAATCAAGTTGGAACCTTCAAATTGGTAAAAGTTTAAAGATGTTCCATGAGTGGCGAAGAAAGCTCTCTTATCAAGCCACTTTCCTTCAAAACTTCTCAAACCCCCTCCAAGCACTTGGCGACTTTTCTCCTTTCATATAAGAAAAACCAAAAATACTGCAGTAGTCTTTGATTGCAATGGGCTCATTACCCCGCCACCGGTGCCATGTGGCTCGTGATGCACAGGTGATCCCGCAAGTCCTGGATACTTAAATGGCAGTCGCTATCCTCCCACAAGCGAAATCTTGAAAGGAGACATCTCTCAACTACAGACCTTCAAGATTAGATACCTTGAACATCAACATTCAAGATGGATATGGGAACTTCCACAACGGCGATGACCGCCACAGCAACTGGTAGTGCCGCTGCCGCTACATCCTCAATGGCAATGTCAATGGGAGGAGACTGTCAGATTTCCGTAAGTATCTCTCATTGTCCCACCTTCATCCAGCACTAATCCACAACCAGATGCTATGGAACTGGTACACAATCGACGCCTGTTCGCTCCCCGTCTGTTCTCCACAAATGAAAGCTCACAAATCCAGGTTTCCTCTCCAGCTCATGGCACATCACCGCGGCATGTTCGCCGGCTTCTGCATCGGTGTGATCTTCCTCGTCGTATGCCTCGAGTTCCTCCGTCGACTGGGTAAAGAATACGACCGCTACATCCTTCGCCAGTACCAACGCTCATATGTGCCAATCTCTGTCAATTCTTCCCCTGCGCCAGAACAACAAGCGTGCTCGTCCAAAGCTGCTGGGTCGAATGGAGCCAGTGCGATGGTAGTCCCGCCTTTCAAACCACATATCTTGCAACAGATTGTAAGGGCGACGTTGCATATGCTGCAATTTGCTGTGGCGTATTTCATTATGCTGTTGGCGATGTACTACAATGGGTATATCATCATTTGCATAATTATCGGGGCTTGGATTGGGGCCTTTATATTTAGCTGGGAGACGGTTAGCTTGAGGTATGTTATGCCTTCAGGAATTGCGACGGTTTGTAGCTGACTTCAGTAGTGGTCCTCAAGAAGAGGTAACTGTTTGCTGTGGATGAAAAGAGGTGCAGATATCAGGTGGTTTCGATGATGATTGTAGTCAAATCCACAATCAGAGGGTTTATTGGTGTAAATAGTCAAGTAAATGTGAAAGGTTTATGTACCTCTATTTCGGTGTGTGTATCTACCACCAACGCCACGCAATGCCTAAGTTGAGATTACCCCATATAGCTTGGTAACCATGACGCCGTTGAAAGGATTCTTTTCTCGATGCATTCCTTCATATCAGCTGTTGAAATTCAAGCATTCAGGCTATGGCCAGGGTAGGTTGTTGACTTTGCACACCTCTGTCTGAAAGTGGCTTCTTATCAGATCTTTGCTTCCCTTGTTGTCCACCAGCTGCTAGAGCACTCTTGTTCTTCTTGTTCTTGTTCTTTCTACCTTGATATTCGGTGTCCGGAGTGATTCCAAGCTTTTCATCGACCTCTTTCGCTTGTGATTCTAAATGCTCGAGGCCTAGAATCTTGCAAGCTTGGTGGTAACTCTTGCTCATGGTGACTTCTCGATACTCAGGTCTCTTGCCAGGAATGAGATGGTTAAGAAGGTATTTCGTGTTGCCCCAGCGGTTTTCGACTTCCAGGCATGTCTTCAGATATTGCTCGACGACTTGGTTCCATGAAGCCAAGCCTCCGTCTGCCTCACTTCTGAAACAGCTTGAATTTGTCTCTGCTGCAGTAGCAATCATAGCACCATCTACACCGAATTCAGCAATAAGTTGCTCAGCTTGTGCTCGATTTTCAACGTCCCCATTCATCAAACAAGCCACTCCGGTCTCTCTGCAAATGCCCGCAATCATTCTCAGTTGTTCCCGAATCGCCTTCTCTCTTGGCCTCATGGGAGTCGTCCGACAATGGATTGTCAATCCAGTGATGCCAGTGGCACAGAGTTTTCGGACCAAGTACTCAGTCTTCTCTGGGGTTTCCAGAAGTCGAATCTTGACACTGATACCAATCTCGAATTCTGGTACAATATCCCTAATCAGAGCTTCCAAGATGGCGCATAACTTGTCTGGAGTCTGCAGAAGTGCAGCACCCATACCACCGCTTGTACTGAACGGCTTTGGACATCCAGCATTCACATCGATTCCAGCAACATCTCCTGCGACAATCCGCGCAGCCTGAACAGCTCTTTCTGGGTCTGAAGTACCAATCTGGAATATGAGGTGCTTCCCTTCTCTCTCTGGGTGAATGCGATAGATGAGACTTTCGGGCTGGTCTTTTCGCGGGTCTTTCGCGCCGTGTGAGGGCAGTCGAGTAAAGTCGATCGTGGAGAGGGCTTCATTGACCTTTCGTGTCGTTCCGATCATTGATCTATCCACAGTCTCAGGACCTGCCAAAATCGTCAGTAGGAGTATAAGAAGTAGATTTCAAAATACTCACCCCACACCAGGTCTGCTCCATAATGAAGGGCTAGCAGTCGAGAAGGAAGCTCTCCACTACGGACCATAGGTGCCAGAACAAGTTTGCCTCTGTAATCCACTCCATTCCGAGGAATGGGAATTTTCTTGGTGACGGATGTCATGATTGTGGAAATGAAACGCTGCATAACATGGCACAGGAAAGGAAAGAGTGTCGAGGAGAAATATTGAGAAAGTTGTCGCCGGTTTACTCATTCATCAAAAGTCGTCCCGATAGCGAGCTTATCACCATGTGATCGCAATAGAAATGTCTCTCCCTGCTCCTGCTCGGGTGACGGGAATCACTGCATCGGCATCTCGAGCTACCTAGGTCTATCAGTAGTGAGTGCCGGAGGAAAAGCCAATTGCGGGATCGCAGTTGGAGATATTGAATTCCAGCCTGTATGTCCTTCAGATCTATACATATTCGGGCATCAATTCACGGGACCTCCCCTTGGATTCAACACATTGGACATTCACCGTTCCTGCCGTCCCTGTCCCAAAATCTGCAACTGCAGGTCTCGTTCACCACACTGGCGCTCCGCACAAAACAGATAGCTCGTCACTTGTCGGGCTCGTCTTCTTCTCCCCACAATAACTCGCCTTCTTTCAACAACAATACCACAGATCCTTCCTCCTCTCGTTCCCCTCAATTAAGTCGACGACTTTCGACCAAAATGGCTTCCGAGTACAAGACTCACAAGGTCGGAGCTCCTAACACTCTGGCACACCGTGTCTACATTGAGAAGGATGGAAAGATTATTTCCCCTTTCCATGACATCCCTCTTTATGCGAACGAGCAACAGACCATCTTGAACATGGTTGTCGAAATTCCTAGGTGGACCAATGCCAAAATGGAGGTATGTTGACAATCTCACCCCGCCATGCGATCCTCAACTTTGACCCCTCATTCTCACCGCATCTTCAAACTTTGGATAAGAAATCTGCTAACTTGTTCCATGTGAAAGATCTCCAAGGAAGAATTGCTCAACCCAATCGTGACTTGCACCATTCACTGCACATTCGAATATCTACTAACTCATACTTCAGAAGCAAGATGTTAAGAAGGGCAAGCTTCGTTTCGTTCGAAACTGCTTCCCACACAAGGGCTACCTCTGGAACTATGGTGCCTTCCCCCAAGTACGATACCCTTCAAAGAAATCTACCGCAGCATACTAATAAGTGTCTTTAGACCTGGGAAGACCCCAATGTTATCCACCCCGAGACCAAGGCTAAGGGCGATAACGACCCATTGGATGTCTGCGAGATTGGCGAGTTGGTCGGATATCCAGGTCAGGTTAAGCAAGTCAAGATTCTCGGTGTTATGGCTTTGCTTGATGAGGAGGAGACTGACTGGAAGGTCATCGTTATCGATGTCAATGACCCACTGGCACCCAAGCTCAACGATGTTGAGGATGTTGAGCGTCACCTCCCAGGTCTCTTGAGAGCTACAAACGAGTGGTTCAGAATCTACAAAATCCCAGATGGAAAGCCTGAGAACCAGTTTGCTTTCACTGGCGAGTGCAAAAACAAGAAGTGAGTCGAAGGTATGGGTACGACAACAAAAAGACTAATGATTACAGGTACGCCACCGATGTCGTCCGTGAGTGTGCTGAAGCTTGGGAGAAGCTTATCACTGGCAAGACGAACCCTGGTGAAGTTTCTGTGTAAGTAGTTCTTGAGCCCCTTTCGAGAAGCCTTCACTAATCTCAACATAGTACCAACCTTACCGTTCAGAAGTCACCAAGCCGAGTTACTCCAGACCAACTTCCTCCCATCCCTGCGAACGAGGACCTTAGGCCAGCCCCCATTGATCCTAGCATCGATAAGTGGTTCTTCATCTCTGGCGCTGCTGCATAAATTCTTCGAACATAGAGGCATTTGTCCAAAATCATGGATTTGAAAGCATGGTTTGCTGGAATGGTACAAAAGTAGCTACGATTGACGCTTAGATGGTTCTTGCGGTGAAATTCAATACATAGTTTCATGAACATACTTCCCAGTGTGCATTCAATGGCTCTTCTGTAAACCTTCACTCTCCTCTTCTTGATTGGATGGTTTTGCTTGTACTTCGTAGTCGGAAATGTTTTCGTAGGTGCTTGAGTCTGTTTCTGTACGTACCAACCATTGTCCGAAATTGTCTAAAGGTACAAAACTTCAACTCTCTCGCCCAACTCCAAACTACAATAGAATCATACATTCAGCCAGTGCGCCTCCCATATGCAATAGTGTACAAATCCACGGCTCCAGCTCAATTGCCATTCAGCTCCTCTTGTCTAGCCAATATTCGTGAATGTCGGTCTACCTCTTCAGTCACCCCCTTGATGCCCAACTTCTCAGCATCAAGCTTCATCTCTTTTCCATCTTCTGTAGGCAACAGTCAGATAATGTGCTGCAGAGAAATTAAGGGCCTTGCAAGATCAAACTTACTGAACTTTAGCTCAACAAAGCTTATCTCTTTCGAAGTTCGTGGTAATAGCCTCGTACTAATCTTCATGCCCCCAGCCCTCGCATTCGGCGGCAGGAAAGACAGAAATAATCGTGCGGTCTTTGCTTTAGGAGAGAATGGGTTGAAGACCGTTGTCACCTCCGTCATGAATCTGGTGATCATCTTGATCTGGAATTGGAGTGAAAGCTGTACTAGCAGATTAGCAGGGTATCTAGATATCCCAAATCGAATTACTTACACCCAAATTATACCAAATGATGCTTAGAATTTGGCGTTGTGAAATATGAAGCTTGAGTCGCAAAATGTACAAAGGATCGGCAAAATTTCGCCGCCGCGTCAGAACCTGGTTCGCAGCCTTGTCTTTCATGCCAGCTTTCCCCAGAAAGAATACAGCTCTTCCTCGACAACTCACAACACCTTGAACTCACCTCAAAATGTCGTTTGAAGCAGTATCAGATCAGCTGAAGATCCTGAAAGAGGTAAATGCGCAATTAAAAGACCTCATCGACCGACTTGCGAATATCAATTTCCAGCCAGGTTCCGTACCGCTGGATGAAGGGGACGAGAATGTTGCCACAGAGCTCACCTCTGAGATACAGCAGACGATAAAAGATCAGGATGAAGATTTTGAGCTACTGTTGGAGGAGGTGCATGATTTGAACTCAGGGATGGATAATAGAGAGGAACTTCTATCGAACGTCACAAGAGCTATTGCGGAGCTCAAATTGTACGTCGAAGCTCGATTGCAGGGGCAGGGAATATCTAACATATCCGCAGATATCAAAGTGCATTCCGCAAAGCCCAAATAACTGCAAAGCGGAAACTCGAAGCAGCACAAAGAGCAGAGAGAGATCTGCTACTACAATCCTACATCGAACCCCCACGAACCAATACCTCCTCACCAGCTCCGGGGCCTGTACCCTCCCGCCGAAGAAACCAGCAAACTGCAACTTTGACAGAAGAAGAGAAGACCGTTAATGCTGCGAGCGATGTGACACGTGCACTGAGACGAACCCACGATATGATGGCCGCAGAACTCGCCCGCTCCCAATTCGCACACGAGACATTGACGGAGTCTACTGCTGCTTTGGCACAGCTTTCGGAATCATATTCTACACTAGATACCTTATTAAGCAATTCGCGGAATCTACTAGGCACTTTGTTGAGGAGTCAGAAGAGTGATACGTGGTATCTTGAAACAGCGTTCTATATCCTGATGGCTACCATAGCATGGCTAGTGTGGAGGAGACTACTCTACGGACCGACGTGGTGGCTTGTGTGGTTTCCGATGAAGATGTTTATCAAAGGATGGATAGGGGTGTTTACTGCTATGGGTCTCGTTGGCGGTTCGAAGCCGGAGAGTGGAGTGAATCCAAGCTTGACTCCTGTAATGGGGCATCACACAGTTGCTCACAGCAGTGGAACGAGAGGGCCAAAGCCTTCTCTAGGCCCTCCTGGAGTTCATCGTGTCAATGTTGGCGGTGGTGGTCGAGGAGCTCCGATGCAGGGCAGTAATAATCCCCAAGCGAGCAAGCAGGAAACTTCGGGGGATAGTATGTCTGAGAAGGTTGGTAGGATCATCGACGAAAGTCGAGAGAGTCCGTTGGGCGAGACTGAAGAAGGTGGAGATAGCGCCCCCAAAGGAGAAGCTGAGATACAGCGTAATCCGAAGAAGCGGATGTGGGAAGAGGAGAGAGAAGCTGGGAAAGATGCCCAGAGGAAGAAGGACGAGCTATAGTAACTCAATCTATCGATAATTACGTCATCTAATCTTGGTACTCTCAGGATTCGATTTCCAAGTGGAGCTAACGATTCATTTTGAAAGAGTGAACAGCAGCAGAGGCCGACGCAGGAGTTCGAGCATCTGTTCACCAAGAGCTCATCGAGTCCTCGTAACTCAGGCCTCTGAGTTCAAGAGCTTATGGAGCCTGATCATATATCTAGGTATATAAAAAGCTCTTTCTTTGACCCCAGAGAGACTCAATGTCAAATCCAAAGACACAATGGGATCTTATGCTCTGGCTTCAAACGACCCACATAACACATTGTATCCATTCACCAAGGACTCAATCCAAGAGGATTTAAATGCCTTGTGCAGAGAAATAACCCAACTGCCGGGTCTCCCTTGCCTTCTTAGTGTTTAGATACTGTCCATATAGTTGACAGCAAAACTTTGGGCTGTTGTCTGATGTTCTGTTGACAACAGTTTCACTCCCACCAATTTCTTGGTCTTCTCCTGCAATACAGCAAAGGACTCTGTAAGCCCATCTTTACCTTTCCACCCAGGCGTCAAGATCAAGGTGGTTTCCGGGTTGGTTCTGTACCGATGGTATGGGGTCAAGTCTCTCATTTAATAGCCAGTGCTCGTCCAGCTTCCTTCCTCCGTCGAACATCGAGCCTTTAGACACCTAAACAAATCCAGAATGTTTTGTTCCACATCGCAACTTGTCGCTGCGGGCGAATCGTTATTTACTCTGGAGTTGAAGAGGTGAATCTGCAGCCTTGTCGTATTTGCACAATTTGCGCAAAACGCGCTGTTCGCGAGATGCGCGCAAACCGCACAATTTGTGCGATTCACGCAATATGCGCAAATCTAAACATTCACTGTGCTCACCCTAAACATCGTCAGCTCCCAATGAGATACGAAAGTATAAGTAGAGAACATCGTGCGCAGTGGCAGGAGCAAGTTTTACATGGATCTTGTCGGCAACGCCAGACCGGAGTCTTGTCCTTCGGTGTATGTGTGTATGATCTATGCACTGGACCCGGAATGTCTTTGGAGTTTGGTTCTGGGATTGTTGTTTGTCACTACTTTTTGATGGGATGTTTGTTGTCACTGTCAATGAACAGTCGTTGTCAAACTATCCTCTTTGTTGCGTCCAATGTATTTTCATCGTCTGGACACGCATAAAAAATCTCTCGCGTTGAGCCTCTAGCTGTATTTTAAAGCTCTTTTCGCTGTCTTTCAGCAAGATAAAGCTTGTTAGAATACTACAGAAACTTGAACTCTAGCAAAGAGGATCATAGTATAGGGAAACACCATGTCGAATTGCTTGGAGCATGTATTTATAGAAGGATGGAAGTTCTGTCTTTGTAGTGGAGTGGTTGCTCCGGTACCCTCCAGTTCTCACTGATTCAGTGAATTCCTCAGTGACGCATCTTTAGCCCTATCTGGCACTTGAAAGCTACGGTTTTTCTTAGTGAATCACCAATCCACAAGGAAATGACGCGATTTTTTCCTTGCGGGTCGGAGACCGACTCAAATTCGAATTCAAAGTATACATACATCACACCAGTTTTCGAGTTGACCACAAATCACCTCCAATCGCAATAGCAAAAACAACAACAATCGCAGGCGCAGTTTACTTGGGACGTGAGAGACATTTTAGTGCTATAAAAGTGTTTCATTACTAGGGATGTCACAGCCATAATCTACACTTTGTAAGACTTCCTCGCATGAGGGGTATTGTACATTTTACAAAAAGAGAGTTTCTTTTTGCTGCCAAGTTTTATTTTCCGCTCTCACCACCATTTCTGTTGCTGTCCACTTCTTTTCTGTAAGCGTAAGGATTGTGTCCCTCTTGTCATTACAAGAATGTCCTGCCAAGCAGCACGACGTCCCCACACCTAAAGCCGGTCTCCTCATGTGATGAATGGAATCGCCGTCGTTGAAGGATTGTTGACTTTTTTGGTCATCTTTTGATTCGTGGGGGCCGTTATAAAGTCACTAGCGTCCTTTTCGAAGCCTTTTTCGTTGAACTCACGCCACAATGATTCACCCACTCAGTGAAGCTTTGTGACTCGAATACAGCTGGTCACTCGATTGATACAACTAGAGGCCCATTGCACTCGCTATTTCCTGCCTAAGGCGCCAGGCAATCGAACATATAAACGCATCTTTCCCCACCTCAAAGAACACAACCTTGACAATCAAGAAAGTTTTGCCTCTCAGGAGGCGCAATCAATGTGCCGGGAGCAGTAGAAGCATATTGCAGCTTGCACTCCTACCTCGTTGTAGTGCTCCGTTTTCAAGCACTGCGTCAAGAAAGCAAGATACATGTTCTTTGCGGAATTCAAGTTTTGCTGTCAAATGATCATTGCTATGCGCCTGATGTCTTGCCATATTCCACTATTGTTTTACTTCTACTGTCAACCATTCTGTCAAAAGTGCACAATTTTATCTTCTTCGAATTCCCTGCGCACTGGACAACGCACATAGCTCATCCTCTTCTTTGATAGAACGGAGACTTGTTGGGAGTCCCGGGCGTACGCTCTACGAATCTCCGAACCTCAAAGCGATTGATCTTGAGGCAGATCCAGTTGCTCAACGTTCTTTTATACTCTTCAGCTCTCGAATTTTGTTCCTTTCTAGCTAGAACAGAATTGAAGTGAATAGGGATTAGACAACTTCGCCTTCAGCCCACTAGTAATTCACTACTAAGAAGTTTTGAGGCTCTCTCGGGGAAAACTTAGATAACAAGAGAGGGGATGAGGTATATAAACCATCAACTCTCCCATCCTGTTTGTCAAAAAATAAGAACAAATTGATGCGCTTGATCAGCAGCGAGTTTCCAGGGGACCAAGTATGTAACTCTCGTGTTACGATCACGGGACTAGTGAACCATGGGCTCGGCAAGCGGGGAATCTCGACCTATGGTGGGCCCTGGGTCACGTGGTGGATCATAGGGGATCATAGGGGATCGAGCGATCCACTACGATCCAGGAAACGGAGGTCCTATATAGCGGCGAGTTGTCACTCACTGGGGAGGAACTCCGTGCTCAACTTGATTAAGTTTTCCTAACTACTATATCATTGCCTTATCTTACTTCATTCACCATACCAACCCACGTGACCTTACCAGGGTAAGGAGAGAGTCGTGACATCTCGCTCACATTCCTAAATGATAATTGGAGCTTTGTTGGTGCTTGAGTGAAATAAGCTAGAGCTTCATTTTCGTGGGCCAAGGAGATTTTTTTTGAACTCCTCAATTGCTGCTAATCTAATTTTTGTTGCCAACTATTCAGAGTTTCTACAGAAACATTCAGGACCATATTGTACTTGCGATTCTTTCAGTTCAAAAGTCTCTCAAATCGGGCGCAACAACTCTCTCCTACAACGAAGCCTCCGCGTCCTGGCAACGTAATCATGCACTGTTGCGACTACTCTCTTTGTGTAAGGAATATTGGTCGGGCCGTAGTGTGTATTTATAGAGCTCCTCTAATCGATTGTGGGTGGGAGTCGGCTCCGAGGTTCACCCGCTCTCCGTTTTCTTGCCTTTCAATCACAGTGAATCTTTGAGCGGAAAGTTTTCATTTGGTGAATGATTGCTCGGTCAAATCTAGAATTTCCGTCCGGCCAAGTTGAATGCCCACTCACTATATAAAGCCTCAACTTCCGTCCGAGTATCTTTCTACAACAGACCCAGATCCCGAGGTTCTTGGACACAAAGTCCTAAAGGAGGGAGCTACATCGGCCAAGAAGTCTCCCGGCGAGCCAGGCTACTGGAAATCTCAGGTTGGCAGATTTCGATGTCGTCTTGTGACAGGTCTGAAAGCCTGAGAACTGATCGTAAAATGTAACGCTTTGTCTCGCCCCACCTTTCTTTCAGTTCAACTTTTGTAGTTGACAGCAGTCACAAGTTTTCACTGTCAAATCGGGACCTTCGATTGTATTCCCAGATACAGGTCCCCGCGCCTGTTTCATTCCTATAGATCAACTTTCCATGAGAGATTACTTTATAGAATCAAAATAGCGAGCTGAGAAGCCCACCCAAAACCAGCTTGCACAAAGACCCGGCGCTGCTAGTAGCCGTGATACCAATGATATAGTTCGGGAAATTCTTGGCAGAATATTTGGTCTTCCCCCGATTCGAGCACTAAAAAGCTCACCTCTACTAGGTACCTAGTGAATAATCCTATCGAGCTTCATTCTCGCAATAAAGCGAAGTATAAAAGCCCCCTCTCCCTCCGCGCTACTCAAACGCGGCTTAAAAAACAGTGTCAAGAGTGATTTACCTGGTGTGTTTGTTTGTGTGCTGAGGGGTGATATCTCTTTTCCTTGTCAAATGTTTGTAATTCTTGGCGGAAGTATTATTATGATTGCTGCAGGATAATTTCCGTCATCGCGGAGCCGTTGTCAAGAGGTGTTAAAGGGAGAGGACGAGAGGTGTTGATGCTGCCATAATCATTAAGTATACCACTATAGGAAGACAGCAGTTGGCAATCACATTTTCCGTGGCGAAGATTCAGTAGCAGTGTGCCCCTTTATGAATCTGATCAATGAATACCAAGGCTTCCGTCTCTTTCATTAACTCAATCCAACCACATTATTCACGACGGTCGTTCCTCAAAGCTTTGAAACCGCGTTTATATCATCACTAGCGCCGTTTTCGAGGCCGGACTCTAGAGGTGAATAGGTGTATGTTGTGACACTAAGCGAAGGAGTCAAACTTGGTGAGATTCAAGCAATTCTTTAGTGGATAAATTCACTTTAGACTCCTGTCCACGTCCATCATCGGCCAAAGAAAAGGCACTAGTGACGATATAAACACCTTTTCTCCCCTCTACACTCTCTAAAGAATATTCGGACACACCATCTATAATAAGGAAACTCTGGTCCGGGTGTGCAGTGATGCCTGGCTACCAAGGTTAGGGTCTGGTTGGGAGATAATGAGCGCATGAAGCAGCTCAGCCAACTTGGGCATCCAACCTCGAACAGAGAAGAGGCAGGAATGACAACAAGATTAATACACTACCGCAGAGCAATAGTATTGTCATTCAAGCATTATGCGTTTGTGGAGTATTTTGGTGCCTGGGAAGAACGTCCATATGCTGCGGCACTCGCGTGACCGGTCTATAGATTCACCATTTTATTCGCGTTCGTGCTAGTTAATATGTAATTGATATGTTTAATATTACTCAATTTATCCTCCATTCTAATTCAGTTCTAGTCTATGCTTCAAATTATTCCTCTGAACCTTGCCATGTTTTATGGCTTTGGACATGTCTCGGTACAAATTGGCTGCGAGAAAGGGAAGAGCTCTATTTCTGTCAATCAATAGCTTGACCTTCCACCACAGTTCTTAGTAATTTTCAAGCTTCCAGTGCGAGTATTTTGCTATCCCATAGTTTCCACTTCATCACATGATTATCTCCAGAACCATCGGATCTCCGAAGCTCTTCTCAAGGAACTGTTTTCTAAATTACCATTCTTCTCAAACAAATTAAATATCTTCTTCCCTATTGTCAACATCCTCAATGCCACCCACAATCCCCAACCGCCAATGGACATCCCACCTAAACGGAATCTCCAACCTAACCCTAACCCAAACCACCACCTCACACCCAGCCACAAACGAAGTCCTCGTCCGCATCACCGCCATCTCTCTAAACTACAAAGACGGCGAGACCATCTCGGGACAATTCAACCACCACGCCGCCGTCTCCTTACCAAGCACCATCGTCCCCTGCAGCGACGCCGCCGGCCAGGTGTGGGAAGTGGGGGACGGGGTAACGAGATGGAAGAAGGGTGATCGGGTTTTGGCCTTACCGTATCTTGAGTATAAGACTGGGAGGATCACGCAGGAGATGCTTGGGAGCGGGATTGGGAGTTCGGGGAAAGGTTTGTTTCTCGTTTAATTTTGCACAAGTTAGGTGAGTTGACGAGATCAGGAGTTTCATGTGAATACAGGATTTTCGAAGAAGATGCTCTACTACCTGTACCGGAGAGCATGTCGGACGAAGAAGCGTGTACGATGACGGTTGCGGGGATCACGGCGTGGATGGCGATGAATGGGCAGAGGCCGTTGGGTAGTCCGGGCGGGCAGGAGGAGGTGGTGCTTATTCAGGGGACGGGAGGAGTTTCTATTCAAGGGTTGCAGATTGCTAAGGCTTCTGGGGCTACTGGTTTGTTGATTTTCCATACAGCGAAAGGGGAACATGGATTGCTGATTAGGAAAAGTGATCATCACTTCCTCATCAGACGAGAAACTTGCTCGTGCAAAAGCTCTTGGAGCAGATTATACGATCAACTATAAGACAACGCCCGATTGGGATGTTGAGGTTCTTCGTCTCACTTCTGGGAGAGGGGCAGATATCATTTTTGAGAACGGAGGCGCTCCAACGACTGCCAAGTCTTTCAATTGCATTCGTTTCGGAGGGTTGTTCAATGCTATTGGCTATGTCTCGGGAAAGGTCGATCCAAAGGATGAAGAGAAAACCAATATTAATGTGCAAGCGATTAGGAAGAACGTGATATTGGTCGGAATGTTGAATGGGCCGAGGGATAGAGTGGTGGAGATGTTGGAATTTTATGAAAACCATGGGATTAAGCCGGTTATCGATCGAGTCTTCAAGTTTGAGGAGGCGAAGGAGGCTTTGCAGTATTTGTGGAGCGGGAGTCACTTTGGAACGGTGGTTGTGAAGGTTCCTTGATCTGATACTAAAGAGAACTAAGAAGCCAGGTAATGACGCTTAAAATCAGACAATCAATGTGTTGTTCATGCCTCTGTCTACACGTCCAGTGTCTAGCGCTCGCTCTCTGTTTAATCCAAAGCCTAGACTATACCCGACGCTCCAAAGTCTATCACAGTTTCGCCCTGCCTTGGTCTAGCTCTGCCTTTGCCTCCTCTCGAATAACTCTCTTCAAGATCTTCCCGCTCGCGTTCTTGGGAATGGCCTGCACAAACCTCACACCTCCTGTCAACTCCTTGAATTTAGCGAGTCTCCCACCGCACCACTCCTTCACTGCCGCCTCATCCAGATTCTCACTCTCTTTCACCGGTCTCTTCACAACATACGCTCTTGGGTGTTCATTATGCTGATCTCCTTGGAGCTTGACTCCAATGACCGCTGCGTCGATAATGTGCGGATGGTTCAAAAGTACAGTCTCGAGCTCTGGTGGAGCAACTTGGAATCCACGAACTTTGACAAGTTCCTTCTTTCGGTCGACGACGTACCACTTCTTAGTCTTCGAGTCGCGATAGACGATATCTCCAGTCTTGAAGAAGCCTTCCGAGTCAAACGACTCCGCGTTGGCTTTTGGGTTTTCGAAATAGCCTTTGACGACGATAGGGCCGCGAACGCATAATTCGCCCTGGACATCATAGCCTGTTATGTCCTTGTCGTTATCGTCCACAATCCTGTGAGGTTGTTAGTAGATCCCAAAGCTTAAGTCATAAAAAGCATACTTAGTATCCAAATTTGGCAACATATGACCCACGCTCCCTGTGTCATCATCCTCTGGATAATGAAACATGGAAGCAATGCAGGACATTTCGGTCATTCCCCAAACCTGGTTGCAGAATGCACCTTCCGGCAGCAATTGTCTAAGTCGAGTCTGTGAGTCTTTTCCTAGCGGAGCTGCACCAACAGTGACCTGGCGTACGGAGTCGAGCGAATACTTGTTGGCGAGTCCAGACATTATGATGGCAATGACTATGGGCGGAACTATGCCTACTTCGTTAACCTTGAACTTCTCGATCGTGGCGAAGAAAGGTTCTAGTTCAAAGCGTCGCATGACAACAGAAGGCTCTCCAGATCTTAATGCCGTGGTATGAGCAACGGGAACACAAGCTGCATGAAACATTGGAAGAGCGAGTATGCGTATTGGCTAATAGATGTCAGTCGGAAACAAAGATTACAAGCCTACCAGGAGAACATACCCTCCATGCTTTCTTTTTGTACTCGTGGACAAGTGTATGCTCAGATACGAAGTTATGGTGAGAAAGCATGGCAGCTTTTGGCAATCCCGTCGTCCCACTGCTGAAAAGTCTCGCAGCAGTCGTCTCTTTACAGGTCTTCTCATCATCGAATCTGACCCAGTCTTCTTCACCGTAATTCAACAGGTCTTTCCATGACTTGAAACCTTCAGGAAGAGGGTTGTTCAAGACATCAAATATCCAGACTTTGGATTCAGGAATGGAACACTCTTTTGCGGCAGCAAGGACATTTTTGAGCATCTCAGGCTCGGTGATCAAGAATTTTGTCTTGGCCGTCTTGATGTGATGGACGAGCTCGAATTGAGTGTAGGAAGGATTTGTTCCTGCAAAAATTCCTCCCGCTGCTATGATTCCCAAGAATAGAATGGGATAGTGTATCTCGAGCAAAAGTCAGCAAGACCACAACAACGAAGCTGTAAACTTACATCGTTAAAAGAATGCAAGCAGACGCAATCCCCTTTCTTTAGCCCTGCTGCGCGCAATCCAGCTACCAGTTTTCGGATCAGTACACGTGCTTGGTTCGATGATATGGAGTTTGTTGGATTCTTGGCATCAATGTATATCTGTACTATTTGTAAGCAACACGCTATAAATCTATGACCTCAAAGTATAATGATTGAAAACATACTGGTTCATCTGGGTCATACTTGACATCGTCGAACGTCCAAGACAGCAAGTCCTTAGTGGGAATAGGCGCATGGTTCTCGGCAGCAAAATACATGGTGCTCTTCTCGAATGAAATGACAAATCGATAAATATTCTATACAACTCGCCCAAATTCAGATCTATGCAGGAGAGAAATCATCCTCAGGAAGCTGAGCTCTGAGAAATGTTGGTTCGCGGGGTTAAGCGTTTCAGCACCATACCCAGTACAGCCTAGAAGTGTGCGGGGATCCCCAGCAACTGTCAGTACAAACTTACACTAAAAAGTAAGCACAAACACCCTCGGAGCTCGGCTACGTGCGTTGGCATGCCCCAAGTTGTGTTGATTGGGCGAATAACCCGAGATTTCTAGCCGTGAATGGCGAGTTCGTTCGAAAAGACCCAACCCGTTGTAAGCTGACTTCAGGGGGTTTGATATCAGTGCGAGCAGTGATAGTACTCCGTAGATCGTTCAACATACAAGGACCGCTTTCCCTGATGATTGTCCGAACATCGTGCTATCAATGGTCAACAGGATCGAAGATCGCGAGCTGACAATGGTGCTAGAGTCCTTCTTGCGAATAAATTTGATGGCAGATTCACATATCAAGGCTAGCCCGGAATTGGTAGTGATGAGGTCTATTAAGCAACTGAGTTAACCAACTTTGGATCCTCGTCGAAGTGCAAGATAACCACCTCTTGCTGTGAATTTTCTCCGATTAGCCATCTTTCATCTCCACATATCTTTCCCTTTCCCATTAATTGGGTCCACAAATCGTCTCGCAGAGAAATTTCATATCCAGGTCCAGTCATCTGTACTCGAGGTTTGACGTTGATGGAAATCGTCTCAAGCATAAAGCAATGTCTTGCGCTGAACACGACACCTGCTTCGGCATCGATTGCTTCGCTGATTGTTAGATATGGGAATTCCTAGAAGATGTCATCAGATCCACTACTTCTACACTTCCGCGCAAGCCATGACTTACCTCATGCCTCCAACATGGAGCGACTTCTGGTCGACGAATGTCCGAGACTCTCTCACAGAATGAAAGGTGAACATCACCATCTGCACCGCATTCGTCTGTCCAACATGGTCCTGGAGAAAATGGGATTCCGGTCGTCTTTACCTTGTGAAGTCTAGGAAGTGTATGGCTAGCCTGTTGACCGACGAGCCATCTATGATCCTCCTCGATGATATACACGTGGTTCTCGTCTAACTCAAGACTTCGTAAGACAGGTGTTGAACGCTGTCTAATCCAGTAGAAGCTAAGGTCCGCAAAGGAGAATCGTCGGATGACATGGGGTCCTTGTCCTTCAGGTTTCCGTTTTCCACTCGGATCTTCACTGGGGCAATATGCAGATGCGGATGAGATGTCCCAAACTGCTAATCCTTCAATAGGTTCGTCCTCGCCCCAAGCACTGCGGTTTGGTTGCCATAGATAGATGGCATAGTGTGTCTTGTTGTGCGTGCTGAAAAATCGATCTCTTGAATTCAAAGGAAATCCTAGGAAATGGATCTTCCACTCATTTCTGGATTGTTCAGCACCGTGGTTTTTCATATACCCGAGAACATACCTGAAAACCATGGACCATTTTCCGTCCAATTCCCGACTCACATCGTAGGCCGTTGCAAAATGTCTGAAGACCATCTCATTCTCATTCAACTGGTGATAAGCATCCTGCTCGCACCATTCCACCACAAGGACCCTCTGACATAGTCTTATCCTCCTTATGATCTTTCCTTCACTTTTGAACCCTACCTCGCTTGAGTTTCCTGTCTCAAGATCAAACAAGACGTATTTCTGGAGCTCAGCGGAAGGGAAAATCAAGATTCCCTCTTCATAAGTCCATAAAGAATCCGGATAATGGAATGCCGCGGTCTTCTCCTCGAATTGCAGATGACGTTGCCAAGGAGAAATGGGATAGTAACGTGCCCATGATGGAACGACAAAGGAGCGTCCAAGAGCAAGCTTTGAGATGCTTCGAGGCTTACCAGTCTTCAAATGATGGTATCGACCTACAACCTTGGCAAATGTTTGAGCCCAGTCCACATTTAGATCTATATGACGAAGTTCTCGTGCTCGAGGATAGTGCTGAACAAGAACATGTCGATTGAGATCTGATTCCGTGAAGGCGGCTTGGAATCGTTTGTCTACCGAACGGCAGAGTATTAGGTCTTTCGGTGAGAGGTAAGCTATCACTATGAGGAATATGTCGTTTGGAAAAGCGGTGATATCCATTTTCAGGTATAAAAAGAGTTGGTGAATAAATATCGAAAAGCCGAAACCAATCTAGTACAACTTCCGGCTTGGTTAAAATATATTAGTGGGGCCCTTACTCTTACCTAATTCCGAAGCTTGCGGAAAATTGTAAAATAATTAAAAACAATTATAAAAAATATTAAAAAATTATAAAAACTATTAAACATTATAAAAAAATATTAAAAATATTAAAAATATTAAAAGTTATTTAATTACCGGCTTTGCGATCACGTGAGAAGCTTTTTCCCAATTTCAAAGCTTGCGGAGAACACTTCCGGCTATTGCATAAATTTGAAAAAAATATATTTTCAAAACAATTTTATTCTGCTTTTCCTTCACATTCTATTTCTTTTTTTTCCCAAACAGCCAAAAGATCCTCCTCAAGACAAGCCCACAACTCCGGCGCCATCGCCTCATACCCGAGAACCTTCTTCGCCCTATCACTGCGCGTCCTTGTACTACTAGCAGACAAATAAATGCCCTGGTACGGCCACTTGGACTTCCCCACCATAGTTGTGACTTCGTCCAGAGATAATCGGAGCGGATCTGGATTATCGATGGTTTTGTGTTTTGCGAGGATATGCCCTGTTGCGGTGGCGAAGGAGAGTTGGGAGGCTTCTTGGGTGGCGGTGAAGTAGTATCCCTATATTTGATATCTGGTTCAATGATTTCTATGTTGTCTCTTTGCTCAAGTTTTGAAGAAGAAAAAAAAAACCGAAAAAAAGGATTTCACATCTCGGTAGAACTTCAGCTGCTTCTCGGAATTTGGGGGTATGCTGCCTCCTGTTGAATTTGTTAATTTCCCACTCTGAGACTCTGCCTGTACACATATCTCATCTACTCACCTAATGTGTCGACTAACTCGTGAACGAAGACTCAGCTTCTTCGTCACTCAAGATCGTCATAGCAGTGCAGATAGCAGCAGCGACAACTCGCCCAGCGACTTGCATCTCAGGTCGCTTTGGCACACTATCTGCGATTAATTTTGCAGTCGTTGCTCCCGTGGCGAGGATGATATGGGATGCCGACAATACATCGCCTTTCGTGGTCCGAACTCCAGTGCTTGCTCCTTGGTCGTCGAACACAACTGCTTCAACGTCACCGCCGACGTATTGCACACCAGCCTCGACAGCATGCTCGATAGTCTTGGTGAGGGCTGCACTGGCTTCGGCCCAACCACTACTCTCATTGAGCAACATATCACCGGCACCTTCATAATCCGCGTCGGCATGGATGCCATCCCAGAGACCCTTGGCTTCCTCGGCCTTGATCAAGCGAGATTTGGCAGTTGAGTTTAACTTCTTGTAACTGTCGATGATGTCCTGTGGGAATCCTTTGTTGTCAACCCACACGAGTCCACTCTCGCGATAGAAGGGTTTGTATAATGGATCGGATCTCCATAGTTCCATGGCCTCCAAAGCAAGTTCCATATACAGGAGATTGGCATAATCGGCGCGGACGACTTTTTTCCAGTCCCATGATGCTCCGACCTGCGAGGGGAAGGGGGTCCGATCAATGAGGGTCACCTTTGCGGACGGATATTTCTGGATCAAGTGGAGCGCAACAGAGGTTCCAAGACACCAGCTCCAACGACGATATACGTGTCATCTCCCACGTCCGGCTTTGCCATGGCGATGAGAAGGCAAGTGCACCAAGTGACGCCGAGGACGCGTATGGGTTTGGGCTGTGATTGTAAGCAGGGGAGGGAAGAGGAAAGAGGAAACAAGCGTGATGCGATGAGCGGGAAGTAGAAATATTCAGAAATCAGACAGGATAATACCTTTTATGTGGTCTCTCGAAGTTGCCTCTTTTTGGTCGTGTCCTCTTTCCTCTCTTCTCTCCTCTTCCCTCCCTTCTGTCCTCTTTCCTCTTTCCTCTTCCTCCGTGTTTTGCTGTGATTCATCAGTTTCGACTAGATCCAGTGCATGAAACAAGATATCGAAATGAGGCTGCTGACGATGGTTCCTTGCAGCGCTGCCCAAGTGGTGACTGATGATTCATTCTTTGGGCCTATATAACAGCAAATTCTCTCGAAAGTCAGCTCATTTCTACAAGTATCCCCTCCTCTCCTCTCCTCTCCTCGCCAACGAATTTTTGTCTGTGCTTGCACTTTATGAACGTGCCTCTCAATAACCTCACGCCATCTTCGATCTGTTTCATTTATATTCGTCTTCGTCTTCACCATGTCTAACATTCCTCTCACCACCGCCACAACCCAGTCCAACCCAACACGTCCGCCTTCACGCTAAGCCAGGCTCCTGGTCGCCTCTTTCAATGGTACGATATCTTCGCATAGAAGATTAATGTTCGACTAACGTACGAATAGGTACATGGGTAGTTGGAGTCTTGAGCTCTCGTAAAACCGTGGTATCGGAGTTTGTCAGACTAATCTCCGAGCATGAGAACGTCTTCGAGATACCAGTCAATGGTGTTGGATCAGATGTCAATTGGGTAGACTGGATCGTAGGAGGTAAGTTACCATTCCATATGTATCCATTCTTGTTCCCATTGCTGACGATCTCCAGGTGTTGGCAGTTGGGGAACCTTGCAGAATGTCATTACCGCTTTCAGTACGAATCACCTACCCCTCGTCATCTGCTTACGGGAAATAGGAAACATCTCGAGGCACTACATTGCTGGTGACAGAATTATTGTAAGTGGATACTCTCGTGGTATGTCTACCTCGCCATTCTCTATACATCCACTATCTTACATTCTCAGGGGCGTGGGCAGCACGCTATCTAGCAATGCTGATCGACATGATCGGCTTACCAAAGGATGGCGATGAAGCATTATTCCATCGTCTCTATAAGGCATGCGATAATGCTACGATCTTGGACGAGAGTGTTGCCGCCAGATTGATGGAAGGATATGACTGTAAGTTACTTGGTCAATCATGCTTTGCCTTTTCCTATTCTGACCATGTGCAGGCTGGCAAGATGTCAAGATCAATGCCTTATGTTGCTTCGATACAGTCGGCTCTTTCGGGCTGCCATTGACTGGGCTCGCAGAGCCACTCGCCTATCTTACTTAGGAAGAAGAAGAAGCATGACATGGTATCTGCTGTCACTTCAAGTAAGACCCTGCTCCTAACTCTCATCCACTCCTCATCCCAATATTCAATGCGCACCCACTAACATCCATCTCAGACGTCGAATTCCCCTTCCACTGCATTTCCCTCCACGAAACCCGCGCACCTTACAGTGCAAACAAAACTACCCAAAACAGCAAGACTTGATAGTTTTCTTGATCGTCTTTGAATCTCAGATATCTACGGGGCAACCTATCATTACCTAGGTAAGCTTCCCTCAACATCGGATCTCGTGGTAGCTTCGGAGGGTTAAAAAGCAGGACAAAATTACTGCTATGTGGCAATCATATCTAATGGTATGGCCCATTTTGTTCACCGGCCCCAATTGGTCAATTGGGTTGATACCACGTGACTTCTATATAATTCTGATGGCACAGTACAGAGGCCTTGATTCTCCATAGGGATCCATATATTCTATTCATTAGGCTTTAAGACTCCATGAAATGATGGTAGTTGGCTTTGCCCCTCAACATTATCGGTGAAGCACCCCCAGATTTGAGTGCCTCGGCATTTGCATCCTGGACTTGCAAAAGGGATGATTTGACAGTACCTCTCTTCCGTATATATCTTGAATTACTTGCAATCCCAATTGAGGCGACAAGACAACTTGAGAATAGCTTCGCAAGAGACTTCTCTTCAGGATGGACCTTCCTAATCGTATGATAGAGCTGCCCTGGGTCAACTTTCACCCCACCCTTGCTTGTACCGATTTCGCTACGCTTCATAGGTACTTTACCCCACCTTGCTCTCGGCTTAAGCTCCAAGCTCTGTAATCTCGTCCCTCTGACCGTTTTTCAAAACATGAGGATCAATTCTCCCATTCCCACGCCCTTTTCTCTTTCGCACCTTTGAAGATGCGTCGTGTCCTCTCACGAAGCATTCCTGCTGCTGCAGTACGATCAACGCGCTCAGTACCAGCTTTCAGAATGGCTCCCTCGAGCGAACACTCCAAAATAGCAGCTCGCAGACTGCATGCCACAGCCCAGCATCTGAAGCCTGCCACAGCTCTAGCTTTCGATTCCAAGAATTATCCAACCACACACGAGAAGATACAAGATGTCCAAGATACGCCATACTTCATTGACAACAATTTCGTGGCGTCAGAAGCTACTCAATTCATCGAATTGCACGACCCTGCGACCAACAATCTGGTCACAAGAGTTCCTCAAAGCACTGATGCAGAGTGAGTGAAGTTGAATTCTTACCGTCTCTATTCCTTCTTCGGTGTCCTGTCGTGGCTGACTTTCTGTTCTTCCAGGCTCAAAGCCGCAGTAGAAAGTGCCCAGAAGGCATTCCCAGCATGGAAGGCTACAAGCGTTATGGCGAGACAGCAGATTATGTTCAAGTTTACACAATTGGTGAGGGAGAATTGGGATCGATTAGCAGCAAGCATCACACTGGAGCAGGGCAAAACATTTGCTGGTGGGTCTGCAGATACCAACCTTTAGGATGAGAGGCTGATACGTTTCAAGATGCTAAGGGCGATGTTCTCCGTGGTCTACAAGTGGCTGAAGGTTCATGCAATATCCCTCAGCAAATGATGGGCGAAGTATTGGAGGTTGCCAAGGATATGGAAACTCGCAGCTACAGAGAGCCATTGGGTGTCGTAGCTGCTATTTGCCCATTCAGTAGGTCGTGTTTGTCTGTAACTATTATTGTGCTAACAAGATAACAGACTTCCCTGCTATGATTCCTCTATGGTCCATCCCAATTGCAACTGCCACTGGAAACTGTCTCATCCTAAAGCCCTCGGAACGTGATCCTGGAGCAGCAATGATCCTTGCCGAGATCGCCGAGAAGGCCGGCTTTCCCCCAGGAGTTCTGAATATTGTCCACGGTGCTGCCAAGACTGTCGACTTTATCATTGACGAGCCTGCCATCAAAGCTATTAGCTTCGTCGGCAGCAATCGAGCAGGAGAGTACATCTTCGCCCGCGGCTCAGCAAATGGAAAGCGAGTACAAGCCAATCTTGGTGCCAAGAACCATGCTGCGGTCCTTCCAGATGCCAACAAGCAACATGCGCTCAATTCCATTGTCGGTGCTGCCTTTGGCGCTGCCGGTCAGCGATGCATGGCTCTCAGCACGCTCGTCATGGTTGGAGAAACCAAAGAATGGCTCCATGAGCTTGCAGAGTCCGCAAAGTCACTTAAGGTGAACGGCGGATTCGAAGAAGGTGCTGATCTAGGACCAGTCATCTCCCCTCAAAGCAAGGAGAGAATTGAAAGTCTTATTGCCAGCGCTGAGGAAGATGGTGCTACCATCCTCTTGGACGGCCGTGGTTATAAGCCAGAAAAGTACCCGAATGGCAACTGGGTCGGACCAACCATTATCGCGAACGTTAAGCCGCATATGAAATGCTACAAAGAAGAAATCTTTGGCCCCGTCCTAGTCTGCTTAAACGTCGACTCCCTCGATGAGGCAGTTGATTTAATCAACGCCAACGAATATGGCAACGGAGTTGCCATCTTTACCAAATCCGGAGCAACGGCTGCTGCATTCCAAAAGAATATCGAGGCAGGTCAAGTAGGAATCAACGTTCCCATACCTGTCCCGCTTCCTATGTTCTCATTTACGGGTAACAAGAAGAGTATTGCAGGTGGTGGAGCCAGTTACTTCTATGGAAAGCCTGGATTGCAATTCTATACGCAATTGAAGACTGTCACTAGTTTGTGGAAGAGCGAGGATGCCATTTCGAAAGCAGCGGATGTGTCTATGCCAACACATTCATAATTAGTCTGCAAAATGTCTGCGGTTGTACATATCTGAGTAAAATTTTGCATCTCCTTCAGGCCATGGAGTTTTTTGCTGCTGCCACTTTGTTACCCTCGTTCAATCTTGTCTGTGTTGTTTCTCGTGTTCTCCTTCACTAGAGATACTACACATGTGAATAGATCTCCATTATATCACACGATCAAAACTACGAATGGCGTGACAATGTGTATATATAATAGTAATCAGTACTATGTTGCTTTATCTCTACTCGTCGTTCTCCAGCGTAGATGAGCGTACAAAGGGGAAATTTTTAAACAGGAAGACAGCAGCGAGATATATCATCCCACCAACCACAAAACAAGCAGCGAAAACAGAAAATCCAATCAGATATCGCGGTGCCTCTTCAGCCGGAAAAAGAGCGCTTCCGTAGAGCTGAGCCAAACCTCCGCACCCGTTGATCAACGGAAGAGCAATAGCCCTGACCTCGGTGTCACATCCTCCTAGTGCAGTGCTGGTGAAAGAGAGGCCGAGACAATTACCAGTCCAGATGGCAGAATTGATCAAGCACAAGAAAATGTATCGAGCCTTGAAGTCGAGAATGCCAGCTGTAAGTTCGGAGAATAAACCACCGAGAAGGATGAGGGTGAAGTTTAATAGGTAGCCGCGCAGGTGAGGATTCCTGTCTGCGTACCAAGACGCAGGTATAGCTATGACCAAGGCCACGAGATAAAGTGGTGCAGTCATATATCTGGTCATAGTCAGAGGCCATTCGTCTTACTTCACAACGAGACTTACTGAGCATTGGTCGATGTATAACCTAGTCCTTCTACCAGTGTAGGGTAAAAGTTCGATATTGCCAGCGCACCTATGATCGTCATGTATGCAGGGCAGAGCATCCAAATCCTCCAATTGAGGATAACCTTGACAAAAGCATGTCCGATAGCTGAAAGATCGCCACCCTCGGTCTTTTGATGCGTGATGCCGTCCAGGAAGAGCCTGCGGGAAGCAATTTCGCGTTGCGCAGGCGTCAATTGCTTACTGGTTGAGGGGTAATCCAGCAGAAACCAATGCACAATGAGTGATGCTCCTACAGTCGCAACACCTTCAACGAGGAAGAACCAACGCCAGCCTGGGATACCATGTGCGCCGTCCAATCTGGACGTGATGGCTCCTGCAAAGACCCCGCCGAATGCTCCAGATAAGATTCCAGCACTTAGGAATATCATGAAACGTTTAGATCTGACTCATTTCAGCGTTTGTTTAATGTCGAGCTGAAAGAAAGGCATACTGCTCGTGTCTTCGATACCAGATACTAATCATAAAGAGGACGGAAGGCTTAGTCGACAGAGTTAGCATGATAATGACAAGTATAGGATGGAGTCTCACATTGAAGCCGGCTTCAAAGACTCCTAGGAAGAATCGAAGAACAAGAAGCTGAGTGCCTGTCTTCACTCCAGCAAGACCAGCAGCGATTGCGCCCCATGCAAACATAATCACTGGTATGTAGTACGAAGGTCGGACACGAGAGAGGATCATGCTGTTTGTGATCAGCTACAACTATCGTGCAAGAATAGAAAGAACGAACTTTGAAGGTACTGCAGCACCTGCATATCCAATAACCCACATGATAACTGCGAGGTAGTATTCATTTGAATTAAGATGCAAGTCTTTCTGCATGCCAGCGACCTTGGCGAGTCCAATATTGGAACGATCCTAGAACAAAAGTTAGTAATTGTCATCTCTCGAGTAGAATGTCATCAATACTGACAATGAAAGAGAAGAGGTAAAGAATAAAGATGGAGGGCATGAGATAAAGATCGATCTTTCTCAACACCTTCTTCTCCTCGACTGGATCAATGACGAAAGTCTCAGTCTGTTCCAAGTGACAGACGTCCTCTACTTTTTCGTCTTGAAGAGTAGCCATGGTTGAGGCTAGATATTCTGAGAAAACGAAGATGAATCTTGAGAGTTGTTTTCAGAAAGAAGCACAACAGAACAGAAAATGAAGGCTTGTGCTGATCTCGAGATGGACCTAACGAGAAACACAAGGGCTTTATGCTTCTAAATCTAGCAATCTCTTCCCCGCAAACATTCCCCACACCCCAGAATTTGAATCCATGTGGCGTACAGCAGCATGTTGGGCTACCCTGCGCATCGAGCTCTTTCCGGGCCATGTCGATGTGAAAAAGCGATAGAGATCTTTGAAAAGCTTGCCCTAACTTGATTGTGCGGCACCATTCCTCCAATTGTGTCTCACCCATCACTTGAATGGTCTTCATATTTTTGCGATGTTCGAGAAATCCTGGAAGTCTGGAACGCGGCAATGAGTGGCGACTGTGCTTTTCACGGGGAGTCTAGCAATGCTCCGGATTTCTCGCTTGACTCATGCGCTGCCACCATCGCGGGGTACATGATCTCTCCAAATCTCATATGCGGAGCAAGCTCATCTTTTCGGGATGGCGAGTTTCTCCACTACCTTCACTATCTCTCAAGTTCAAAGTTCTTGATCTTCCCTCCGTGTTTCCAAAGATTTGCACTGCGTCCACCCTGTACAAATACCTATCGATCTTGTTCTGCTTTCAAAATGTCTCGACGTCTACTCTGCGATCGTTTTTCTGTGGCGCCACTTCAAGCTTTTTGTTCCAACTACCATACCCTTTCCCAAAAATGGCCGCAGCTATATATCCTGACTTAAACGGCAAGATCGCCCTCGTCATGGGTGTTGGCCAGAGCGGCTCTCTCTCGTCCAAATCTTGGGGCAATGGAGCTGCCATCACTCGCGTCCTCTGCCAGAATGGAGTGAGGGTATTTGGTGTCGACTACAATCTCGCCGCTGCTGAATTCACAGCTTCTCGAGTACGGGCGGAAGGTGGAATCTGCGATGTCACCACAGCAGATGTTACTTCTGCGTCCGAAGTCCAAAGAGCCGTGGATGCAGCAATGTCGAAGTACGGCAGAATCGACATTTTGATCAACAGTGTTGGTATGACTGCACCTGGAGATCCAGCGAGTATGTCTGAAGAAGTGTGGGACAAGCAGATTGATCTCAATCTGAAAAGTGTATACCTGGCGTGTCACGCTGTCCTGCCGATAATGGAGAAGCAAGGCTCAGGGTCTATCATCAATAATGCGAGTATTGCTGGAATGAGATACCTTGGCAAGCCGCAAGTAGCGTATGCTGCTGCAAAAGCTGCGGTCCTACAGTTTACGAAAGTCACTGCTGTGATGTATGCCAAGAAGGGTGTTCGGTTGAACTCGATAGTACCAGGCTTGATGTATACGCCTCTTGTTGAGGTGTTGGGACAGAGCGAATCAGAAGCTGATAGGGAGGTTTTCAAAAGGATCACGAATCATAATGCGCCGATGGGGAGGATGGGAGATGCATTCGATGTAGCTAATGCGGCACTTTTCCTGGTCAGCGACTCGGCGAAGTACATTACAGGTCAAAAGCTGGTTATTGATGGTGGGATCACGAGCTCGACTGGGACATCATGATCTGCCAATGTCCTTTGTAGCATGATTGCATATCTAGAGCAATTCAAGGTTTTGCACATTCTTATAATGAACAATAGTGTGCGTACGTGACATTCATCAACAATAGAGATATTGGATGGATGGGAGCTTCTTGAGATGATCACGTTTCGTGTTTTCGTTTTTAAAGCCAGGCTTAATAACCTATCCATGCATATGACTTGCTCGATCTACACCTCGTGCTCAATATCTGCGACCCTAGGTACTCTATGAAGACTCAGCCTGCAAAATTCGGCCACCATCTCGATCTGAATCCGCATCAAGTCAGCATTACAGGCACTGTGAACATGATAGCACCCTACTCACGCATTGTTGAATGCATTCGACATCTTCTGAGGACACCCCAACCCGTCTCGTTCCTCGCAAATGCCAAGCTGTCTCAAGTGGTAAATTCTGAATCATGATACCTGCGAGAACCACGAGCTCCGTCTCGATAGGTCCGAGTATTGTGTGATCGGAGAGATACAACCCGTAAGTGATCTCTTCGCTAATCCAAACTATTTTTGAAATAATAGTGAGCTCACGAAATTGAAGCTTGAATGATTGTGGAGTCTTGGAATACTTACAGAAGTCTTTGTGTGCCGCGAGTGAATCTCCTATTTTCTTGATATTACCCTTGTATATCGCCTGTAGCCAACCCACCCCACGTTCATGATTTTCTAGGCCAGACTTCCAGTGCTGTCTTTCAGTTGTTAGCTCCTATATTCATCACTGCCATTGAAATATAGGTGATTCACCTTGAGAATGAATAGTCCCTATCTTCAGGCCTTTCGAGCTTGGCGACGGCGAAAATTGCTTCCAGTGGTTTACAGACACCGATGATTGAAACGCATTTGACAAGAGCTTCTCGTATCCGCCTCACCAAGAGTTGTCGTGACTCCGAAGTGGTGAACCCAGGTTTCGAGATCAGGTATTGATAGACGGAGGCAACGTGTTCAGGCTCTGTGCTGCCGACGAGTGCTGCGACCTGGAACGGAATCGTCAGTACGATAAAACTCTGTTTCGTGGTATTCACTCACTGCTACAAGATACCATTTATCATCCCCCAAAGTCTTTCCAGGAAATTTATTCTCGATATTCTGGAAAAGCTTGAATGCATCGTCCCTAGTTGGTGCTTCGTATTTTGGTATGGATCCCATCTTGCTGATGTCAAAAGATGCTGTCTTCCGATCTGAGAATTAGGTGTATAGACGTTCAAAAAGACCGAAGCTTGTGACTCTAGAAGAAGCTTCTATGACTCGGGAGTGGGGGAGTCAAATTTAGTCATGAGTAATAGGCTATCTCATTTGGTGAATAAGCCAGCTCTCCACAAAATTCACCAGCCGGTATTACGAGTCACAACCCATCAGACCCTCAAGTCTGATGACGTAAGCTTCTCTTCAGCGAGCTTTTTTGAGGCAGGGAAACCTTGTTGGAAACGCAAAGATGTGACCACCGCCAGTCGGTGTTGACAAACTCTTGATCCCACTCTTGCCCCTTTTTAAATCGCTTAGGTATTCGCTTACGGCTCCAGGACACGCCACCAAGTGGGGCGGAGGCAAGCAAGTCTCCCCGAAGTTCGCGGCTCCACACATTTTGACACTCACCGGCGGGTGGGAGCAGCGAGAGCGACAAGATGTTCTCATGTGAGTATCTCGTGCAACGGTAACTTGCATGTAGAGTAGCAACTACTTGCCTCGAGCGGGAGCATTCCGCTGGTAGATTATGGGGTTGCACGACATTTCCCCGCACTTCTGGCGTGTGCCGCTGAACAGATCTGGCGACCGAAGGTGTTTCTCTCTTAAATGATCTCGAAGTAGGCCGACAGTTGAGAGAGTCGAGAGCTGTGGCCCTGGATGTCATTATGGCAGCAATCGAGCGCAATCCTTCTGTCTTCCATGTCCTGAAGTCAAAAACAGCCATTATTACAGGCGGTGCAAATGGCATTGTTGCTGAAGTAGTCAGGCTTTTTCATTCTCATGGCGCAAATGTCGTGATTGCAGACCTTCTGAGTACCAAAACTGCGGCAGAGACACTAATTTCATCATTGTCATCAAGAGTCGTGTTCATTCCGACGGATATTTTGACTTGGCAAAGCATGGTTTCATTGTTTAATCAGACAGTGTCACTTTTTGGTAGTGTGGAGCTCGTGGTTGCCAATGCTGGAATGATGGAAAGCAAGCCCTACTACGAGTTTGAGGAAGACGAGAATGGAGACTTGAAAGAACCAAAAGAGTCATATAGAGTCATAGATGTGAACTTGAAAGGAACCATGAATAGTAAGTTATTGCCTACTCAGGGAACCATGCGAGGTGCTGACGTCTTGATAGCTCTACGGCTTGCGATATACTATATGCGAAAGAATCAGCCATCCTTCGCAGATGGATCGAAGGGCTCTGTTGTTCTAATTAGTTCTACTTCTGGTTATTTTGGAGGCACAGGTGTCGTGTCATATGTTTCATCCAAGCACGGAGTGACGGGTCTCCTCCGATCATCGCAACGAAATGCGAATAGGCATGGAGTACGGGTCAATGGTGTAGCACCTTTCTTCACGCCAACGTATATTACGAGCAGCTATTCTCAATCGTGGAAAGAATCTGGATTACCAGCAAATAGTGTGCAAGATGTAGCCTGGGCCTTCGCACAGACAGCTACGGATTTGAAATACAAAGGCGCTTGTATCTTGGTAAGAGCACCTGCGCTTTTGATGAACACGAAGTTAATGATGAAGGCCTTCGGCTCAGTAATGAAAGAGATTGAAATCCCGAGGACACAGTTGCTATCCATGTGGCTAGGAGAGGATGTTAGTGAGTCGAGTGCGAGGGCGGGAGCCTTATTCGAAAGTCTAGGAGGATATCCTCTACCAAAACCAAAGATATAATGTTTCATATGGGAATGAAAAGTTGTCTTTAAACTTACAAGGCGGTTGTGGACATCATGAAATGATACCGAACAAGTAGCGCATTGTTCGAGTATCAAGAGGGACGAAAAGTGGCTAAGTTAGAATGTAACAGGTTTGAAGATAATTGGCATTTAGATATTTAGCGTAGACGACATGCAATATGTGATAAATACAGGCATTTGAATGTCCAGCAGTATCCCAGCCAGGCATGGCATGGTTCTGGTCTGTGCGGGGTAACGGGAAGTGGGGCATGCTAGTGTGCTGCACTCCTTAAAGCGAACTCAAATATCCATCAACAATTGTTCTCAGTCTTGAAAGAATGTGTCAATATGAACAAACGCAACTTTCGGGAAGCGTTTGGATTTGCAAGAAACGAGGGACTTGAAATTGGGTCCTCTCCTTTCGACAACTCTGTTGACCACCCATCTGCTGCTGCAGAGGACAACGGGACTAAATCATCGAGCTCTAGGACCTTCATTGCGCTACAAGTTCGTGAACCTTATGTCATTAGCGTCTCTTTCTAAGTAGTGTTAGGCGTGTGAAGCATGCCGTGCAAAGAAAACCCGCTGTGATGAGGGTAAGCCTTGTGGATTGTGCCAAAGTCTTGGAATCGAATGCCAATACAAGGAGCGAAAAGCTACAAAGTATTGGAATCCTTAGCCCCTTCTAAACTTTGGCTAAAAGCGAATAGGAAAGAAATTTCTTCAGCAATGCTCATGAATGGCCTGAGAAGAGTCGAAACAAGACTTGAAAGCCTGTCGCAGCAAGTTTCAGGTATCACTTCGAGTTTGGCATTCCAGACTTCACCTAGAACAGAAGATGTCGTCGATACCAATCTTCTTCTCTCGACAGACAATAGCAAAGCCGCAGTTGCTCACTCACCATCTGAATCAAGGCTCAGGCCGGCGTTGTCCTCCATGGACGATCTCAACCAGGATATTGACGTACTCGAGACTCCAGCCTCAGCATCCAGAACAGCTATCTCGTTCAGTCAGCATCATGTACTATTTTGGCCTGCCATTAATACGCAAATTACGACTGCTGTACCCTCTTTACTTTCATCCCTGCAAAAAGAATACGCGTCAGATCTCGAAATGGAGAGAGACAAATTGACAATGGCAACCAATCCATATCCCCTGGGAGTGGGAGATGCGTGGTTGGACAAGTTGCCCTATTCTATCATCACCGCTCTGTCTGAGGTGTATTTTGCTACTTTCAATCTCATGTCACCATTGCTTGATCAAGACGCATATATCTACGACACCCTTCCCACGATTCTCCGTGGTGGATTTGGACATGATATGTATAGCTGTGTGGTTCTCAACGTTCTTGCGCTTGGATGTATGTCCGTCAAGGGATATCAGGAAGGGGGGTTCCCATTACCTGCAGGTCATGGGAGGCAATCTAACGCAACCGAGATATCATTTGAAAGTCCGGAATGGGTTGGCATCATTGGCGAGGAGTATCCGGGGTTGAGTTTCTTCAATGAAGCTAGGAAACGAATAGGCGCTTCGCTTTGCGAGAATGACCTCCAGAGCTGTCAATTCTATCTTCTTTCGGGGTAAGTACTACGTGGCAAGATTTTATTCTGGCTGACTAGAGGATAGTATTTATCTGATGCAACTCGTTCGCCCCACCGACGGATGGGCAATGTTCAGCAGAGCATGCGTCTGTTGCCTGACCATGCTGAAGAGGTACGAACGTCTGTATATCAGAAAGCATGAATTGACTCACAACAGTGACCAAACTGATCGCGGTGATTGGGAAGCAGACATGCAATGTCGAGTCTTTTGGACAACGCTGATGTTTGAGACAATCCTGATTCAAGAATTAAACTTACCTAACAGCGGTCTCCGACAATTCGAAAACGATGTTCCGATTCCCAAGTTCTCTCCATTTCCACACCGAGGCAGACATGGCGCTCGCGCTGCTGAGAGAGTTGAGAATGATACATTCTTTCAGTTCCACTTCTTAGCGCAAGTTGCTCATCGCATTCTATTGAGTCGTATTCGACAGACACTGTTCTTCTACTGTAAGCTTCCTTCATTACGATCAATGTTGATCACGGACTTAGGTTCTGATTATTGCAGCCCCATCGGAAGAAAACTTCCCACCTACATCGCTCGTTTCTGAGTTGTATCATCAGCTTGAACAGTGGCGCGACAGTCTACCTGAAAGCATCCGCATCGATGAGAGCGCAACACCCTCTGTCCCTAAGACACCTATGCACGCCTTCGTACCGGCAATATTATATACTCGGTATAAAGTTGCGAAGTTTCACCTCGGTCGTCCATTCTTGTGAGTGTCCAGCTTTTTTCTACAGTTTCTCAAACTCGGCTCAAATCCTTCCATCCATCATCATACATCACAATCAGAATAACTATCTACATATAGAGAAATTTTATACTATTTGATGTCTTGGGTCAAAGCTGGAATACAGATTGAATCCGAGAATTAACATCCTTCTAGATACAAAGCACTCCATAACCCATCATCTCTAGGCGACGATGACCTTCAAGCGTGCCACTCCAGCTTAATTGCCGGCATGGATTGGCCACATACGTCTGACATATGCAGAGACATGCCAAGCCTGCAGCCACTGAAGTTCGCCACTTGCAGTCAGTAAGTTTCGTCTCAGACAAGCAAGTTGAGATACCTGCTGATCTCAGATAAGGTACTTCGGCCAACTCCTTGTATATTGGGGCATCAAAAGATCGCCAGATTCGCGTGTCAGAGAAGTAGTACCGGAAGGTTACGAAAGGTGGGCTTCTGAAATGATGGGTTTTCTGAGAGAATGTGCTCCACATAGCATGACGGTTTCGCGAGACGTGGAGATTATAGAAGCTTTGGGTTTTGGCAAGTCCTTAAAGCTATGAAAAGGCATCATAGTCTTGACATTTGGTTTGTAATTACGGAATGTCCAACAAGAAGTTAGGTCGAGCTAGTGTTGTAAATGTAGGGCTTGGTTGATTTCTTTAGATTTTCGATATGGTGTTCTTTGAGACTTGAGTGATATTACTTTTACTATATTCAGTCTAAGCCCCATGCTAAATCCACTCTTTTCACAGCTTGCTCATACAGCGGTGGTACTAACATACCATCTAACCCCATTTGCTTTGCTAATCGTCGGGCAAAATCAATATCAAGATTCCGTACAGCAGCCGTCCTCGCAGTGTGCTCGCACAATTCCAATGTGTCTACAAATACCTCTGTGACCGGCTTTTTATAATCAGGAAGTATGTCCTCTTCTTGGATATTTTCACTAACACCTAAAAGTGCATAGAGCATGTCTCGCGGCTTGCTGCACAAAAACTCTTGCTCCGTCGCATGCCGTATCCAAGCATAAAGTTCAGGAAGGATTCATCTCGCCTTTTACTTATATGCAAACGAATTGCGATGGTTCCTAGTACCCGTTCGCGGAGTTCGGCCATTGCTCCAGAGGGGTTATTGATGCAGGTATAATCGAGATTCCCGAGAGCTACGCCCGACGTACGTTTATCCCCGCAATAGACCTTAAGTGTGCGGCAAGGTATTTTGTAGTAATACTTCACGGTGCGTTTCTCCTGAATCGTCACTGCCTATGTAAGTTGAGGCTCAACGACTGATGAGGTACGAGGGTAATGCTTTCCCTCCAGCAATGGCTGTCTATGTTTCTGCAGTTCTTGTGGAATCAGTTCTTCTTCTTCCAAGTATCGATACAACATTCGTTACAACATCGATATCATCTATATAACATTCGTTACAACGTCGATATCATCAATACTTGCATTGATACCATCAATACTCATACATTCGTTACGATATCGATACCATCAATACCTATATCGATACTATCACTACCACTACCACTATCGTTACCCTCTCTTCCGCCCCTTCCCCCTTTCTCTCTCCCCATTGTAAGCACTTACAGACCCTCCGCATGCGCATGTCATGATATCTTTTGTTAATCTGGTTCAGATTATCTTTACAACATACATAATGGAAGCACACAAAGTGCCTGTCAGCATTCTGTATGTATACTTCCTGATGCATGAGCGCAAGATTTCTGCTTCTATTGATGTAGACATCGCTGACTTGTGTAGTATCGGACCCTCGACAATCATCAACACCGAGCAGCAAATCCAATACGGCGGTAGTCCCTCTGAAGCCACTCCTCTCCAGCAAGCGACGCTGGTTCCGCCCCCTCGCCCGAATGAGATGTATATTCAATTCTCGTTCTCTTTACTCGAACCTCAACACATTCACAACCAAATCCACGTCCATTCCATCATAAACATTCTTCCTATAAAGCATAGTTGTTAACAAAGCGATTAGGTGGTCCGCCTCGTGTTGGCCCCCATCATAATTCGGGTGGAGGGGGTGGAGCCGGTTGTCGCTGCTGGAAGGTGGACGGAGTGGTGGAATAGGGCTACCGCTGTGTTAGATTTTGCTGCTGCGGTGTTTAACGTTGTCGGGGGTCTGTCAAGCATATTTAATCGTTAAGATTGAATGCAAGCGAGCGGTCTGGTCATGATATACTTCGCCTCTGTGATTCTTCTGTCTCATGAATTTTGCTGTAAAATTTGCATTTTCCTACTCTTATATCTTCTATTTACAACAGAATCAAAGAACTCAATCTTGTGCAATTGCTATTCAAGGTCCGCGAAGAACAGTGAAGAGGATTCGTACCCTAGGTTTGCCAATATATATTCGAATCACGGTCTCACAATCCAAGCTTTGAAATTGCCCCGGTTTTAGAACCTGGTTGAATATATAGACCTCTGGTTCATTCTTAGCTGGAGAAGCTTGTGTAGAGGTTTTCTCATCTAGGTACTATACAGGTCTTTAGAGCAAGTCCGTGAGAGTGATGTTATCTCCGTCCGCCTATAGCTACCACATCTCAAGCTTGGCTCATCGACAAGTCTTCATCATGAGAGCTCAGTGACGTCTTCCCGATCTCCTTGGCACCTGAATAACGATTGGTGGTGGCGCTGGAATGCTGATTGTTAAAACTTGATGTGGTGGGTATGTGACTATCTCGGTCGGAGAGTAGAATATGGTTACGTATCCAGTTTCCGGCGATACATATACGTCTCCTGGCATCGGGCCTCTTTCGCGATCAAGTTCGGTTCTCTTACGGATACGTTCGGCTACCAAGCGGCGATAACATTCCTCGCATGGTATGACGATTCGACAAAGTAAAGTAGACCAACTCCATTTATTGGAAGCGTGTGGGTAGGCTTCGATTTCGATGTCTTGCTCGCATTCAACCACTGTTATAAGCCTACGCTTCGCGAGCACCATCTGTCTTCCCTGGTCTTGATCTCGTAGAAGAGGCTTTGATTCTTCTGCATTGGCTTTTTTGTGTGCAGGGAAGCATTTGTGCAGAAAGTCGAGGACAGTCTGGAAGAGCTTCATTTTGCTTTGAGCAGAGTTCTGTGGGTATGTAGATGTGTTGTAAGTAGAGGCAGTGAACTAAGTTATTTCCGATTATGTTGTGGTGTACGGAGTTGGCTGCAGGGGCGATGTTAGATATACGAGTTCAAATTCGAATCTGGACTGCCTCATGGGCGGGTCAGCCTAGTCTTTATTCATACTCGCTAAATCTTTAGCAAACCCATCAAAATCTAATTCTTTTCCGAATTTCTAGTGCATTTTTCTAATATGGTAGTGTTATATTGCCATTCTGATTTCCACTACGCGTAGACCACACGTGCAACAAGATTGGCGTGGTTTTTGACTTATGATATGTCTAATTACTTAGGACTGACACTAGATTTTCTTTACAACAAGAATCGAAATAAAAGTTCCTATTTCTCGACTCTTATTTAAAAACAATGCGATAAAAAGTAAATTATTATATTGTAATTTTCAAACACGAGATACTATTGTTAACCTTGTAGCATCTCGCGAACTCCTGCAAAATCAAGCTCGGACATTGTCTCTTCCCAAAGAGCATCCAATACCGGTCCTCCTTCTGCGGTGTATACAAGACTGGCAAATCTGCACAGAAGTTAGTGTTGCGTTGCTTTCGCAGGAAGAATGCTCACGGTTGAATCTTCCCCTCACTGCAGAAGCGGCCATGCGACTCTTTACCCCTCACCACTGCGGCATCGACATACAACCACGCACCATCCTCTACTGACAGTGCAGTGAATGTTTTGATTACCGAGAAAATAACCCCCAGAGCTATAGGGGCTTCACGAAACAATCCGGTACCTTTCACGAGTCCTGGTTGGACGAGGTTGACGATTGCATCATCCGGATCGAGATACTTCAATAGCCGGGCGAAGAACAGATGACCCAGCAACTTGGAAGCTCCATAGCGCTCTAGTGTATCATATGGTTGGATGTAAGGATCATCGAAAGATGCAAGAAGAGGTCTCTTGTTTCGATTTGGCAATTTCGCTGTTAATGCTGTTCCCGAGCTCACAATGGTAAGTCTAGGTGGCGACGATGTTGGCGATTTCTGCTTCTTTTTCAGTGCTTGGAGGATAAGAATCGTCAATAAGAATGTGGATAAGTAATTGACTTGGATGTCGCCATCATGTCCGGTGCTCTCGCAGATAGTCAGTTTAGAGTGGGCCAGGAGGATAATTATGTCGAGTCTGCTCAAGGCCGTTTCAATTCGGCGAGCAAACGCTTGGATAGAGTCGTACGACGTCATTTCGAGTTCCCAGACTTCCAGTCGTGCTGAAGGGAATTCCTTTTGGAGCTTGCCCATAGCTTCTTCACCATTCTTCTTGGAGCGAACGGCAAGGATCAAATGCGAAAGGTTGAGAGCCAGGAGATGTCGTGCACTATGGAAACCTAGACCCGAGTTGGCACCAGTAATAATAGCGACTTGACCAGAAAGGTCTATCCCAGGCGCTTGTCGAACGATTTTGGGAAAGAATCCTAAGGAGGGAGGTTTTTGTGGAGACATTTCCAAAGATTTGGAGGCCATTTCAATGGAAAAATCAAAAGGAAGAGACGATAGCTGAAGGTGCAACATATCGAAGTTAGCCAGAAGATCCAATATATATGTAGTTCCCGGGCGGTGGTCGATTAATTCGAAGAAGAGACGAGAATGACACAATACTGAAGTCCCAAAAAATCATTGGCCAATCGTCCGTAGTCAAATCCCATTCGAGAAATAAATGATAGGTCTTGGCATAAGCTTCCGAACATCCACTTTGCCAAGACATCTAACTTATTACCCGATCGGGAGTAGTATGTCAGCTCGCTTCAATGAAGCCCATCCTCACATTATCATCCTGGTTCTTGATGCCTCGACATATTTCCACCAACCTGCAGGGCTTGGAGGAGTATCTCAAAGCGGCTGGATGAGCAATGGCTCAGAGAGGTCCTCGCCCATTCATCAACACAACACCTCTGGAGCAGCCGGGTCAAGCTTCAAGAAGAAATGCGCGGAGCTATGCCATGCGCGGCAAGAACAGTGGGAAACGCCGTAAACACCTTACCAAGAAGCCATGCATAGATTCTTGGATCAATGGACAATTCGCCGGCGGACTATGCCAAGATCCAGGACCAGTATCGCAAGTTCAAGCTTGCACCAGTTACGTCCCTAGACAAGTAGCTTCTGAGTGGAGTCTCTTCAAATTTGCAGAAGAACCAGGTCCCCATGTGCGTCAGAAACTCTACCAATGCAAGTTTAATATTTACGATTAACGACAATTTGACGTACTGACTGTGTCCAGTCTTCCCTATCCTAGAACATAGGTCATATCCTAACCAGATTCTGGCCACCAATTTTTTCGACCGCCAAGCATCTCTTTGGTTTGAACATCTTGGTCAAAGCCAGACGTATGTTCACAACCAGCTATTCGTCGCTATGTCTTACTTTGATATCGTTGTTGACAAAGTCGAGCATATTGGTCAAGGCACTATTTCACACATGACAAAGGCACTTAGTCTCTTGCAGACAGACTTGGCAACAATCGATCGAGCGACCGCTGAAGTGACAATCGCTACCGTCATTGCATTTGCTATGGTTGCCGTTGTATCGGGCGATACTGCTTCAGCAGGAAAGCATCACCACGGTCTTTTCAAGGTGTTAAATTTACGTGGTGGACTGGCTTCCTTGAAATCATGTAGATATCTTCAGATCAAGTGCTGCAGGTTAGTGACCAGATATCTCATTACAAGTTGTCGTTTCACTTACTCTGCCTTAGGCTTGATCTAAGCTACGCTATGCCCACTTGCTCAAAGCCCCTTTTCTTTGTAGCCGAGAACATATTATGGGATTCATATCTCCCAAGAAGCTTACCAGTTTCCCCAACCACTGCAATACACTTGTTGGTCAGTGATTCTGAGCCGGATCCCATAATGGTGAACATATGGTTTGACCTTCACGAATTTTCGAGAGCGGCAAATATTGCTGCTCAAACAGGCCGAAAGCTTGAGCCTGACCTTCTTCAGGAAGTTATGATTTCAGTTCAGTATCGACTCCTGAATTTGGAGTACGACATGGAAGAGCCCCATGAACTGTTACGAGTTGTGATGTTAGCTTACTCAGCAACTATCCTTCCTCTACTATGTTCCCAGTTTGGCGCTCCTGCATCTTTAAGCTGTCCATCTTTTCCCGCTTGTCTACACATGTTTTCGATTGCAAATGAGGAGTCATCTAACGACAAATTGAAAGCCTTACTCTGGCTTCTTATCATCGCCGAGATATCGATCTTGGATGTTCCCCACATGGAGCTACAACTTGCCCAGACTATACGGGCCCTGATTTTGAATTCGTGGGACGAGATACTTGAGCTTTTGAAAGGCTTTCTCTGGATTGATACATTGCATAGAGAGCCAACAATGAAGCTCTTAAGTAATACTATTATAAAGACAGAAGGAGTCATGCAGTGTGTCATAAGCTAGGGCAAGTTTCGCTGGAAACTAGTCATGTGCAATGGATCCCGGGTGTGTCGTTTTGAGTTGTACTGTGCAGTACTTGACCAAGTTTTCTATGCAAGAGGATCCAAGTAAGTGATTCCATTCCTCGGCCCTAGCTACAGATTTACCTGACATCAATAGGTGATGAAAGCCGGCCTTGATATGGAACAACAAAGGAACTTAAAGAGACAGAAGTATACATTCATCAAACATCTACTGCGTTGACCAGGTGCATATCTTGGGGATAATTTTCGTGCCGCACTTCAATCTCCATGCTTGAAGTGCCCTGGCTGCAGGTGTGACTTCGAAAGACAATCGCGGCTCAATCATTCTTCTTCTCACCGAAACCTCTTTTCTCATACCCTCTATTCCTACATCATTCGCTCGTTTCATGAATTGGCAATCGATCGTCTATAGGTTTGATCGACCGTCGTATCGCCTGACGCGTAGACCTTACGGTATCACCACCATCATCTTCCGCGCCGGTATTCGCTTCCATCCCACACGCAGGGCTACCTCTCGCGGCTACACGATGGCGTGTCAGCCATCTAGGCTCCCGACGTCACGCCCAACGTCAAGCATTGAACCATGGCCGTGCTGAGACTTCTCTCCCAAGTGTCTCAAGCCGCGGACGTCTTCACTCATCCAAACCGCCGGCTAAGAAGTAGAAGAGACCACCCACTTCCTCCGATAGCGAGGGCTCTAGCTCCGACTTGGACTTTGGTTCTGAATCTATTTCTGACTCCGGTAATGGTTCTGGCTATAGTTCTGCCACTGATCTCGCCGCCAAGCCGGTGCAGCTAGCCCAACCTTCTCAAATCATGGTGGAGCTACAGAAAAGCTGATGGAAGGTGCAGATCGGAAGTGGAACTTGTGAGCCCCTGGCGAAACGACCCCGAGCCGTAAGAATGCCAAGGTCTCATCCATTCTCATCCTCTACTTCAGACCCGTTTCCTATCCTTGTACCTCTAAGAGAAAGTCGTTAGACATAATGCGCAATTTGAGAAGTGAATCATCGCGAGATCAGGATATAGTGTAGTACACTTAATTGGCTTATGATCTTCATGATTCTGAGCTGTGAGCATCTACCTCATCCTGGATTAGCCACCTAGATTAGCTCCTTCATGTCACCAACAGACAATGGTTGATCAGGATGCTCTTCAACCCATCGAGTAATCCGCTCTCTTTGTTTGCCGCGCCGAATCACGCCCATGCTTTGACCAGCATCCAGTATGCTGCTGAGGTTGCCTTCGTCATCCCGATTATCATCCGGTTCTTCCAACTTATCCATCAACCACCAATTCACCACGTCCACAAACACCTCAAGATTTGATTTAGAATAGTCTATGGTGATCTTGTGCTCGCCTCCAATGATGCCCAGCAGCCCGTAAATCTTGTCACGCGGATCATGACATTGGTTATCTGCGAAGAAGGCCACAGATGTCACCACACTATAAGTGCCTGATCTGTCACCATTAATTTGATGATTGTGGAACATGGCTTCGGCAGCTTCATTAACGTGCTCGAGAAGACGGACAGCCACATCTGGGTTCTTGCCAGCTGGCAAGTAGAGAGGATTTGATTTAAGAAAAGTCGCCATTGCGTCAAAGTCGACGCGCATGCTGCCACACCAAACATCGATCTTTCTACTAAGAGATATCTCTTGCACAATCCATAAGCGTGACCAATAAGGTCGCTCCAGCAATTGTATCACTGCGTATGCTTGGGCTTTTGTCAGGAGTATGCGATCCTTTTCTGTCTTCTCCTTCCGTGAGTCCTTGTCGTCAGGAGTCTCTTCTCCGAGATCCTCTTTCCTACCATTCTGATCTTGAGCCCATCGAGCAACCAACTGTATTACCTCCATGCCTCAGTCACTGCCCCTCGAAGCGGACGCCTGACCAAGCCAAATAATCGGGTTGGCAGCCTCTTCGTATATACGTCCCATCTGCGCAACTTGCTCGTTGCGTTCTTCGGTATCCTGTTGACAGATGCATATCTGATCAATCTAGAACAGACGAGCTGGGTCCTCGTTAGATCTCGCAGCCTGCCTTAAGAAGGCGAGCAAGTTCTTGCGAACCTTAAGAGCTCGTCCATTGACCGTGATATTCGCAATTTGGCGAGGTGAGCCCCAAGTGTAGGAGAGTGTCGTATAAGGTGGGCAGTTGGGGAACTCAAAATGAGCGAGTTCGCATGTCACGACATCGGGGTCTGTGTCATGAGTGAGAATCTTCAAAAGTCGAATTGAACCTGGCTGCAAACGCTCATATCGGAATGGATCAACCTGCTGCGCTGGTGTCGATTGGGAGAAGAATTTCTTGAACATGATTCTCAGAAAGTGTATGCGTACGAAGTATTACCATGCGACACGGGCGAAGGCGTGGTTGTTATAGAACATAGTGACGACATCTGCGAAGGGAACGCAGCAGCCTATGCTTGTTATCAGATCCTGCTTGAACATGGATAACAGATGTCAGCGTAACATTGACAGATGGACGAACCTTGGGATCTGCTGGCTATTTGACAGGAATTATCCCGCCTGAACAAGCGCTTGGCCAGAACGCATGCACCCACAGCTCGCTTAGAAGCAGCATTTGGCATATACTTTTTCGATGGCTTCCTATATACATGATCGTGTTTGCGTGCTTGCTAGAGGCGGATTTTCTAGTACCCAGCGGTATGCGCTGTTATTTAAATTGTTATAATTACTAATAATGCTTTCTCATATTCCTGATGAATGAGTTTATACAAGACAACATGTGATCGTGAACGATGCGTTTGGATGAACGTTTTTCAAACCCTGCCCAGGTGGCTGGGAAGCATACCTACCCATTATCCAATCTCAGGCAATAATAGGTTCATTCTCAGAAGGCCAATATGATACGCCAGTTGCACTAGATAGCCCAGTATCCACCTGTGCTACGCTATACTTCTCGCTGACCGGACTCAACAATCGAGAGCCACTGAAGAGAATTGCTGCTTCAGGATATGCTACGCAGTCCTCCTGATCTACACCGCAGTCCCAGAGATTCTCAAGGGATGACCTTCGGTGCTGAACACCCACTCATTTCGCCCTTCATAGTTGACCTGAATCTCGGTTTCCTGTGCGCTTTTGTTAGCGGGGGGAAAGCGAAATGATGCTCGTAATAAGAAGCTCTCACTCACCTCGGCAAAAATAAGATACAAATACTTGAATAGTTCGGAGAACAAGAAACTTTCTTGCTTGCTGCCTCGTTTCATCCCACCACCAACTTTGTTAACATTGCTTATGGGGGAGAATCCATTCCTCGTCTTTGTATGAGCCACAATGGCAACGAAAGCTTCCCAAGCCCAATCTTGATACTTTCGATCCTTTGTCACACGGTAAGCGTAATAGTAGCTCTCCACTGTTTCGGGTCGGAGATCAAAATTTGCATTCGTGATACCGAAACCGAGAGTTTTGAACTGGTTCTCTTGTTCAGGTGTCATCCTTGCAGGTGGCCAAGAAATTGTCTCTGGTCCGATTCCAGTGGCTGTGCGAATGTACATTTCGTGGCAGCTTTCTGTGATCTTGAGACCGAAGTCGATGTAGCGTGTTATGTTTAGAATTTTGCCACCGAGGATGAAATTACCGCCTGCAAAGCATTGTAGATGGCCGCTTTCGTGATCTAGGCTCTTGCCGGTGGTATGTGTAAGGAAGGTTAGGTTTCCTCCCTGCGGTGTTTCCGCTACGTATTCAATAGTTGAGTCGATAGCCTTAACCCATCTCTCCATGTTCAAGCCAAAGCGTGCCTGATCATACACAAACATCTTGATCAGATACTCATAAAATGAGTCTCCACCCCCGCCCCACGTCCCCCAAGCATCGGTAAATTCGCCTCTATCCACATTGACCCAAGTTCCCACGATACCTGGGTACGGTTCAGTAATCTGCGGTTTCGGATTAAGCAGATAATTCATCGACTTATCGACGAGAGCAGCGTACTGCTCGTCGCCTGTAATATCAGAAAGTCGAGTCCATTCAAGAACTAAAGTCCCGATTGAACTAGCCGTATTTATGGAACCAGTAGCCATTTGCTTGTCGAGCAGAAGTGTCTTCCGTGGAATTCCCGTGGGAGTATCGAATGCAAATTTCAGTGTGTTGGCTAATGTGGTCGACTGAGTTAGAAGTGATTCAACATTTTCTGGCTGAATAGGTTAGCACGCAGACGAGACCACCGATTCGCTCATGAATACGACTACTCGCTCACCTTGTTGTGGGCTAAATGATGCATAGGACCTGTGAGTAGCTCGTATGCTGAAAGCATACCTCCCAAATAGCGAATTGTTGTTTCGAATAAGTCTACTGGATCCTTAGTCTTTGTAAAATCGATTGTAGGGATAAAATCTAGTATCTGGTCCACGATTTCAGGTATGTCCATGATAGCTGCGGTGCCTAACGCTTCTACGGCAGTCGCACCCCAACCATTCCTGGTGCTTCTTGTCAGCGTGGAGGGCATTCAGGGGGCAATCAGATCTACTGTTACTGTAGAGTGAACCACATACCTGGAATTGCTATACCAGTTCCACAAGGGGATGAGTTCATCATTAGGAAAGGCATGAGTGTAATAACCCCTCCAAGCGAACTTAAACACATCTTTGACGACTTCGGCTCGTTGAGCTGGCGTGACTGCGCGATCCGCCCATTTCGGTCGTTCTGGTGCTCGAGGAAATAGGATTCCGGTGGCGAACCAAACCGCAAGCAGAAGAAGAATGGCTGACGCGACGAAATGCTTTTTGAATGCGCGTCGCAAGGAGAGTATTCGTATTCGTATTATCCGCATACTGACCATCACGTGGAGATGGCTTGTATATGGAGGACGCGATGAGGGTTGAAAGAGGGTTTATGACACATCAATCATATGTCGTCATTTCTCATGATAATACTTGTGAGGGTGAATTTAGGCTGGGGTATAAGCTGCCAAGACACTAGCCGTATTTAATCACTTACAACGGAGAAGCGAGGTAAGATTACTTGCATGGGCTTTTGATAAACGTTGAATACCAAAAATGATTTGTGTCTCATTTTTATAAGTCAAGCGAAAAGAAGCAACTAAACTCAGCCCCGAGGTCTCCGCCCATCTGACACTACCCTCCTTCAATCCACACTATTATACACTTCTACAAACCCCATATCTGGTCCAAAGTACATCAATTCCTCACCGAACTTCCACCCACTGCTCCCTATATGACCCTCTTCAAGCACTTTGGTTGTCCCATACGACCATAGACTGAGGAGAATTGGGCTATCTCAATCACTTGAGGTTACTATGGCATCAGACCAACAGAATTTGCAAGAGCATGGATCGTGGATCGCGGAAAAAGTGAGCTCAGGTCTAAATTCACAAATTCGAGCAGAGTGTTCTGTCGCCAGATTACCCAACCCGGAACACTGATTAAATATGGGTGACGTCCCTAATGAGGAATTCGTGTGATACTACGAAGAAATTATAGAAATACTAGAAGACTTGAAATGAGGCCTGTTTAGTCCTCCCTGGTCTCCTCTCCCCAAATGCCAGTATATGTATGCCTGTAGCCTATACCTTATGTTTAACGAATCTCAACGATGCATTTCAATTTTTTCCTACTGCTCTCCTCTCCTCTTGCTCTTTCTCACTGGCCCTATGCAAAATCCAAGCCCATTTCCCCATCCGCTGGATCTCTGACTCGTCTCTATCTATTTATTTGTAGTCTAAAGCTCCAGATGTGTGTGATTGCATCCTCTTTGGCGTCTTTAGCATGCTCTGCTCATGCTCATACTTTGCATGCCATTCCTGGCTTGCTCGCTTCAATATCCGATACTTCCGGCCACAAGTGTCTACTGCCCACAAGAATCCTCCACCAACAATGGCCGTACACAAAAGCTCCCCTATCGATACTGTTCCAGTTTGGCAACTACATTCGCGTTTGCAATCCGATTTGTAACGTGGAGTGGTGGATTTTGCCTTAAGATTGCATCTGATTCGTGTTTTCGTCGCTGCGACTCTTGGAGCATCGATTCTTGGCTTATGCCAGAAGGTATATATCTGTTTTCCCAGGTACTTGAAGAGAGGTTGACCAGCTTTCCCGGTCGAGATATTCCCGGGCAAGAACTTTGCGAGCCACTGTAGCATGTTGCACGTTCGTCCAGATACATATATTCGGCGGATCTTACTGCGTTCTCGTCGCGGAGACTTAGAAGGGAATGCGTATCGTAGATTTTATCCTAGGAATGAAGTAGAGCGCTGGATGTTCCAAAAATATTTGCGAATGTGGGTTTTGAATTTAGACCGGCCGGACGTCACGAATGAAGAACAGAATGTTTGAACTAGTTCTTAGTTCACCTGCCCTACCATAGATCGTTGTAAGTGTGCCAATGCCTACCTAATCTGTAGTCTCACGCTAAGAAACACGCTTGAGAGGAACAAACCTAGAGAAATATTGTGGTCATAATTCTGTGATCTGATTTATTCTTGAATTTTGACGGAGCACTTAAATAAGGGCAAAAAATCCCTACACTGTGTTTATGAACTACGTTGAAAACAACAATACTATCTTTGCGAAAAATATATCGCACTCCGAACTACCTCATCAATGTCAAGATCGCAACATTCTGCTCAAATTACCACCGTTATGCCGGTCCGATCGATTGGTACTCTAACCTCTCCTCCGAGCTCTGCTCAAAAGCAGTCCTCTTCTCCATACCTGTATCTGCGTCCTCGAGTTCCTGGTCGTAATCGTCCTCTGCTTGGAAGGAAGGCTGAAACATTCTTGAGATTCTGTCTGCACTCAGGAACCTCAGTGCCTATGCATTTGGTAGCCCTTTGCAAGGTACCCCAAGCGACCTGTTGCAGATGAAGCTGGGAGCCTAATGAGCAGATAATGTCGTGTAGAAAGACAAAGCCTGTTGTATGTTCTGGTATCATTGGTCGAATGAGAGGGCGAGCGAATGTAATTGTTTCTGGATCTAGATCAACCACTTCGGTCAGTATCTGCAAGAAGTCCAAGAAAGATTCGACTTACACCAGACGTCCCCCATAGGAGGTCGATCTGCCTCTTTCAGTGCGTCGCAAATCTTCCAAACACACAGGACCAATGAAACGTTCTAGGTCTCTGTTGGCATTTGGAAAAGACCAAAGATCAATTGCTCTGACTCCTATTCTTTCCGCAGCAGGCATGGAATTCGATTTGCCCCCTTTCAAGGTGTCGCAAATCTTCCAAATACACAGAAGCCCTACCGATGACAAGTTCTACGTCTCTGTTAGTATCTGCAAGACACAAAAAATGAATTGTGCTTACTCCTTTTGTTTCTGCAGCAGGCATGGAATTCGATTTGCCCCCTTTCAACACATCCAGAAGCTTGCAAATACGAAACAATGAGCCGAACCGGAAGCCTTGGAATTCGATTTGCCCCCTTTTGGAGGAGCGCCATCGGGCCGCCCCTCCGAGATTGTCGAAAGATATTTGTAAGAATACACTATGGCACTTAGGCCGAAAGAATAGGAGATAACGCTATGCGCCTTTTTGGGACGGAGAGGGCGAGGAAGGTGGTTTGTCGGATTGCTGAGCGGAGTCTGGACTACTGCCGAGATGTTTGAGGTGGTTGGTGTAGAGGGTGCTACACATGACGACGAAAGTCATAACCCCCATAAGAGCTTACCAATCGCACAGCCAAACTCAAAACGCCCAACGTTGAAAGAGATAATAATAACCAAGGCCGAGAACCATGGTTAAGGATGGTAAGCGAATGTTGTTTGAATATAGATATATCGATATCCAATGATATAAGCGAATGTTGTTGAATAGAGATGTATCGATATCCAATGGTAACGAATGTATGATGAAGAAGAAAAGAGCAGCTTGGAGGGAGAACGCCATTTTGACTCAGTTAAAGCTCGTTTGGAAGGAGCACTTTGGAGTTTGGACAGCTCCCCACAGCAACTGCTATGGTTCGTCCTCCAGTGCACATTGATACGTCCTCAACTCTTTCCTTATCCTCAGACTGATACTTATGACGAAGGAAAATAACGACGCGAAATATCTTAATCCTTTGCCCACAGACGTCCCATGCATGTCGCGTTGGCTACGAATCCATAATTCGGAGAACGTAACTGCACATACATCTAGCTAACAAGAAAGTGATAATTAACCTTGATTTAAAAGTACCCAAGATAAAACAAATTCGCGACTTAAAAGTCGACGCTTTCCCTGAAGACGGTACCCGCGAAAGAAAATATTATCATTACCGAATTGACTTGGCAGCAGCAGCAGCTCTTGAGCGCGACTTCGCGTTCTGGAAAGGCAATATTATCTCAGCTGCGGCCAAAAGAGAAGGCGCTCTTCCTTCGCTTCAAGGACTTCGAATGGTAGGGATCATGGAGAGGACCTAATGAAATAGGTTGCAATCGTTGAGAGGCTGACACGCAAAGACTGACGTCTGGCGGAACACATCGGTGGTCAGTCTTAAGACTATCATCTCAGGATGGGTCAAACCGCCGATATTGACGCTCCAAGAATACAAACCTCTTAGCAGTTTCTCCGCAACAAAGTTGTACATCGCTTTTCTGTGAGTTACTAAACTCATTAGAGGTCTTCAAGAACCAGATGTAATTTTTCGTGAATTTTTCTCTCGAGGAAATCTTCATATATTGGTGGTGAAAGTGTGTTGTTGGGTCCCAATATCGGCCGCTTATTACCCATGAGAGAACACAGGTCGGTTAAAGCTGCTTCCCGAGCTTCCTATTGGCTAGCCTCTGAGAAAGCAGCAGAATATTTAACAGACGTATATATTTTATCTAGAATATGTCCATCACATACGATCATAGACTGAGGAGAATTGAGCTATCTCGAAACACTCAGCACACAGTCTCCTTTAATCTTTGCGAGAATCAAATTAAAAGGGAGCGATTTTACTTGCGCGAACCACGTCTTCGACCACCGCTTCTAAAGCAACAAATGTTTACGAACAAACTTTTAAGCACGTAAACCTACTTTTATGAAAACAAGACCCGGTTTTCTTATTTCTTTCTCGCTATTCTTCGCTTGCGAAACCAAAACCGGAGAATAGACTAATGAGAACTGGCTTATTTTAGTAGACCTGAATAAGTCCGAGTCTTAGACCCTTGTTGTCCAAGTAAACCAAACCAAAAGCGTATAGCAATCTAAGTCTACAAATTAAATTGGAGTGTCGAGGAGTAAGTAGATATTCTAAAGTAGGAACAACGATGAAATCTATATAAGGCTGCCTCATCTCCGTAGATGTGATCTAGGGAAATAGCATCGACAAGCGCAAATCGTGAACATTCAAAGATTACACTCGGTGCCCATGTACCCTGAGTCGCCCTTGACGATAATAGTAACATAAAAACAAAAAATGATCAAACAAACATGCATTTGCAATATCGAATATATAGCTTGCCAGACTCCTCCCAAGGCATTTGCTGCTTTCGATTTGTCGGGGATCTCGTCAGCCAAACGCGAAATAGCTTGACTGAATTGTGTACAAGCTCGGCCTCAAGGGGAGCCATAGAAGACTTAAAGGTTTTAACTCCTCCTGAGAAGACTCTGGTGTCTTTCGTCAGTCTAAATGTGTGGTCACGGGCGAGGAGGAACACGCCTGCCTTTCATATTTTAAGCTACTAGATCCTGCCAACTCAGTTGTTTTTCTCTTTCTTCCGCCTTCATTCTTCTCCCATTTCATCAAAACCACCAAATCGCCATCGCTATACAAAGGCCAATTATCGTTCTCTCTTTGCAAGTATGGATGTCGACACGCCATTGCATCGCCCTCTTGGTCGCCGTCGTCCCTGATTCGTTGTTTCGATGCTGCATCGCATCAACAGTGTCACAGGTCGCAGTTCATCACTCTCTCGGCCACCTCATTCACTGGTATTTGCACACAAGCTCGTCGCGCATCTCTCCTCGTGCTCAACACCATGCACTTCTTGGTTTTCACCGTTTGTTCTCGGACGCCTCGAAGCCTGCCTCGGTACCTCAGTAGCTCGGTGCCTCTGATCACAGCCGCATCCACCAGGACAATAGCTATCCAGTAAGTCTGTCCCGCGTCTTGGCCAGTGAAGATTATCGATACTACAGTTGAGGGATTTAACCGCTGTGTCCCCTGTTCTTCGGAATGCTAAAGGTCCTTCTGAGTTTACCCAAGGAAACTAAAACCATATCGGCGATATCGCACGCTTGCTCTTAATCGAGTACATTGCGATTGCTCACTAAAGACTTCGTCAAAAATGATTTCTCGCCTCTCGAAAGTGTCATTGACCGAATTTGGCGGAAATGACGAGAACTATCATCAAAATAACACATCAAACTTGGTTCTAGGTTATATTATGGCGGCGCGATACGACACCGAACTGCTTCAACTTCAGCGCTCCAAATGATGTACAGCACTCTCAGCGTGCAAAAGTGAGGCAATTATGGGAAAGGGTAGTGGGAATAGATGGAACAACAATTGAAAGGCTCAGCTCGAATGTCCACTTATTTGTTACATGACAATCCGAAAGAGATTTCTCAGTGGTTTGTTCAAGTAGGCTTTTGCCTGTGGACATTGTTTCATCATCGCCTGATATCGATACTACAGTTGAGGTGAAACCTAGGGATAGAGATTGGAAGCCTTTCAAGAATTTTATATACGTGTAAGATGCGGCCGCTAGCGTCCCCCAACTAAATATATATATATCTTTTTAATCCCAATGACAGCACGTACGACCATAGACTGAGGAGAATTGGGCAACCTCTTCTGTCTATCATACAATATATCCTCACATTTTTCTAGGCTCTGAGAACCCAGTCTAGCTATGCACGTGATCCTTGCCGCTTTCCTGGACTCTGGAACTGAGACCCCGGTGTAATGTACGGTCGAACTGGTGTTGCTCGAGAGTGCGAAGGTAGGTTGGTTAGTAGGCAGGGACGCGGTCACTAGATCAAGACTGAGAACTGTTGCAAGTTACTAGGTATGTATGAAGATACTGTATTTGAGTTAAGCACAAAGCTTCTATCTAGTAGGCAGATATGCCAGTGTTTATATAGAACCTTCCTGCTTCTAGGAAGCTCTGGGACCCGTCGTTCCTGGCGCTTTTTATGTCACGTGCTCTAGATCCCTTGACATTGCCTGGGCCGCTTGCCAGGCAAGAGGCCAATAGCGCCTGCTGCGTCCAGACACGCGTTATGGTTCAGGTTCAAGTGCAGCGGCGAGCGATATGATTTTGGTAGTACCGTATTAATTGTTTTCTAAAATATTATTTTATAATTAAATAAAAATAGAAAGTCCGTTAAGAGACTATATTTAATTTAAAAAATAATACGCTATTTTTAATTTAATAGTTTAATTTTTAAAATATTTTTATTATTATATAAAAACGATTATTTTATAATTACTCGAATTTATAATTTTTTAGCTTTTTTACGCGCTTATTATTTGTAATTTTAGCTTTTTTTTATCGTGGAAAAAAAAGCGAAAAAACAAGGGAAAAGGAGTAAAAGTAAAGGTAAAAGTTAGGGTATAGACTTAGAAAGAGTTTAGCATACTTTATTCGGAAATTTCATTTAAGAGCGGCTTGGGGGGACCATGTCTTATAAAGCCTAATACTTTATTCTAGAATAATATCTTAGAAAACAATTAATACGGTAGCTGGTCAAACACTCGCGGCTCGTACGAACAATATATGGGCATGATGGATCCAGGGTACTGCCTTCCTGGATGCGGACAAGTGCTCCGGTTGCTCCTACTGGCATCACTTACACTGTGTCTTAACGAAATGATCCCTTCCTTCTGTATTTTTCTCGAAGTCTGAGCAAGTAGGAAAGAACGACTAGATTACTCAATTGAATAAAAAGAATCCGATCGTCCTTTTTCTTCATTCTCTCTTTTTCTTTTCTTTCTCTTCAACACCACCACCACCGCCACAACAACAACAACAACAACAACAACAACAACAACAACAACAGTAGCAGCAGCAGCAGCAACAGCAAATGTGAGTTTTGTACCCTACCGGTGTCTTTCATGCTCCGAGTCCCTTCAATTCTGAGCTCCTAATGTTTCCATTGAGCAACACGGATATTCGAGAGACATACATCCACGCTGTGAAACTTGGCTGACCATTCCCATCAATAGGCCTCCATCGCATCGTGTTGCCCGCCAAGATGCCCTCCGTGCCCTTGACCTTGCCCAAGCCGCCACCATCGCCGCCGCCGAGGCTCTTCTTGCTGGAAACATTACGCTTGTGAAGTGGCGTCGGGCCCATTGGTCCGAAGTTTCCGCTGCTGCTGCCCTTGCCGCCATCGAACGTGGCTTCGGCCACTTTCGTGGTTAACACCACCGGTATGTTCTGCTATTCCGCAGATTCCTAGCCTGGCAGCAGAGACTGAGCTATTAGTTTTGCAATCCTTCGCGAATCATGTGCTCCATCTGAATCTGCCGCAATGAGACAGGGCGAATGACCGGCCTCGACAGTTTCAAATGGCCTATGGCATCGCCATGAGACATGACACGAACGCCGGCATCAAGCAACTCCTTGACAACGATATGTCCTTGACCGCGATGCCTCAATGCTACGGCGTCCCAAGCCTGGAGCACGACAGGGCGCAAGGTCAATTCCCATGTACCTCTGCAGGTTATTACAGCAAGTTGTCCTTGCCCTTGCTCAGCGCGCTGGTACCTGAAGAGCATCGCCAATCCCTTTTCTCCGTTCCATAATTCCATCGTTTCAAGATTCGGCATTTCCATAGCCGCTACTGCTGCTGACTGGAGCATGTCATCCAACTCCGTCTGGCTCCCCCCTTGTGGCACGAGCAGTCGTGACGTCAGCGCAAGCCAGGTTAAATTGGGCCACGTCCAGGAAAGTTCTCGAGCAGCGAAGAAATGGCTGGCTTTTACTATGAATGACGCCGAGAGGTGCTCGAGCTTGAGACTGGCGTTGGCAACTGCTCGGCTGACATGAGAGGATGGTATTCGTTTAGGGTCACAGCCCAGATTCATGTAGCTAGCTGGGTACGTTTGGTCGAAATTCTCGAAGAGCACAAGCCTCCGTAGTCGATCGGTAGAGAGAGATTCAAGAAGAAGTTGAAAGGCTGGCACGAAGAACGAGAAAGAGTATTAGCAGGTTATCAGTAGCGCAGGGCAGCAAGGAAACTGGAACATAGGAGTGCAGGAAAATAATGAAATGAACGCGGAGAGCACTCACATTTGTCCGTCCACCGCTGTTGAACACCGGCCCATTCTCTCCAAGGTTCGTATTGGATTTCCTGGAGCCCAGGCAGACGGGAAAACATATGTGCCAATGCGGCCGGCTTCCATCGTCGCCGGGTCTGTTGACGGAGGAGCACACCTGTTACTGCTGGGACTAATGGCAGTTGCTGCCACCACTGGCCCTCTTCTTCTTCGTCATCAAACGGTCCCTCGCTCATGATCTCCCCAAAGACTCTGTCGATAGCGTGAGAGTCGGGAATGGAAGTTCGAATACCAGCAACCCATCCATGGCGGTGATCGGTAGTAGCTTTGACCAGCATCGACTGCGCTACGGATTGATCCCGCCAGCGCATGTAGGAAGTGACATCAGGCTCAAAGGTCAGATATTTGAAGCAATGCTCTGAGTCGCTGGGCGAGTAGACACTGATATCTAGCAGTAAGCTACTATCTGCCGATTGTTCCCACACGCTAAGTGCTGAGAAGAGATCTTGGAACGCAGCTGTGATTAAGACATTTTCCGCGTGGCTTAGGGTCCACAACTCTGGATCTCGAGGTTCGCATCCGGTGCAGTTGTATTCTTGGAGTTCCAAGCAAAGCCAAATGTAGCGCACGAGATGCCTGTTGCGATGAACTATCGAGGCAAAATCGGCGACGCGGGACGACGTCAGCTTTATCCGGGAGAAGGTATGCCGCTCGATGGTTGTCTGCCACTCTCGTGATACTGTAGTGAAAGTAGCCAAGCTACAACCGTCTTGTAGTAATAAGAATTCCAAGATGGTGAGACGAATCTCTGTGGGGAAGCGGTGCCAAGACGTCATATTGGCTGTCATCTCCGATATTGGCATGGTGTTCCGGAGGTGAAGAATGGAAGGTGATATGGATGAGTTGGGTAGGACTGGTGATTTCGCTTCAGGTCTCAAAAAAATATCGAGTAGATAGATTCCTCTTGAGTTATCGGGTGTGTGGGCGAGCAGATGAAGATTTATGGTCTTGAACGGCCTGCAGTACTTATTTTAGCGGAGCAAGGTGGTGTTGAATTATTATGTGCATATGGTTTTGTTAAGGTGTAGAATAGCGATATAATATGGAATTAAAAGTTTTTTGTTATAGAATATGAGGGCTTTATATAATGTGGAAAACTCACAGTATATGAATAAAATGTGGGGAAAATAAGCGAGATCACTAGTGTAAGCCTATGCCACGCCTAATTTTAAGTTTACCGACTAAAATAAACGCGCGGGTTTTATATGCGCACTAGTCCGAATTAAATTTAAAATTATATATTATTAAAATTAAATTTTTTTTTTATAATATTACGTTAAATATATTTTTTAATTTTAATTATAAATATTATTGTAAGGGGCTACGCCAAGAGGGAACACTTAAGACGTAGGCAGTGGGTAAAACTGTCGTTGAATTCGATGAAGAACTGAAAGGTAGCTAACTAAGGCTTTATATACATAGGATTAGAGGCTTTGTAGTGTCACAGCGCCGGCTGTTACGGATCACCTGAGCCCATCGCCTGAGCCAATCGCCTGTCCTAATCGCCTGTGACAGAGGCCAGGCCGGGAATGGTGGCGTTCCCGAGCTTTAAGCCTAATGGGGCTTAGCTCCTCACCTGACATCCCCTTACTTCTGACATATATATGTATATAGATCTCTCCTCCTCTCCTTTCTTCTCTCCTTAGCTTTAGATTTGTCACGGTTCTGGAGTCACGTGCTCGCTAAGTACTCACGTGACCGCTCACCTGTATATATGCTCTGCCTTCCGGCGCTTCTTTCCTTCCTTTCCTCTTTACCTTTAGATTCTAAGAGATAGCCTAATCGATTCCTCGTCTACGTACTTGAGTCCAACCGTGCTGTCACAAGATTCTAAATGAATAGCCCGACGTTGCGTCGCCACCTCACACCATCGTCACAGTGCTGTCACAAGCTTATCTGCCCTCAACACTCTTCCACTCTTTTAGTTCTTTGTCTATTATTCACAGATTAGTATGTACGTCTTGATTCCATAGTCCAGAGTGCGTGCTGTCACAGTCTACGTACTTGAGTCCAACTGTGCTGTCACAAAATATAATCGTAATTTATCGCGAATATTATTGTCACGGGTTGGATGCAATGAGTCAAAGCAAGAACCTGATTGTATTACAAGAAGAATTAACTAAAGAGAGAAGAGTTCTATCTTGTACGAGGAGCTCTTTTAAAAGGGGCTCTCGCTGGTTCGTAGAATGGCCCGCGCGCTTTAGCGTCGCGTCGTCATGTGCAGGCCCGCGTAGTCACGTGTAGGCTGCACTACGTAGTAGTGCAGCCAGATATCGGGTTCAACCCGTCACAATTATTAAAAATATCGAAAATTTTTATTTTAAATATTTTAAATATAATAATTTTTTTATCGGATTAATCGAATATTACGATTAATGCTTAAAATATAATAATTTATTTTAATTATTAAATTTAATAATAAATGTTACGGTTCTGGGTTGAATAGGGTTTGGGTCACGTGATTGTTTCAGTTAGTGTTTGAGGATCCAGCTTATCTGTCCTCAACACTCTTCCA